CGCCCTCGCCTTCGTCGGAGGGGCGCGGCGCCACACTATTTACGACACACATTTCTCTCCCTCTCTAGCCCCCCTCCTGGCGACGCAACTACACGATGCGACGGCACAACGGCTCCCTTGTGTCGTGCCGTCGGTTCGCACCGTCGCCTTCTTGCCATTATGTTTGTACACACACGATGTGTCGCGTCGTGCATCGCGTCGTGCCATCGCCCGTCGTGCATCGCGTCGCCTATTACGTCGCCTGAAGCACGACACGACGCACGACGCTACGCGTCGTGTGCTGCCGCCTTTTGCTTCATGGTGTTTATAGAGGGCGCTTTTACTGTTTTCTTTCATTTCTCTCCCCTGAGCTTGCAAAGTACATGCTATTTACTCCATGGTGTTGATTTGTTCTTGTTTTTGTCTCATCCATTCCTCGTTTAGGATCAATTACTGTCATATTTTATTAAGAAAAACGAGCAAAAAGAAAACCGGCATATCTAGGAACTGCTCTCTCATAATACGTGGAAGCCAGGAATTCGTCACTCTTCAAACCCAGCCAATGATTTCTTTTTAATACTGTCGATACAGTTCCCATTTGTGGTAGATTTGTAATCTTATAGATTCCGGTATTTCTCCGTGGTCCATCCCAGTAATTTCTAAGTAGTACTCCCAATTCCCCAGACAATTTGTCTACAATTGTATGACCGCAAGTTTGACTACGGGTTTAGGAAGTTACCACCGAGCCTGCTCTATAATACCCTCAGAATATTCCGTCTTAGTTTTCCTTCATGCCAGTCTTCCTCGTTACCTTCATCAGCACCACACTTTCAATTATATTAGTCCGTCTTTCTGAATAAAGCACTATACAGACGCTATTATCATTGTGGCCGTGATGTCTTTTTTCTACTCTGTTTGGCCACACTCATGTATAATTTCTCCTCTGATCCGCATCTTATATGAGCAAACACGTTATAATGATTGATGTTTTGTACCTTAGAATAGATTTAGAAATATTGTAGCGGACATAATATGAGAATCATGACACCTGCTTACATTATTTCTTTGTTTACTAGTTTACGCTTCTTATTATCAGCTAACCAGAATTCGTTTCCAGCTAATATAGTGAAAAGTTTTCGCACGGTTTACGAAAATACAAATACCCTCACGTTAGAAAAAGCATCTTTTTAATAACGAGAAAAAAACAGGAATTCCATTTAACCGAAAACATCATCAATTAGCAGTGAAAATAAATAAAGGGCCTAGCTTGAAGACGATCTGTTGCTGAAGTTGGGGACGACTTGGTTTGTCTTGACTTGGCAAGTAGCTGTAGAGTTTGCAGTAGAAAGGCTTGCAGTAAAAAAGGGGTTGAATGGATGGCGAAGATGTGTTGGGCTATATCATGTTTAGGGTTCAAGTGCACAGTCTTTCCTTCCCCTCTACTAAATCAGGTTTCGGAACGGAATTCATGTGGCTCTGGTCCAGGCCACCCACTGTCCAGCAACGTATGCATGAGTGGTTCAGTAGGCTTACACTGGTAATGTTTTTGCCTAGAGCAAGACAGGGACGGATTTGTAAGTATGGCCGGTTCGATGGAAGGAGAAATCACAGAGAGACAACAGAACAGTCTCTGTTCAGTCCAGTAGCCAAGTGAAGTGGAAGGTCACAAGCTAGGGAAGTTATCAGCTCCTTCTCAAGGACGCTTGTGGCTGGTTGCAAGTTCTGCTACCAACTGCCCACACGCGCTGCCAAGCAACCTGCACAAATTGTATGACCTAATTCTGGGGGAGTTAGGATTTCAAAAAGTAGGGGAACAAAATTAATTCTATTACACAATTATTAGGAAGATCAAAATTAGAGCAGGAAAAGTTAAAACAACGTTGTGGCTCATGTTATTTATTTCCTGGAGACAGGGCTGATAGTTGGTCGTGACGCTCTTTCTAATTACATTTGATTAAAAAAACAAACAAACGGACAAGCCTTTTCTTCCACAATTATCTCTAAATGAAAACACAAGTGCCAATTTTACACTATTTTCAATGGAGCTTGAATTAGTGGACTGAACCGTACTATGCAAATACGGGGGCGGAAATGAAAGAAAACAGTAGAGGCGCCCTCTGTAAACACCAAGAAGCAAACGGCGACAGCACACGACGCGTCGCGTCGTGCTTCAGTCGACGTAATAGGCGATGCGATGCACGACACGACGTACGACGCGATGCACGACGGTACGTCGTGACGGGAGACGGAAGGGGCGACGCGTCGTGTGTGTACAAAAGTAATGGCAAGAAGGCGACGGTGCGACCCGACGGCACGACGCAAGGGAACCGTCGTGTCGTGTAGTTGCGTCGCCTGGAGGGAGGCTAAAGAGAGAGAGAAATGTTTGTCGTAAATAGTACACCATAATATGTACATGTACAGTACATGTAGACGCTGTCTTATTTGTCCGAAACGGGCTTCCAGACCCTACGGCCAGGTCTCCACGCATTTCCAATGGAGGGAAGACCTAGACCTAGCTCTAGACGAGATTCAGATGCAGCCTTTTGCTCCTTTTTCCTTCCCACAATGCCTTCCTACCATTGTGTAAAATCGCCCATGCAGTATTTCAATAGTTATAGCAGAACTTATAAGTTTGCCTTCATTTATTATTTCTCAGGACAACCAAACCATAGTGGACAAACAGAAAATAGGCCTACAATGTATGAGTACGGTGTCCTTGCTCTACTCCTCCTTGGCGGGCTGTTGGTTCTTAATTTGCTTGTCAAGACGAGGATGCACCTCCTTTTCCCGGCGATCCAAGACCGGTGTTCAATCATGTACAATGTGGCAGCGGGAGGTTTCAAGCGGGAGCTCTTCAAAGACATGGAAACCCTGAGAGACCAACCGCTCACCGAGAGGGCTGGGGATGCGGCCTCGGGCGACGAGGCACCGCGCTCGCTCACCGTCCTCGAAATCGGCGTGGGCACTGGGGCAAACTTCGAGTTCTATCCCGATGGCACCGCGGTGATCGGCGTCGAACCGAACAAGAACTTCGTCGGGTATTTGGAGCGGAATGCAGCTAAGCACTTCCCCCGCGTGCGCCTGGAGCGTACGGTGGTGGCCTTTGGAGAGGACCTGCGGGGCCACGTGGATGACTGCAGTGTGGACGCCGTGGTCATAACTGTGGTACTCTGCAGTGTCAAATGCGTGGATGCTGTGCTGAGTGAGGCCAGACGTGTTTTGAAACAAGTGAGGACAACAATTTTGGGGCACTTCCGTACCATGAGCACTTCAGAACAAGAGATGCCAACCCTTTCAATATTGATATGCCCTTATCATTTTCATTGCATTGCATTTTACCGCCTGTAGGGTAAAAGTCAACTTTGGTCCTGAATTTCCTTCCCTGTCTCCCCATTACAAACTGTTCATGTGTGAAAAATGTCACATTTGTGCATGGTTTTGAATGGGGAAATTACTTCTTAAATTTGTACATGACAATGGTTGTTGACCACAGTGATGTGGGATGCGATGTTTAAACCCTGTGGGTTGATATCTCTATCCATGTGACCCCATCAGTGTTAAAACACATCACAGCAGTCGATATTGTTTAATATTGCTAAGTACTGACACAGGAATGTATACTGCATTACTGTGACAAGTACAGTCAATAGGTTCGACAAGCTCTATTGTTTTAGGTATATAGACCACCAAACTCTGCTCATGTCCCCCAATATATCATCACTGCAGGTAGCTTAAATGTAACCATGATGCATTATAATATTATTCAACTTGCATTTGACAGGGTGGCAAATTGTTCTTTCTCGAGCACGTTGCTGCGGAGCCAGGGACATGGATCAACCAGTTGCAGTGGGTCCTCAATCCAATCTGGCCCTACATCTTTGATGGGTGTCAGTTGATAAGGACCCCATGGGTCAACGTTGAGCGAGCTGGCTTCTCCAAGGTCGACTACCAAAAGCTGTGGATCCCTGTTCCATTCTTTGTACCAGCACGACCGCACTTGATGGGCGTGGCCACTAAGTAGCCAGATTTATTGCTATCAATGCTATTTGATGTGGCCAGCTGAGGTTGCACGTTTTCTATTTTAATTTATGGCCATGGCCACATGACCATGGCCGCATGGCATGCCATAGGCACACATGATATTTCCAGCCTCACCTTGGCCCAAGCTTCCATGTACGAAAAGAACGAAATAATATTTTGTTTTGAATCCGTCACAAGCATACGTGCTTGACTTCAACAGTTTTCATGTACATTTACATGAATGAAAAAACTGGTATCGTGCATTTAAAGAATTCTGAAATTACTTGTTTGACTAGTTACAAAATCTCTGCCGCCACATGTAACTGTCTTTTAGAAACCTTATAAGCTTCCTAACCTTTAGTTAACCTTTTGTTAACAATTAGCAAGCCTATTCTTCAGAACTGAATGTACTTGGCCACAGCTTCAATAAGCACAATTTCCATTTAGATTTCAACAGAGCTCAGTTTTATCAAGTTCCCTTCAAAGATACTTCTTCTCTTTGTCTCCATGGGCATGACAAGTTGGAGGTTGCAGCTAAAAATTACTCTTTTTGGCCACACAGGAATAGTTTCTCATTTCTTTTAGCCTGTTGTAATCATATAGTGCAGGAATAAACCCGCTTGTCCTTCCCCCACACACAACTCTAAGTTACGCTGAAATATGTCATCATACGGTAACCAGAGTCAAGGGCTTCTGCCGAGTTTTTTTAATTGTCTGGACAAAAAGTAAGACACCAAGCAAAACAGGACAAACGCATGTAGCATTCCATACCTTGTCCGGTATGCTAGAATGCACCTTAAAGTACTCTGCAAAACTGTGTACTGCAGAGCAAACCCTTTTCTGAACAATTTATCTGTTTTTACCATAATTAAACATTTTAAGAGTATGTCGATAGATAATGTTTCGGGGCCAAACATCAGTGTTTAGGAATTGGACATGTAATGTTTAACTTCCAAGCATATGTTCACAAAATGCAGTGTATATAGGGGACCCAAATTAAAACAAAACTCAAATGTCTAATTATTTTTTGGTCTTGTGGTAGCTGTTGTGTGTGTGTTTTTTTCCTCTATGGTATCTATGTATACTTGGGGTATCCACAGGGCTTTCTAGAATTAATTTCCCCTGTTGAGAATAATGCCATGGAATGAATGTATTTACACGGATTGCTTTAATCATTCCATTTCACGCCTCCTAACCCCCATCTGCATCTGTTTTTTGTCACATTCAAGATTAATTTGCCAATTTTATGATTTATGATTGTACGAGGCCTTCAAAACACTCCTGAAAAACTAGTATTAGGCCGATCTGAATCAGGTTTATTTTATTGAAGGGGAATTGCGGCGCAGCGCCACCAAGCGTCCCGGCATGGCTGACGTAAATCATAAAAAACACTCGCTCGGGGTTGACATGCCAGTAAACCTCACAAAAATCATGGAAAAACTCACCTTTACCAGTGTCCTCGATTATGTCGTTCCCGTCACACTCTTTTTGGGTGTGCTGTTGATTCTTCATGTGTTGAAACAGATGCTTCTACCCCACATTTACCCCATGTTTTTGAATAGTTTCATGCGGAAGTACAACGAGGCAATGGGCAGTTTCAAAGCTGAGCTTCTCAAAGAAATGAAAGATCAAGTGGAGTCCCTGCGCGAGAAACCTGTCGATGGAGGGGAGGGCTCCGTAAATGGGGAGTCACACCCTTCCCTCACCGTCCTCGAGATTGGGGTGGGCGCGGGGGCTAACTTCAAGTACTACCCTGATGGCACCTCGGTGATTGCCGTCGAACCGAACAAGAATTTTGCGTCGTATTTGGAGCAGAACGTGGCCGAGCACTTCCCCCGCGTGCGCCTGGAGCGTACGGTGGTGGCCTTTGGAGAGGACCTACGGGGCCACGTGGATGACTGCAGTGTGGACGCCGTGGTCATCACATTGGTCCTGTGCAGCGTCCAGGATGTTGATGCTGTAATACGGGAGGTCAAGCGAGTGCTAAAACCTGTAAGTTGTTATAGTTGTTGGCATAACTATCCATTGTTTAAATAAGAATTAACATTACATGATTTGGTGGGGATTTTGACTTGTGAAGTAAGTTGAAGTAATAACTTCCAGACGTTCTCCAATCTCCAACTACTATATTTTCCCTGATGCTTCATTCACCATTCTATCACAGCACAGAGGAAGGAACAGAGCATCAATGGACATAATGGATGTGTTACGCCCCAACTATAGCATCAGTCCCAACTATAGTTTGGCCAGCCCAACTACAGCAGAGAGGTCCTGTGTGCCCAGCATGTGCCAAAGTCATATTGTTTACAAATGTCATGTCATTGGTCATAGGGCTAAGTGCCACATTTTTGATGAATTGTGTCAAGTGTGAGACATATTGACTTAGATAATGTTGAGACATTTCCCACAGACATTGGTCAACAATAGTTGGGCCAGCCCAACTGCAGCACTACAGTTGGGGCGTTACAGATGTAAGTGGCAAAAGGGGCTGTGGCATGGTTACAAATAAATGGATTAATTTCAAAGGCCAATCCCAAAATTAATTCCCCTTTTCAAAACAATTTTTTTAAAAGGGTGATTGGCTGATGGTACCCTCTGTCCCAACTGTAGTTGGGACCAGTTTTATATTCGAGTCCATCACAATTGTCCTTTCACAAGTCCTTTCTCACAAGTCCCTTCAAAAGGTCAGTCATGAGTAACGGGGTCAACAATCACCAACATATGCCTTTGTCACATCTCATTTGAATTGCTTGTGAAAATGGCTCAAGACTGAATGACTTCTGATGGACTTGCATGTACAGGGACTTGCAGGGACGCTCCCAACTGTAGTGTGACCTGATGCTGTACATGTAGTTGGGACGTGACAATTGCACGGTGATGGACAGATGGCAACATGATCAATCAAAAGTGCAGCGTGATTGACCCATCAGGTTTCAGTAATCACACCCAACGTGTACGTTCTCAATTATTTTGCTCACATTGCCATTCATTTTTTTTTTGGACCAGGATGGCAAGTTTTATTTCTTGGAGCACGTGGCCGCAGATCCCCAAACGTGGACCAGCACCCTGCAGTGGGTCATTCAGCCGATCTGGTCCTATTTCGGCGACGGCTGCCAACTGACAAGGAAGATATCGGCTGAAGTTGATCGCGCCGGCTTCTGTAAGGTCCACCACCAGCGGTTCCGGGCTCACCCCAAATTTCCCCGAGTGTTACGCCCCCACCTGATGGGGGTTGCAACCAAGTCGGTCTCCTCAGCATCGCAGAGTTGCTGAATGAAAAGGGGGCGAGGATGTCATTGTAAAAGGGAATTCATTCCACAGAAGCTGCTATAAAAAGGGAGGATGAGTTAAAAAAATGTGAACAGAACTTGTCATCTGATTGATGAAATAGGGATTTGTACACAATTCTCCATCCCAATGTGTAAAGTGTGTGCAGTCATCAATTGTCATTTTAAACCAAAGTGGTCATAACAGAACATGTTTTCACAGTTGCAATATTTGAAAACTGTGCACTCTTTATGCGACTTGATGAAAGCCAATTTTTATATGTACATGTGAGTAGCTATTAAAGAAGTTTTATTCTGATCAAACAATCTGGGGGACCAGTCGCTGCCAAAATGGAGAAAAGGGGGAATTATATTTACAAGTTAAAATGTGGAGGACAGTCGTCAACATTGCAGCTTTCAATTTTTTTATTTAGACAAGTGCTATTGCTCATGGTTCACATGCTTTGTAAAGTATCATAGTAACCTTTTCTAATAAATGGAAATTCTAGTTTTCATTCCAATTTTTATACATCTCATTTTTCTCTTACATTTACTGCCATTCCTGTTGTTTCAAAAAGATTAATTGAATGTTAATTCTGCAAAAACGTTTGAATGTGACATTTGTTATCCAGTCACGTGTTACATGCATTTCTGTATGCATGTGTAGGAAGTGAAAGATCGCAACACCACAATCTTATTTTAGAATGTTTGCCTTTCTGCCTGTGCTGTTCGTGGTGCGTTTTTACAAACCTTAAGAGTGACCAAAATAAGAGTAGCATTTTAAGTAGCTTGAAGATGTATAAGTAGTCAAGTATTACTTTCTTTGTAATCATTGCATACGTGTACATGTATGTTTCATTCAGTAGTGGTTTTTTTTAGCATGAGTATTGCATTTTTACTTGCATTTGTGTGCCAAAGGGGATTCCGGTGATTTGTAAATGTTTGTATTGACAGACAACTCTCCTATTTGTGATGGGATCTGGGAAACCCTATTATGGTTTTAAATTTGTCCATTTGTTAACTATCAAATGAATGAGTCACTGTGCTGTTTTCCAAACTGTTTCATTCCTAGGTTCTAGGTCATCTGTAACTTGAATTAAGCTCTCGGGAAGTGACAAAATCCAGCTGACTGCATTTTTGGAAAGCTTTAAAATTCTGAGTAAACCCTTTTGAGATTACACAAAATTTAGTGATTGAAAGATGGCAAACTTAAGTTGTAGTTCATCATTCAAACAAGATCAGTTGGATATTGACAATTAAAATGGTAACCAAATTTCAAATTTGACTCCTTTCCAATAAAGAGAGGGGAGGGGACTGTCGACAGGTTTTCCCAGATTGCATCACATTTCTCACTGCGCCAGACCATGCTGCATCCAAAACTTAAAGCTCTGGCTGGCTATGACACGCTGGTGGCTGGAGCTGCAAGCGTTTGGCTTCCATGGGCGCTGGCTTTATTACTAGGTTTGAATAAAACTTGGACAACCAGAGTTTCTTTGTGCAAACAGTGCCAATCTGTTGGGCTAGAACCTGGGGCGGCTGGTGGGTGTGTTGATGGTATGTGCCAAGGGTTGACCTTAGGGTGCCACCATGGGAAAAGATGGGGTAGTGCAGAAAACAAGTGGAAACATCTAACTCAAAGCAAGGTGCTACATCTTGCAGTGGTGTGCAACTTTCTCTGTTCAACCACAAGCTATTTCACACACTTCCTCCATTTTCTGGCACACCCATTCAGAAGAGTGGGCACATTTTTCCTGAGATTTTCTTGTTCCATTGATCAATAATTTTGATATTTTCCAAGAGTCAATACTAGCCAAACGGAAGATTTGCATCTAGATGAGGTATTCAGTGTTCATCCGTTTTTTAACTGTTGCTAATATTTTGTCATGTCTGTATCAGAAGTGTGTGATTAAAAGATTCACGGGAAGTGTGATTCAGTGTTTTAAGTACCATCATTTGAAGTATAGAGGACACAATGGGACTCTAATTGGTTGGGTAAAACTGTAAAATCTTTTGTGCTTTCTCTGAAGTTACCCACTTCAAGAAGGGCCCTCCTATTGTGTCCGCCATGCTTCGAAATGGACTTTTGAGATAAATCATTGTACAATTAAATTAACACGACATTTTTATATTAAAAACTCCCTTCAAACGAGTTTGCCGATGTCTCTCCACTTTTATTATTCATTAGTGTTCAAATTAAAATGTGAACGTGTAACCGAAAGAATTAATTTGGCAAGACAAGAAACAACATTCTTTTGCATGGACTGACGGTAACAATTACACAAACATTAATCTTTGAATTTTAACTTTGTTAGTATAACACGTGGTAGGTTAACTTACATCTCTGGGCGAAGACACAGCTCAAAAACGCTGAGAAATTAGAAAAAAGAAAAACAGAAGACACGAACCCTTAATTATCAAGCTGCCAAGCAATGTCAAAAGAAAAATTGGAGCCGATTTCAGCAAGAAGCAATTCTAGAACACAATTTCATTTCAGATACGAGAAAAATTCACAGAAATGAATCTCTGTGTCGAAGGAATGTGCATAGTAGCAATGGGACATCACACAGTGATAGCAGTTACATGTATTTACTTTCTCTCAAAACAAACCAGTTCTGTCTGTCCATTCGGATGTTTTCTCTTACAAGGAAATCTGCGTGCATCCCTTCCAGTTTGTCCGGTCAGATTTAAAATCAGTTCTGCAAAAAATTACCACTGAACACTTTGAGGAAACTCTCCATAAACCATACACTTCTGCAGTTTATGTTTGGCAACGGTTTCAAAATATACGCTTACGTAGCTGAGGCCTTAAAATAAATGTGGTCGATTCCATACAGGAACTGATTACCCAGCGTTTCAAATGTTGATCCCCTGCTTGTCAATAAACAGAAAGACATCATTTTAACTTTCAGTACAGCTTTTAGTATGGATTCTCCTATCCGTCCCGTTTTCTTTAAATAATAGCATGGGTGGATATTCGTGTTTGCAAAATTTGTTATTAAAAAAACAAAGAAAGTTATATACCAAGGAAATATCCACAAATTACACAACAATGTCGCCATTACAGGTGATAAGATATGTAATACTTTTTCCTTTCAATGAATACAATGGCTTTGGCAAATGTGATCCAATCGAACAAAATGAGTCTTAAGGTTATTCTTTCAGTAACTTGGTTTTACTTTGCATGAGAAATATTAAGCTCTTCGTGATGATGCATCTTTCAGTCTGACATCCTGTTGAAACTGGAAACTACATGGGAGAAAATTATTAAGAGTTCCTGGTGATTTACAGTGTGCAAGCTTCTATCAAAAGCCTTTAACTCAGAATTAGCTAAAGCGATTTATGACTCATTTGTAAAATTGGGTTGCACATTAGCAGCTGCTTGATATAACTGACAAAGCGCAAGACTCTTCTGAAGTCCTTCAGTCACTGGCCTTTTTTCAAAACTGGACTGTTGCTCTTGCTGCAGCTTCATGTCTGGCTAAGCAGAATCACATGCAGGCATTTTTATGCTCAGACCAAAATTTAATGAAGGCTCCCATCTTTGCCTCCTTTTCACATGATTTGATGTTCACAGAAAAAAACCAGAGAAAAGATGCAAAGAGAGCCAGAATTCCAAAATTACTGACCCGCTTGAAGCTCGAATCCCAAAATCACAAAGACACAATCTGAGAAATGACTGATACTGAAGTTATCCAAAGAGGTTGATATAAAGCAAAATCTATCTTTGATCAACAGAATGCGAGTAACGCAACAAATGATCACACGTCCAGCTGCAAATCTGATATCAAATTTACCCGGAAGGAAGAAGGAGTTCCTACAAATTGCGGTGTGTTTCCAGAATCTGAACAGATCAGTCTGGACCCTGACCCTCCCAGATCCTGCCAAATTCACCAGGAGGTTTTAAGAGGATATTTCCCAGGAGCTAGGTTTCTATAAATACATGTAGTTTGACGCTCCTCGAAGATTTAAGTACAAAGTGCAAATGATTTCCTGAAAAGTGGAAGATCTTGTAGATTCTTGAGACAATCATGAAACTTTAAGGGGTATTATCAAATGAAACTCAAAAACAGGATTTCACTCAAAACAATATCAAATACAACATTTTCCATATTAAAGACAAGAATAGTGCACCTATCATTTATCAACCCCCTTTCCCATGGCTGCCTCGCCTAAAACATGAAGACTGAGATTTTTGATGTGACCAAAAATCTCTACCCGGGGACCCCTACCAAGACTAAAGCCCAACATAGGGCATGGCCAAGCAACAGGGGAGGGGAGATATTGACTGGTGTTTTATTCCTGCAATTTTTTTAACCCAAATGGCAAATAATTGTTTTCCGGCTCAAAAACTACACACACGAGCACTGGTCAGTCTTATTCTTAAAATTTCCAGTTGAATCTGTAAAAAATATACTTATATTTTGTAAAACAATTATACCCAAATATCATTTCTCCAATCACGTTTGAAAATCTTTACGAAAAATATTTACACTTATCTTACATTCTACAAGAGTTAAAAGTCAGATTCCAAAAATTACTCCCTCTGCCTATAAGCTTAAAATATAGTCTAAAAGTGCTAGAAAGAACGGAAAAATCACTAATTTCACAAAAACTCTACGCTACTCAATATATGAACTGTAATGCAGACATGTAATACTGGACTTGACTTCTTCAAGTTCTCAGATATAATCTCTCCCATGTTTAATTCTCGTATATCTATTTCCCTTTTATTTACACTTTTTTGTTTAACGAAAATCTAATACCTGTCCTTATTTTTCTGTACATCTTAACAAAATTTACAATGTGCATGCACGATTCAGTAGTGCAAGAATTTTTCTAATTGGAAATGTTTGGGAAATTACAAATGTCACACACTTATCATTGTGTTTCAAAAATTATATTTCTTGAATCACGTTATAACTTGTAGCAATTTTTTTTTTGAGGTAAGCTTTAATTTTTACAGCAGAAATTTACCTGATTGAAAATTCTTCTAAATCCATTTTGACAAAGAAACAGAAGTACAGAGTAGCAAACATACCTTTCAATTTGATTTTCTCAAATAAAGAAAGGGAAGTAAATCATGAGTTGCTATTTATAAATGGCATACGACAGTTTGCGTTGGCTGCCCTTTTGAAAAGAAGTGGAGGGCCTGTGAAATGAAATGTCACAAAAGATGTGTTCTGTCCTGTTTTAATGCAGGGCAAAAAATAACAGGGTCTTCGATTTCTACCAAAAATTCAAGAGAAATGCTACTTTTTCAAAACTTGTCTAGACACCTGGGGGCGCTATTGCTGTGATGCATCAAGATACATAAGCCACATCCATTACCATGGCTGGTGGCTGGTAATTACAAGTATGCCGATGGAAGTCGCTAATTGGCGGCCCATCACACTTATGCTATACCCAGCTGCGCTCACTTGATTCACATACAATTTTTTTTAGTGCATGTGTAAAATCTAAATGTTAATAAAAAGGGCCCGAAATGAGCATCAATTTCTTGATGCCATAACTTGATTGGCCAAATGACTGGCTGTCGTGCATGGAATGAACGAGGCAACAGAAAACGTCCGAGAAATGACGGCTGCCTGTTTACAAGCGTTCTTGTTCCCACCAGTGTACCCTGCCTATCGCCCTCCTAAAAAAGGTCCAAACCGGGTGATCAAATCACTCACAACAGTGGAAAGCCAAGGCTCAGATCACACTTTCTGTTTTTTGGGTTTTTTTAATGGCTTAATTCCAACTGCACCACATCTCATGTTCAATTTATAATGACTCAGGCCGGACAGCTCATCGTTTCACACGCGACTGTGCTGGTACAACTCATCACCAACACACACAAAAAAAGAGAATTACTAGCTCAGTTGGTTTACAGCTAATCCCACAATCCTTTAAGCCAATTTTGATTAAACCCACACCCATATCTTATCAGAACATTGCATCTATGACCTTGAGTTTACCATGGAATATATACGACTCTCTTTTCAGAAACTGGTAAGTTTCCTGTACCCAAATGTTATAGAAAGATTAATTTGGCACGAATAGTTCCTCTATACCAAAAAACATGAATGGAATGAAATCAGAAGAACTGAGTGCAATTTCTGTTTCTGTACTACATTCAAATTGTGTATAGATATTACCGGAATGTCTTGAATCCAGTTTAACCCTTCGAAAACTCTTAACATTCTGTCGTCTCACCAGAATTTACTGGTATATGATAAAAACTACAGGCCAAAACACACAACATAACCTTCTGGTACTGGTAAGGCACCACTCACTTTCTCAGTAGGTTAAATAATCATATTTTTGAGCAATAATGCTCTCTAGGTCTCAACCCATAATCTGTGCTCTGTACCCCCAACTGCGGAGTTAGCACACACGAGAACTTACATAACATGCCTAGTGGACATTCCCTTATTCTTATGCAGTTAAGATAACTTGGTGAAAAGGCTCATTTTTCTTTGAACTTTGAACACAATTCGCAGCTGGATTGTTGTAAAATATTTCCTCGACTGTTTTCCTGCCTTCTACGACTGATGACCCTAACCGCAAGTTGCCTCTAAACTTTTTTCAAAGAAGGGGAAACGTCCTGTGGGCATGGGTACGTCCACAGACAGAACATCTTCCCTTCCTGCATTATAAAGACACCTTTTGCTCACAAGTCCACACTAGCTATATAAGGTTACTGCACTGCACTGCCTTTCAAAACCTTCATAATCTCCACAGTGGTAACCTTAGGGCAAGCAGTTAGACTCTTCTCCAGGATCCACTACACTCCCAGCATGCTGCTGGACCTCAGACCCTTGCATTGTGATTCTCCCTGACGCAGCTAGTGAAACTTTTTAGCTCCTTGCCGCTGAGGGGGTAAATTTGTTGGCTGAGAACACTCTTTTGAATACTAAGCTCAGCCTACAAGGATTACAACGTCAAGCTTTCTTTTACGGTCAGGGTGCTCATTTGACAGAAAAGAAGAAATTTCAGCATAACCTATGTAGACACCAATCCATTTGGTTGTAAACAGGAAAAACTGTTGTGAACAGTTGAATCCAAGTTGAAGTCATCATCCCTAGTATAGTCGTGCTCCATGAAGAAATCCTTGTGTTAACCATGAAAACTGCAAAGCTGCTCGTAAAAAAGTAGACATAAAAAAGTGCATTTTGGTATTGTTGCCAAAAGATGAGTCACAGTAAAAAAACTTGTTTAACCAAATATTGAAATTTGTAAAAACAAAAGCTTTAAAATGTTTCTACAGCTCTCATCTAAGCCCAAGTTCTTGTTCACTGAATGCCACCGCTTGCTCTTGCGAGATGGCTGCCAGTTCTTTGAGGAACTCGTCAAAGATCACGGCGCAGTAGACGGCATTGCGGGTCTTGAGTGACTCGTACTCTGCTGAGGCGGCCGGCTGCGCCATCCCAGCCTCACTGATCTTGGCCAGCTTCTGCTTCTCGGCAGCACTCAGCGACTTGTTGCGTCGGTTGCCGCGACGAAGGAAATGGTCAAACGTGGACTTGTGCTTGGCTGCAGGAAGGAATAAAAACTCAATACTTTTTTGTTTGTTACTCTAAAGATGAACAATGAAATTGACAGTTGGAGAAAACAGCCGCGCAGGACTGAATGGCTAGGTTAGTGGAGCGCTGACACGGTGCTCAGAGGTTACAGGTTCGAATCCTGACCAGTCAATATCTTTGTTTAAAATGTTTATTTTGTTTTATATAATTATTACTAACATTACAGTTCTGGTGATTTTAACCAGGTAACAAAATTACCAGTTTGTTTGTAACTTCCATGATGGATAAAAATTGAATCTTGAGTGAACGCAGAGAGCACAAATAGGTAGGGCTTCCAAAAAACCGAGTAACCGTATCCACTATGTAGAACTTGTTGCTTTCAATGTAACCAAGTTTCCATTTCTGATATCAAAGACCGTATGAAGAACTGGGAGTGTTTTTTGTATTCACTGTACACATTCACTGTGAGGCTGCAAGCAGTGCAAAACTTCTGCCCTTTTTAAAGAAATGTTTCATTTTTTTTTTACTGAAAGTAACCAATCCTTTCTGATTCCCGTTACAAATTCACAAGCATTTGCTCCAACTTTCAGCTTATCCCTCCCCTCACTTTTTCCCGACAAAGAGTCCAATTTTCTCCTCCCAGAAAATTCCAAAAAGTGCATCGAAGGATTGTGAAAATCTGGCCCATAAAGTGACAAAGAAATTAAACACGTTGATGAAATTCGAGGTGTCTTTTTAATTTTTACTCTCTGCCATCCTGTCATCAGATGCATCCACATTACACTAGTGATTTGCAGAAAAACACCACTTTGAGCTGGATAACTTTGAGTAGAGCCCATGAGGTTGGAAGAAGTTCAAATCTGAATCCAGTCAATTTCTGAATTCATCATAATATCAAAGGATGTAATTTTGAAGAAATCTATCTCACTTAGGGTTCTCAGTGAGCTAGTCCTCGATCTCCCCAACTTCCCTGGATCCACGATTTCACTAAGAGAGCGCCCCCTGTAGGCAGAGTCACCCTCCTCCCGTAGGAAGAGGTAATCCTTGGCTCGGACCAGGAGGCTCTTGAACTCGGGCACCCTGGCAGCGTAGGGGTCCAGCCTGTTCCTGATGTTCGTCAAAATCTGATGGGAAAGCATTAAAATCAAAGACAAATTTTTTTTTGGATATACTGCTCTTATGAACATGCCCCTGTATAGAATACTGAAGTCAACACATAACACACAATTGTGGGTGTAAAAGGCATTAGCTTGAGAACCAGCGAGTGAACCAACCCACGCAAAGGTACTCCATTTCCTGGTTCAATATTCTACAGCAATATATGTCAATTGTCCAAACATTATAATAATATAGGTATTTATAAAGCACCTTTAACATAGACCAAAGCGCTGTACATCATTACTACCCTTCACTGGGCCCATGAAACATTCCAAATACCATCTCAGCTCCCTGGGGAGTATACAGTTCGATGAAGCCAATATTCGGCGCAAAGCGGCTAGATCAACTACAATAACCATCGCTGCCCTCACAGGTACCCTATTACTCCTGGGTGGAGAGAGGCAATGAGATTATTTCACAGGACATATTTAATTCGCGCTGTTCAACTAGCCACTGTATTTTTGCATTGCATTGTGGGATACCTCCCTAGGTAACCGGCTCAGCGGGTCGGTTTCTTGGGCCAGAGCCCAAGTGAATGCAGAAGGCCAAGGGAGGGTCAAATCGAGCGCAGTCGCAGCTACCCAAGTAAGCGCGGGGAAGTAATCGAACACACTGAAGAGGACCCTATCTACAAAACGTGTGACTTGCAGATGCCCGGCTGCCTCACCTGGATGAGAGAGCGCACGCTGGGCTGGAACACCATGGAGGTATTGAGCAGGTAGGAGCGGAGCAGAGGTTGTGGGTAGTAGGCCAGCCGGGCGATGATGCCGGTCAGGAGGAGGTTGACATAGAAGGAGTTCTCCATCATGGTCTCTAGCCGTGCAAAGATGGCATCCATGAAGGGGCCTGCCATTCAGATGACAGCAAAATCAAGTTTGGTTCAGAAAATACCTGATGTTGATTAGTCTACAAATAACACATTTATGTGACACACTAAAACAAATTGAGACCGTCTAAACAATTCTGTTTTGCAGGACACATTTCACATAAACTGTACACTCGCATTTCAACTCATAGACATGAAACTCCAACAGCAGAAACAAAATTTAACGATGATCCCCTCAGGAGTGTTTATGACCTATTTTAAAACAGATTCACCTGTTTTAGTCAGATTTCTGCTTCTAAACTGTGAAATTTCAGGATCAAATTTTGCTTTACATCAAACATGACTGAGCTGTCTAACATGACGCATGAACTATTTCAAAGGAAGGGTCCAAGAGCTTGGCAGGAAATGGCATGCAGCAGTGATGGAAAAAATTTGCGGAGCTGATCATGCTGCACAGCCCTCAACGGATCACGCACTGGACAATGTGAGTGGAGAAAAGAAATAATACCTGTTGTTGGTATGCCGATGGCTCTCCCAATGGGTGAGTACAGAGGCCTGGCCGAAGCTTCCTGCTTCAAAAGCTGCCTTGGTTTGGGGGACTGGGATGAGGATGCCCTTGGGGCTGAAGTGCCTGGTGCATTTGGACTTCGGTGAGTGTCACCAGCAGCAGAGTTGAACGCAGAAAAGTGATGTTCATTCAAGGAGCCACTGAGGGGTTCATCGGTGCCTGCTTCAGTGGTCTCAGATTCCAGTTGGCTGCGATTGGCACCGCTGCTAGAGTTGGCTTGCCGATTGGCCGGCGACGATGTTATATCTTTTGGGGCACTGAAACCGAGGGCATCTAGGATCTGACTGGCCTCGTTGACCACGCCCTCCCCACCCGCTGCCGAGTCTCCCTTGGGCCGGCCCCCTTTGGGGGAGAACTCAATGTCCGAGTCGAACTCCCAGAAGACGCAAGGCTCATCTCCCCCATCCTTCTCAGTTGACTCCTGGCCGGCCAGGCTGAATCGTGCCTCTCTCCTCTTGTCATCCGAGAGATTTTCGATGAAGCTGGCACTACTGGTGTCCTCACCAAGAGCTTGCAGCCAGTTGGCCACTTGTGACCCTTTCTGAGAGCTTTCAATATCACTTTTTGGGGCACCACCACCAACACTGTTACTCATTCCGATGTAGGTGTTAGAATCCAAGACAGGGGAATTGCTACCCGAGAAGGCACTATCGGATTCCTGAGAAGGTTTCGCACCGGGCCCCGCTAAGTTCAGATCCTTGGGCCTGGACTTGCCAGTACCAACTTTGCTCTCGGGTGTTGCGAGTTGGCTATTGCTCTCATTGTGGTCGGGCCTGACGGGAGAACCTGCCGTAAGATCCGTGGTTTCAGTTTGGGCAGGAAAGCCATTCTGCATGGGCTCCACTTTGGTCACATTTTCTAAGGACGGTTTGCGCTCAGCTGGGGAGGGAGACATTTCGCCTGATGGCATCTGGGCTTGTAGTGCCACCATCTCGTCCATGAATAAGTCTGTGACACTCACGTCTGACGTGTCTACCTTCTCGTTATCATTCCCAATTTCCAGTGAGAGAACCTCCTGGATTGTCGCGGTCAATTTGGGGTCCACACTTCGCACTCTCTCCCTGTTCCTTGGGAGCACTTCTGCCAGGGTGCATGCCTTGTACAAAGATGATCCCGGATTTGTATCCTCGTCAAACGAAGCAGAGCTGGGGATATTTGCTGCTGCATCAAATGCCGCAGAAGACCTAGCTTTCTCGTCAGCGGGGGACAAGCTGTCTGGGCTGAGAGTCGCTGGGGGAGGGTTGATGCCATCGTACGGCGCCGTCCAGTGCTGTGTGCCAAACGTGCATACCTGAATCCCTTCCTTTGCATCAAGCAAGTATTCCACCTGGCTTGTCTCAACATCCAACAGTGACAGGTCCATCGGCGGAAGGTTAGGGGCTGGATTCGGATGATGTTGCTGCTTGTGTATTGCCCCCTGTGCTCTGACATCTTTACGTCCACTCCCAGGGTTCCAACTATGAGTCCTGGTGTATGGAGGTTGCCTTGTGCTTGGCAATCTCAGAGTCACCTGTGGCCCAGTGTTTGGCGAGTCCCTGACCCCACTGGTCATTGTGTTTGCCACAGGGTCCTCTGTTTTTTGGCCAGAGGCGGCTGCATCTTTGGTATCAGACTTACAACAGGCCGGCCTGAGAGACAAGAACCTGTCGGCCCACTTGCTATGCAGGTCGATTTCTTTGATAGCTTTGCGTTGGCTGACCATAATGTGGTTGCATGGAACCAGGTACCTGCAATGATGCCATGAAAAAAGATGCAGGAATGCCAACAAGTGTGTTTCTCAGATATTCGAAAGTTATTTGAAAATTTGAAAGAAAGCTAGCTGAACTATGGTTAACCATAGCTCTCGTTCAAACTTACTCTAAAATATGCAGCTTTTTCTCATATGCTCAGTGATCTCATTAAAATAAACCAGGTGGTCTTCGTAAGTTACTTCTGCAGGACTAAGGAAGGTAGAACCCAACCTCTATTACTATCAGGGTTCGTACACTTGGCATAGCTCAAAATTCAAGGACTTTTCAAGGACTTTCAAGGACTGTACAAGCCCTGTACTATGCACTGGATTTTTATACCTCTTTGAACAGTGGGTTCTTGCACAGTGGTTGATTCTGCTGGATTCAGCCTAGCATATCAAGTACGTTTCATGTATATGTATTACAAACAGGGAAACTGACAGAAAGGGGATTTGAACCTGTGACCATTGGAACACAGTATCAGTCCTCCCCCAAACTGAGTTACCCAGCCCTCTGTTGATGGCTTCTCCAATACGGGCGATTCATAAGAGTGCGCCTCCAAGAGTTTGCAACGTGTTGGCCAATCACAACGCGCGAAATCTGTCGACCCTTTCCAAATGTGCATTGGGTCAACAAATTTTGTGCCCTGTGATTGGCCAACGCGTTGCAAACTCTTGGAGGCGCCCTATGATGAATTGCCTGTATTTGTCAATATCTTGTTCAAGGGGCACAAGTCAGAAGCCGTAAAAAACAGAACACCATATACTGTTGCCATGGATCCCACCCTTAGGACAGTCATGAATGCAAGCAACATTAGCAATGTTCCAATCCTGGGTAAGTGGGGATTCAGCGTATTAAACACACATCATTAGAGAAAACCATGTGAGGTAATTGACAAGATGTTTACACATTAATCATAAAAATGAGCAATGAATCACGATTTCAAGGGGATCATTTCTAAACCACTCACTTGAGGATAAGCTCCAACATGAAGTCTTCGCAGTTGAGATTGACGAGGGTGTTGAACAGTGACAAAGTCACTAGACATAACTATGTAAAACAAAGAAAAAAAAAACAGAAAAGAAATGTAATCCAGCATGTCACCGCAGCAGTTGACAATCAACCTCAGTGTATTCATATCATGTTTTCACAGCAGAAGCAAAAAGCCTTGCAGCATGCTGGCTAAAGCAGTTATACTTTTACCCCTTGTCTACTGGTAGCAGCTACTTCCCACAGACTTGTGCGTTACCCCCAGCCATAGTCAGTTGAGTTGGACATAGACTTAGTGCACATTATACAATACAATTGGGATTCTGCAAGGTCAAAAGTTATATCACAGTGGAACTGAAAATAAATTTTCCTGACTGTCTTGGTTGGCCATGAAAATTTTTTTTCAAAGAAAAAAAACTTAAAAAGCACTGCCTGATGGGCAATTTCTTTTAAAAGTTTTATCGAGCGGAAAGAGCAGGCTCCTTGTCTCATACTACTAGATGATCGTTACCGTCAAGCCCAGGGCCCAATTTCACAGCTGCTAAGTACACCATTTTACACTTAATGAGGCTCTGCATCTTTCAGGGAGACCGCGAACAGTAAGCACAGCAAAAGGCATGTTAACCTTGGAGGAAAGTTGCTTAACGTAGTGACAAAAGAGTGGAAATCTCTATTAAAGTGCAACACTGCCCTAGAACAGTGCTTACATTTAGGAAAATTGTATGCTTTGTTTAAGTACAACGTTTCGGCTAACTGTTAAGCAGCATCATGATGGCACAGCTTCACAGAAAAGTGTTGCTAACATAAGCACTATTTTACAATGTGGTTGTCCTTACGTTTGCGCACACATGGAAATTTCCACTGTTATATAAAGTTGTATAAAAGTAATTTTTCCTCCCAAGAAAAATGTCCCTTTTGCTGTGTTTACTGCTCGCCATCTCCTTGAAATAAACAGAGCCTCTATTAGTGTTTGTCATGCCCTTAGCAGTGCCATAAAATTAGGCCCTGGGTAAAATTTCGCTAAGCTGAAAATAATGCTTGAAAAATGGACAGGCTACTAAGCAAAAATTGGCCCGGAATGAGCGCACGGAAATGTACAATGCATGTCGTTTCCATTGGCAACCTGCTTTGGCGGTCAGCAAATTACAGCCTTTAGAAAGAAATGAGCCAGTCCAGCATTCAAACGTTCCATGCACCAAACAAAACATGGTTGCAAGTCATTAAAGAACATCAACAGATGCGTGTGAGGTCAGCCTAATCAGGATGGCTGTACGTTGACTTACGCACTGAATGTGTTTGTGCTGGCATGACGCCGAGTGGTTTGTTCTCAAATCACGTCTTTTTTTTTTTTAGAATAATGATTTGGCTCATCGGTCTCTGCTTTAAAGAAAGTGAGAGGCAAGCGATTTTGTTCCCATTACCCTGGAGTTGGAGCTGATCCTCGTCAGCAGGGAATCCAGCACCAAGCGCCCCTCGTGCTGCCCCATGCACAGGTAGTGCAGGAACGCCCGCATCAGCTGCGGGGCAGTGATGCTGGAGACGAAGAGGTTCACATAGGCCGTGGTGGCCACGATCTCATCTTGCGGGGCCTGTGAAGCAGAACACATGCCAGTAGGACAGCGTTTAACTTAAAACAGGGATGTACAATGTCGTTCGATCCATCACAAGTCCATTCCACAAGTAGACTTTCGAGTCCAGGTCAAGTCTGGTCACAAGTAACAGGACGGCCAATGACAAAGGAGTGCTTTCTCATCACAGTGCATTTGTACAGCCTGTGACTTGGCTTAAGAGTTGTGACTGGATGACTTGTTACAGACTTGCAGGGAGTAGAGAGAACTTGTGGTGGACTGGTCATTGGTTTAAAGGCAGGGAAAGAGGGCGGAGGTGCAACACACAACTGTGCAGTTCTCAATGCGAGAACTTAAAAAAAGGGGTGTCACAAAGAACGTTTAGGAAGATCCAACACTACATCCATGCAAATTATTTTGCAATCTACATGAATACTCGCTCAGCTATGACCTTCAAAATCAACATCCGCAGTTGTGGACAAATTGAAGTGAGGACTATTTGTCGACCATGGGTTAACTTTGCCCGGTGCCCAGAATACACTTTGTGCATTGGTTAGCAGGGAAAATCAACAAGTGATGAACTGGACAAATAGTCTCCGCTCCAACTAAGTTGACAGAGCATTAAAGAGAACATTTACAACTGACTTAGGACAACAAAACTGTTTCAGTGCACAAGACAGAAACTTGAAGCTATGCAGGCACTCTCTAGAGCCATCTACATGTACTACTGTTTGCTTAAATACAGCAACTGAAGGAATGCAAAACCAAATTAGTTTAACCAAACCTCCTTTGCCACTTTTACAACATGTAAGATTGGGGACTACGGAGGATAGGGCAACAACTATCCCTGATCTTCCTCAATCCATACAGTGCAAGGAAGCAACGGAAACCTTTTGTGCTTAACCCTTCACGGCAAACAGTTAATAGAATCTACACGCTGTAATCCTAAAGAATCCTGTAAAGTGGAGTAGATTTGGAAGGATATGGGTGGCTAGAGAAAATGATACTGAATTTCTTCCTAATGTTGTTCTGGCGTTTGACTTCTCTCAATGCTACGAGAGCCAGGGGAGGAAGAGAGAATCCTCTCCCAGTTCCAAGAAGATAAAACTAAGGGTTGATGCATTTTTTTTTAGCTTTTCACTACTATTCAAAATATTGTTAAAATGATGAATCTCAGAAAGACACTGCGCTGATTACTTTACTTGAGGTACTACACAGGGTCCCAACACAGCCCTCAAATTCTACATGTATTTTGTTTTAGAGGTGAAAATGTCTTTTCACTCAAGGTGCCACCATGCAAAAGCTACATGAACAACTACATTACATGACCAAGAAATACTCCCTTCACACTGCAACGTTGCAGCATGTGAACACGATGCATGGAAGCAGCAAGTGCTCCACTTTCTAACCGGTCCAGAAAAATGACAAACCTCTTGTCAACAATTCGGCATGGAGGCTGGTCTCTTTTTAGTGGGCTGTGCAAGAGCGCCCAAGCAAAACAAAATATTTAGAACTTATTTCCATTGGCATTTTTTTAGTCTACATGCATGAAAGCAGCAAGTGCTCCAATTTCTAACCCGTCCAAAAATGACAGACTTCTTGTCAACAATGCAGCATGGAGGCTGGTCTCGTTTCAATGGGCGGTGCAAAAGCACCCAAGCAAAAAAAAATTAGAACTTATTTCCCTTGGCATTTTTTTAGCCTACATGTACATATAGGGACCTTCCTAAATCTCCCCAAATCTTCCATCATGTACATTTACATGTTGGACTACTGCCTGATATTCCTTACCAATGAACTTTTAAAAGGTCACGAACAGGATTTTCCAAAACTTGGCTTAGTTCCAATTTCAGGCGTCATCTCTGACTGTGCTGCTACACAAATTAGATGGATACAGTCCAATTTTCAGATTGACAACAAGCAGTCTGAAGTTCTAGTAGCCAAATATGACTTATTATTGAACAACTTGAAAATCAGGGGTTTAATAACCACTAGAGCTGCACAGCCAGGGCCAAATATTTGACCAATGATAAAGCATTTCCATTTTTGATCCAGGAAAATGCTCCAAACTTCAAGCTGAGGACTGGAGTGGTTAGGGTCAAGAGATCAATTATCCTTCCCCCAACCAATACTTGACTCTTGCAAACAAGATTGCATCATCAGTATTGATGTAACCAAAAGCCACACCAATAACAAATTAATATATCAGTAAAAATGATCCAGTCAGCAATCCGTAACACAGTGCAAGAATCCATATATACATGTAGAATTGCAACAAAAACATGCAAAAGTAACACAAACTTTCTTAAATGAAACCGAAACAGTACAGATTTAAAGTACAGAGTAAATTGGAAAGACACATTTGACAGGATTAGGTAATAAACTTGTGCATAAATGAACATCCAATAAAATATTCTAGCTGATTAAGATGGAGTTAGTGGTCAAATCACCAGAAGGAAAATCAAACAAAAAAAATTACAAAATGCAAGACACTGATAAAGACACATTAAAGGGACTCTATCAGATCATGGTTTCACTTCATGGACCTGGTAAGTCAATTTTCCTCATGACATAAACATATGCTAAGCAGAAAACTGGGGTCAGCCGACAAACCGCCATGAGATGTATAAACTCATTTGACCAATCCCAGCTCCTCTCTACTAAGCAGTATGTTCTTGCTTACCAGCTCCATGAAACTGGGCTAGTGCTGTTAATAAGACCACTACTGTTTCAGAAGACCAAGAATGCAATATTGCCTATACAACCATTGTATCCGAGTCCAAAAGACAGGTGACTGCATGCTATCTACCTGCTTACTTGTAAGCTATCTTTCTGTGATCATAGGTCAATGGTGCTGGTTTTTGTTTACCTGACTGAAAGAAGTACATGTACATGTACAGTACATGTACCAACTCCAAACTAATACGTTGAAAATTGTCAGCAAGTGTGATAGCATTTACAGTGGCATCCATCACCATCACACTGAGAAATCTTCATATGACTTTTTTGACATTGAAATCGGACTCCTCATACAGTTCCCCCTCCCCTCCCTGGAACAAATTATAATTTCATGCCAAACTTCTCTCAGATCAAACAAAAGCGACTGAAATTTTTTGGGGGGGAAAGTCATTTTCTGTTCCCTGGATTCTTCATTTGATATGGAAGGGATTTTGTAAACAAGAAAAAAAAATCAAACTCCGATTCTGTACAGTGTCTATTCTGGGAATTGATTACTTTTCCAGAAATTTCTATGCATGCCCATTAGGCATCTGATGACTTTTCCAATATTTCCTATTCTGCGTACAGGGACACAGTTTCAATGACATGTACTTTCACCTTGCGTAAAAAAAACCAGAAAACCTCTCTGGAATGTACTTCCAACTTGCGGAAAAAACACAGAAAAACTCTTTGGAATAGAACTGCCTATTGAGACTACAAGTCCTGTATTTTAGCTCAAAACTCTCAGTGAAATGGGAAATGATTTTGAGTTATCAAATAGAACAGGGCTGATTTATGAGCTTATGAAAGAGAAGAAAATTTCTTTTGCACTGAGTTTCTGCTCTGAATGGATATTCCAAACTGATGAAAAAGTCTGAATTTCAGCCAGCTTTTTTTCCCCACGGGTGATGATTTCTCTTTCAGTATTTCAATACTTCTTCCATACTCTAACATGTCTAAACACAATAAAGATTGCAAATTTATACAAAATACACCATCAAAACCAAAAGAGATAACATACCTCTCAGCCCACTTTCATCTGATTTTGTAAGACCCGAAATACCAAGAAAAGGCCTCGTTAAACGACATGTATTTCTTATTAGTCTATGTGTTGGTCCGGGGCCATTAAGGGAGGAATCAGAATTCTCCTGCAACAAATGGTGCTGATAGAAACACGCCAAAAGAGTGCATAACTACCAAGATCAGTCTAGGATAATTCCAGAAATTAAGGGTCCAAAAGTGTAAAATTTTTGGAATCCTTGTTACATCTGACCTTTGCTATTTGACATGGAAATATCACCAGAATTGATTTCAAACTATTACTATTTGTTTGGCAGGTAATTTGCATTAATTGATCACTCTTGGAAAATAGAAAATGTGTTCTGAACTTACAAAATCACCTGTCACATGTGACAGGGACATGAAAACAAATGGACTTCTACTTTCTGGAATTACCCTCTAAACATAACTGAACAAAACAAAACAAAAAACATTGAACATAAATCTGCATAAATTAGCATAAATACACCACATTTAAAACAAAAGCATGCTAACACCCATGCTGTCCCATTGTAAAACCATGCAGCTACATGTAGATCAGATGAAATTAAGGCTTCCATCAGCTGGACTACGAGGCAGAAATGAACAAATTAAATGGAGGTGGAGAATAAACCTACCGGATTGTCTACGTCAATTGTCTCACCATCGGACGAGAACTATGAATGAAATTGGAATGAAGGAAAGGAATAAAGCAGGAGGGGAAAAAAAAGAGAAAAACAACGGGAATGAAATGAGACAGAAAAATGAACAATGCTGTGTGGCTGACTGGTGATGGCACTTCATTACATCCCTCACCAATTCTTGCTTTGCTACACAGCAACAAACTACAAGTGCATGCAGGCACAGACAAATCCAAGGAGACGCCATTCCAGCGGGGCCATCGCACTCAAGCACGCCTTAACGTGAGTACGTGCACACTCTGGCAAGTCACGACACCCTGTTGGTCGAAGAGGGATGTAACAAACATGTACACAGTACCACCTACATGTACGTGCAAACAGGATGGCCCCACAGTAATTGCTTCTTATTCTTTTATACCTGAGTTGTCTACATCATCAATTCACAGTCCCAAAACACATGTACGTTCCCTCACTTCATATTTTATTCGAGAACCTTCCTGACTCCTCCAAAGTCCACCACTGTACAGGAAACCCAACAGTTTCTTTGAACTCACAAACATTCAAGGAGTGTCATCAAGCCCCATGCACTGTGGCTGTGACTGGGCTCAACCTTCCTTGTTCCTAGAAAAGCCCTCCAAACCTCATGGTGGATTTTGAAGGATCGAAGAGAATCAGGGTCAAAGGTTGAACATTAACAACAAATATACTTTCCACTTCCAGTGCAGTTTGGACTCGGCACAAACCCTGACCGATAATTCACTGAGAAATAACATGTACAGTACATCGTGCCATTGGTTTTCCCTTCAGCCATTTTGAGAAATTTGCCGACAGATGTGGCATATTGTCCCACTAATGAGTGGCAGTTTTGCCCAGATTTGTATGGCAGGGTACTTCAAACAGTAACCTTTAACAGAGCTGTGGCAGGGGAACTTTCTTGTTAATTAATGAGACGGATGTTAACATGAATTGTGTGTGTACTGGCTGCAGTGTGCTGTGTTTATTGCAATACAACATGTAATTTTCAACATGAAACGGTTGGAAAAACAACAACAACAACAACAACAACAACAACAACAACAAAAAACCCAAAATAAAAACAACAGATTTCACTCTTTCCTTCCAAATATTTTCCAGGTTGTGCGTGTTGGGGGGACGAGGAGAGGAGGGGTTCTGTCTATTCATTGTGATGGAATACCAAGCTCAAGTGCAAATGTACCAGAACCTCCTGAAATGTCAGGTGATAACATTAAATCCAGAAAAGTAAAGAAAATTGTACAAAAGCTTTTTAAAAACAATAAAACAAATGACAAGAAACATAAAAATGACGATTGCTGTCGTAAAGCCTGAAGCTACGAGTACATGTACATGCATCTTACTTCAACAAATTTGACACTGATGATGAACTTTCCAAAGGGGCCAAATTACACTACTATGCTGGACAAGTTCAATTTACAAATAAAGCTGCTTGGTTTGTGCTGGTTATGATCAGCGTGACAATATGTGATGTGATGCAGACATGAACACAATATAAAGAACCTTGGAGGGCAAAAAAACCTAATGTACATGAATGTGGTGATGATGGCGGTACATGTGTGTGTATTCACATGTAGGCCAGACAAGGCATTGTACATTTTCGTAAAAGGGTCGGTGCAAGAAGGTTTTGGGTAACAAGTAAGGCTTTGCTGGTTTATACCAGACAAGTGACCTTTTATTCTTGGTACAATGCATGGGGTAACCCCTGAAGTGGCACACTTTGATATTCTTTCTTTAACGCCTTGCCCGAGATTTGTTCAAATGCTTCACATTAGGGAGCCGAAGCCCAATTTTGTGCCCACTTTCTGAAAATCTCCTTTTTGGAAGACACCGAGGCAGAAGGCCACATAATTTTCATTTGAAGTTTGATGATAAAAAGTACCAATGCCTAACCTAAACGAGTTTAAATAAATCCTGCAAAGAAAGATGGGAAGACTTGGCACTAAAAGTCCGGGAAAAAAGTCAATGTGTGCCACTCTAGACTTTCACAGAGTTTCCAACTTTTATCCCGACACTGCATGAGGCAAAGCCCTCTATACGATGTAGTGGTAGAATGTGGGACTTTGGAAACCAAATGGGTGGAGCTCAAGCTGCGGGCTCGTTATTCAAATCATGGAGGAAGGAATAGATGATCAAACATACAATCCAAAAAATACAACTACACGTCGTCACTTAATCTTGTTAGCTTGAGAAATCAGCAAGGGGAGAGAGGGGGACAGGGGAGGTGTCAAAAATACTAGAAGAGACTAGTTTTGGCTACGTGTGCTTTGGCGCGACCAAATCGAGCAGCCATCAAAAGGTCGAAGGCAAAAAGAGCGACAAAAGCACAAAGAAAAACCAATCACGCAATCTACATGAGTCATGTCGAGGAACATGCAGGGAACAATAAAATAACAATGCCAGTGCACAAAACTCCACACGAGCTCAGCAATACTGAAAGCACCACTGGTCACTGCAGGCAGACACTGCGTAATTCATGGGGGGGGAAGCAAGAGAATAACCACACCAAACAAACCCTTAACCCTGACATATTCAAATGCCACAAGCGGATACAGACATTAAAATCAAAGGGGAAATTTCATTTGTGCAGCCATGCAGCCTACTCAGCGAGACCAAACAATCCTGTCACAAATTATCCAATGTCAGGATGCAGCGGTTGAGAAATGCTTCATTTGAGTAATGCTTCGGCTGTGCTGCACAGGGCAACACTGTGCTTTCAAACATGGCATTTTCCTGCCGATAGGCATTTAGCTTTGGACATTCATAATCCTTACGAAGTAATGGGGTGTGGATATGTTGTGTACTTCGGCTTTTAAGGAATTCAAAGCTGGCAAACTTTAAACAGAGAGTAATTGACTTTTCATTTTTAAAGAACACACAACCGTGACCCGTGTTACCAAAAATTTGATAGTTTAACAGCAAATTTATTTGAAAGGGAAGGTCGCTTTTCAAATATAATTTCATATAACAGTTCATGTATGCTATTTTTCATTCTGGCGGTCCACAAATGACCCCTTTTCAATGAAAAAAAAAAAAAATGGAAACAAGAGCTGTATAACAAGATAAGAACGGAACTGCACCAATTTTTTGCTATGAATAATGCAAGGCTGAAACCGATTCAATTGCTTCCACACAAGCACAGCCTACCAGCAAATTTATTCTCAGCAAAATATTCATACATGTGCAAAGGTATGTCCTCCATCAGGTGCTGCAGTGTACATACAGTTATCTATAACTTGCAGCAACTGTTACTGTTGACTTGTGCGAGGGATTTATCACTGCGCACAAGTTATTTTGTAATAGCGACTTCTTTTTCTTTATGTGAGGCAAAATAAAATGGAAATTATTTTGCTCAAGGTTGGTCATAATAGATCTGTGTTTCTAATCTTTTTTTATGTAACTAGCAAAGTTTGAAAGAGAGAAAAAAGCACGACCAAAACTGCCCTGTCACATGTACAAAACACCATGAATACAGAAGCTTAACTTGGTACAGAAATTTTGGAGTCAAAGTTTTTCCACTGCATGGAATTAATCAACTGACATGGATTGCAGATTTCAGCATGGGATAAGCATATTTTGACTTATTCCCAATCAGGTGGATATTTGTTTCCCAGAAATACATTTATCTAATTTAAACCCTTTGATGATCGGACTGAACTTCAATATTTTGTAAACTACTTCAACAGTGTACACATTTATACCCTGATCTGCGGCTGAACTAGTTGAGTTTCAATCACTTTTTGCTGTGGGGTGCTACTTTATCAACTGTGGTAAACCACAATTCAAAGGAAGGAAATAACAGTTCTCCACGACTACATGTATATGTGCATGTTCGTGCCATGGAAATCGGTTTTAGTTGAGAAGGGACTCTCCCAAACTGGAAATTTTCAGGCTAGGAGTCCAAAAGAAAAGATAACAGATCGGATATGTTCACGTTCATATTTTAATTGGTATCTTTGTCAAGGGACACACGTGACTTCTTTTCCCTCTTTGTGAGCTTGCCGGCTGCACCATGAAGAAACGGAGAGTACAGACTTAGTGCACACAGCTTCCTGGTGCAATCAAGTTATACATTCGTGTCCTTGAGCATGTACACATGTACATATACATGTACGAGTTTGTCTGCCCTGTACAGGTACACATGTACTGGTACATGGTCTCGGCAAATACTCTCTTTGTAAATTTATGGAAATGTACTGGCCTTACTAATTAGTGAAAGTAAATGGACATCACACAAAAGTCATGGGGATGGGGAGGCACTTTTTTGGGCTGCTCCGTCCTTTCTGACTGTATTGGAGGGCACACGGGGAAATCACACAAAGCGACACGCACAGTTACAAACAACCACGAAAATACTTGGATCACTACAGCAAGAAAAATTGGCAAACACATGTGCTTCCAGCTTTGGTGAGCGACAACTAACATTCTGTGCTTCCAGCTTTGTTGAGCGACAACTAAAACTCGGTGATCATTGCACAAATACGCACTATTGTCGGACCAATGTGTAGGCAACAAAGTGGTTGATGATAAAAAAAAAATTTGATAAAGAAACGGAAAAACTGCAACGAGTGAAATTAAAATCAACTTACAAAATATGTGTTGAATGCTGTTAGCTGCCGTTTCAAAAAAAATGAAATAATCATAGAATTATTGCAATTACAATACATGGGTCTGTTATATAATCCCAAAACAATTCTGAATTGGCAACTACAAGAGACTGGCCTTCAAATAAGGTCATGTGATCAAAAGAAAAAAGATAACCTTAATCCTTAAGGATGTTTATAAACAAAAACTTTCAAGTTTTTTTTGGGGGGGGTGGCTTGATGGGAAAAGCAATTACACACGTAAACTGAAAGGACTTTCTGAACTTGTGGAAACTCATTTGAACAGGAAAAAGTCCAACCACTGGAAAACGGCATGTCACATTTTCAACAGGGAGCCAGCATCAATGAACTATTGCCAGTCTGCTACGACAAGAAATCTTCACATCTGAATCAGCAATTACCACACAGGTAGTGGTTGAGCGGTTCAGACATTCACAGCAGCGACCAGGATGTTGTGGGTTCAAGCTTTCTAATAATTCACTAATATACCAAAAGCACCAAGCAGAAGCGTGCAGCGCTAGTGAAGGGTAAACCTGTGTTGTCATATTCTTGCATTCACGTTTGTTCACAAAACAAAAGTGAAGAAATTCAACACTCTGGAGCGTTAAGAACAGAAGAAAAAAATACAATGTTGCACTTAGACCTCGGACAAGCCCAGAAATGTGTATGTCCTGAATCAGCTGGGCACAAATTTTCTGGCATGGCCATTCCTTGACAATGAAGTCCTCTGGCCAAGTCTGCTTAAACACCGAAGACTTGCTGACAGGGTTCCCACTGAAATCTGGAGATCAGATTCATGTGAGTTTTCCAGGACATTCCAGGACTAAAATTTGAAGAGGTTTTGGTATCCTAAACCTGGAAGACTGACAAACCCACTACTTCAGGCTGAAAAGGATACAGCCTGCCCAAAACTGTAATCATCCCATCAAAAGAGGCCCATCAAAATAACCCTGCGTAATTCCAGAAATTCGGGGTCCATTTTTCTTCATGTCCCTGTCACATCTTACATGTGATTTTGTGAGTTCAGAACACATTTTCTAGTTTCCAAGAGTGATGAATTAATGCAAATTACCTGCCAAACAAATAGTAATAGTTTGAAAACAATTCCGGTGATATTTCCATGTCAAATAACAAAGGTCAGATGTAACAGGGACACAAAAATGTCACCTTTTTGGACCCCTTATTTCTGGAATGACCCATCTCCATGATCTCGATTTCCATGACTTCTGTACTATTTTTTCTTCTGACAACAGGGTTCCAAGACACCCTATTTTTTCCCCCTACTCTCCATGACTCTTTTTCTTTTGTTTTTAATTCCCAGGACAACTTTTTTCAAGGTTTGTTCCCCAGAAAACCGGTGCTAAGCAATCTACTTAACAAATACATTTGTAAGCAGGTTGCCTGTCCAAATTCCAACTAACAATCAGTTCCTGGACACTGGTTCTCTGCAGACAACTGCTTTGCACATAAAGGGTGTACTGTCCCAATTCATGGAAAATTCTCTGCTAGGCCAAGGAGCTTCTTAAAAAGTACCCGTGCAAATTCTGCTGAAAGAGGGGTCTGTGCGGGCCAAGAAATTGTGGGATTGTGTAAGTATGGTCTAGGATCATATCTGCAGATTCAGGGGCACCCATCTAGGGGCAAGACAGACAAAATGTGATTGGAAATTTGTCAGAAGAGCCTGACAAAAGTGAGGGATGTCATTTGAAAAGTGGCTGCTGGGAAGACTTGGGAACATTCACTTTTTGGGAGATGAGTTTGTTTTAGTAGATAATTGAAAAATTCATTGCTTAACCTACATGTACTAAAATTTGAAAATCAAATGAGATCTGAAGGACCAAACAACACATTGTTTTTTGTTTGAGAGGCCTCAGGGCCTTCAGCTGCCTGCCATGGGGCTCCAAACTTTGTTGGTTGTACACTTAATGGAGCTTGAATTAGTTCAGTGCACCCATAAATTTACTAAGCGATATCACCTACTTAGGACAGAGCAACCCACAATGTAAGTGGGCCACACTAAGTATTGAGTCTGGTATCCCGACTGACATCCACCAGTAAACCACTTAAATACACACTGATTTTTTTTTTTCAGTTTCTTGAACTCCCACGGGGTATCAGGGCTGCTCTGCATTTGGCTAATAGATTGATGCGCGGCCAGGAGTCCGATTACATGCACCACAAAGCAACACAGAAGATAGTGATAAAGATCTCTGTGACAGCTGTTAGAAAGATCACATCTTTAAGGTCAGAAATATCTGTTCCTGACCTTTCAAAACATTTCAGTCTCTCCACAGGGTTAAGAGATCTGGCACCAAAAATAGACAACGCCTGCAGTGAGATATCAGCAGGATTTGGGCACCTCAAACACAGGCAGAAATGCATGTACATGTATGCATGTAGGAACATTACTGCAGGTCATGCATCTTCTAAGAAAACATGCTACACACTTTGATAACAATCGCATTTTAAGGTCTAGCCCTTTCAAATGAAAGTGATATCCAAAGGAAACAAATTGTGCACCGACGAGAACTGAAACAAGGGGATGACCAGGAAAGATGTAATACAAAGAACTTAACACTTTCGTTCATGCATGTAACTGCACACATAGGCAATGTTCAATTCATTTTTCAAGTCTAAATAAGATATAAGAGCTACGTATCACCAAAAACATGAAAGGAAAAGATGGGTGATGAAAGTACAAGTACATGTATGTATATAGCACGGTTTTGCAAATGGTTGTAAATTTTGCATGAACACTCAATTAGCATACAGGCCTTGACAAGTGATGCCACAGATCCCTTTTATTTATCCTGAATATGAAATTTTCCATTATCAGTCAAAAATTGAAAATGTTTCTTCTGTCCATTTGTGACAGTAGAACGGAACAAACGTGGTCACAAAAAAACACTGTTTTTACTAGTTTTCATTTACCTTCATAGTCAGCATGCTGAGCAAAACTGTGTTAGCGCACGTACAATAATACTACATATGCACAAGATTTATAACCATCCCGGGAGAACACTGGCAATACAGACAGTAATTCAACGGTTCCCTGCACTGCATGTGTACAGAGTAGTTAATGCCAAAATGCTAAAAGCACTCAATGAAAATGTGCTGCACACTATTAACATGACTGGCTCCCTTCTTCCCTTTGTGCATCAAAGGCATACAAGACAGACGCAAAAACAATTTATAAAGAAAAAAAAAATTTCCTCAGCCAACAAGGACGGACAAATAAATGAACCCAACAGTTAACAAATTATTCATAAATACTCGGAGGTGGCAATGCTGTAAAACCCTGGATAAATTCCTTTCGATTAAAACCTGTGACTAGTGCAATGACAAAATGAAATGAAATTTCATTTGCTGATTTACCTGATGCAGAGCAGGACCAATGACGGGTACCAGGAACCCGTCGTGAAAGTACTGCACAAGCTGTGTGCTGACGAGCGGATGTGCCACCTGATGCGAAAATTGAAGAAGAAAAAAAGTGAAACAATGTGTGTTATCAACTGACACCTGATGCCCTCAGGAAAAAAAAATGTGTCAGAAATTACAAACAAGTGGCTGAACAGTATCAGACCACTAATTTTTCCAAGCCACTGCATTGTGTAAACAAGCAGCTTTGTCAAGTACTCTGGAAATGGGATGTGCATGTATAAAATTACATAAACTCACAGAGAGGATGCTACACTGTGGGTATCTCTTTAAATCTGTTGCTGGATCACCACGTTAGAGAAAACCCCACATTTTCAGCTTGGTAATTCTCAGGATTCTGACGGGCAAGTGTGATGCGCATCATAAGGCCTCGCCTCACAGCCTATGCATCAGCTTTAATTTATGTATCATTTTTGGCTACAAAATCATGCCAACGTGTAACTCAATTGTTGCATGGATTGGGGAAATAATGCTCTCTGTTTTTGAATGATTTCTGCAGGTAGGGAATAAAAAATCTGCCTGCTTTGTGGATCCCTCCGACTTCAAACTCTTTTTACAGTACAATGTCAAACACTCTTGTCATCTCTTTAAGACATGTGAGTCATTCTATAAATTTGGGACCCAATGTTTTCCCGTCCCTGTCTGGCGTACAATTTTTTTTAATGCTTAGAACTCAGTCTTTAATTCACAAGACTGAATTAAGTACTGCTCATTACCTGCCAAACAAATAAAAATGGTTTGAAATCAATTTCAGTGATGTATACATGGAACTTGTCAAATTACGCAGGTCAGGTGTAACAGGAACGGTAAAACGTCACACGTCAAACCCCAAATTCATAAAATGACCCATAAGCTTGCATGGTTAGTCTAAAGAAATTGTAAATTTGAAAAAGATTAACACATCACAACTCCCCCTCCAAAAAAGTCACCATACAAATTTGCCAGCTGCAGTTGGACAAGCAAATCAAAGCAGAGAGAGGGTCTTATGTTGCTAATTCTTTGAATATCATCCTGGTATGGCCAAACCATAACAACTCACTCAGCATCAACAACAATTTGCATCTATTCCAAAGGGAAACGGAAACCAGTTTTTCCCTCCACACATTCAATTCAACGCACGTAATTTCAAATTACTCAATTTGCACAGATGGAAAATACAACATTTTTAACCAATTTAAACACTGCTGGAATACAATACATTTTCGGCATCGTAACACATATAGCAAAAAGAAAATCGTTCAGTTCAGCAAGATATTTGTTTGCTTACATGTATACAATGCTTACATGTATAGAATATGCCATGACATTTCCCCAGGACAAAAATAACACTGTTACCTTTCATGTACAAAACTGAATAACAGAATGTATACTGTATAAACCATAAAGCTTATCACAGGATTGTCTCAACGATTTGGCAAAATAAGCACACATACAAGAGCAACAAACTACATCTAACTGTGGATATTTTAAAAAAAGCTACGACTGACTGGAATTCAAATAAGTTCCAGACTCGCACTCATCTAAGTTTCAAGGGAAAAAAGTACACTATACATGTAGATGTGCATGTAATTCATCACACATGCTGAGGAAATAAAAATGAAACCGAATCAATCAGAAACACTATCAGAAAATAATACATGTGGAGTTGGGTTGTTCAGAATAATACATGTTGTTATCACAACGATGTCGGGGTGCGTTATTATTTTAATACATGGATAAATGATCTAGAGTGTGCGTAAAAACATTGTGTCGTGTTTTAGCTACTGTCAGGTCAGTGGTCAATAGAGATCACTTGTGCAGCATGTGAAAATACATGTAACCGTTCACCACTTTCGTGATCCTGTGCGCACATGTGAATCTATCTGGAAAGCCAACAATGTCATCACCTGATTCAGGTTGTTTATCGTATTTCTGTTCATACAAATAAGGTACATAAAGTACATAAAAATAATGACCAAAAAATACAACATGACAGAATGAATGGGGGTGCTGTCCAGAGAAGGTCTAGCCTTCTGTATGTGATTCACTCAAAACTGATGTTGACAAATCACAGAGTGTCATATACGGTCACATGATCTTTTTGTAGGAAAATGAGCGGTCCAATAAGCCATTTGCCAGTTAAACTTGAAGAAAATCTGGTACACTATGTTATCTGATTGCACATAAACTTAACAATTTGAATTCCTTTGACTAAAGATTGTTGCTATACCTCGTGATTCGAGGCAAAGCTTTTGCATAGCAACCACCATCTCTGAAATGGACTAGTTCCTTTGTGCCCTTTTTATCCATTGAGAACAGTGTATTGTTACAAGGCGTCTCTTACATGTAGGTAAATAAGCAAAATCTTGCCCGGAATCACGAGGTATAGCAACAATGTTTTTAGTCTGGAGAATTCAAATTGTTATCGTATGCTCATGTGAATTGAAAGAACTCAGTGTACTAGATTTCATTCAAATTTAACTTGCAAATGGCTTATTATAGTAAAGAAGAAAAAATCAAGATAAACAAAAACAATTACTGCCTCGCCGACTGAAGACACGAATAACAATTGAGTTTCGTACAAACAAAATTTGCATACTGTAGTTTGACAAGTAGAATTCCTTGAGATGCTTCACAAAAACACTTCTAGAACAATTAACATCATCTCTTATGCTTTTAGGTAAAGAATGAATAATTTTTGGCAGAGTACATACACATACATGAGGCCGGTACAAGGTTTACATTTCTCTGTATAACAATTTTAGAAGGATAAGTTAGGATTGTTCATGGCAAAATGAAGCAGGAACAGCCAAGGAAACCATCAAAAACCACCTTAAGTGAATTTTCACATTTAATTTAAGAAAAGTTTTCTGTCTAAGTTCTCTCCACTACATGTACAAAAAAAGGAAGGTACACAGCGAGCATTGCACAGAGTCAAATAATTCAATCCCCTTGGCTTGATACTTTTGAAGGCATTAAAAAAAGAAAAAGCAAGTTTGTTTTATTCCATTTATGACTCTAGAAGTTGTCCCCGGACCAGCGAGCAAATAACTAACAGCTGGTGCAGTCAGTCCGATTCAATAGTTTGTCACTTCAGCGATCACTCCCCTAAAACTTAAGTCCTATCCGCGGAATCACTGTTCCTTTCATTTTCTGAGGTAACCTTTAAAACTCAGACAACTGTAGTTTTTATAGACGTATTTTGTGGGTTCTTTTTGTGGAGTTTTTATATGAATTTGTTAAAAGTACAAATCCAAAAAAACTAGGATTGAATAACTGTGTGATGTACGGGCCTTCTTCAAACTTTAAAACCCTAACCTACCTAACTAGCAGATTGGATTATGAGAGATATTAGGCATATCATTGATCCTCAACAGTGTGGCAACATGAAAACTACATTATCATTACATCACACATTATCTCATAGATACATGTATGCTTGATGTAATACATAGCAATATTGATAAAGGTGGTGTCTCTGTCAATTTGTGTATATTTGATTTTAGCAAGGCCTTTGACCATATTAACCACACTAAAGTAGCTAAAAAAACTCATTGAGTTTGGGGTTGATCCGTCAATTCTTCTAACTGTTCCTAATTTTCTTGTTGATCAAGCTTGAAATTCATTCATTGCATGTACATCGGTGTAGGAAACAATTGGTCTTAAAGCTCGCAAAATGCTTACTTGTATCTGACAGGCAATGCCACCTCTTGCCACCTCAGCGTAACTTATCATATTTCTCACAACATACTCTCAGGAATTCATGTCAATTTGAACAGCTGAAAATAAGGACCTGTAGATACAAACCTTTGCCAATTGCGTAAATGATTTGCTTATTAAATTAATTTAACCCTAACACTCCTCAATCCTCCAACAGGTGAAGGACTGAGGAGGGTTAGGGTTATTCTTGTTTTTAACAGCTTATATTTTTGTATCGTGGTTTTTTATTGTCCTATAAATTTTATTTTATGTTAACCAAAGTGTATTAGTCTTTGGACTTCTTATTTGGTGGTGTTTTAAAAAGAATATTTAAAGAATTGAATTGAATGGAATCCTCCAAAGTCCTCCAATTAGTTGTGTAAGAATTTGAAGGACTGAAGCTGTACGGCAGAAATGTGTGCGCGATTTTGGAGAATGCATCATGTTGAGGTCTCGGGCCTAACCTAGTGTTGTTTACTGTTCAGGCCTAGATTGTCCTCATGGCTCGATGATATCATTCACACTGCCGGAACATTTGAAGAGGAATTGATTTTGAGGGACTAAGGCAGTGGTAATCCCTCCATGGAGAACATTCAAGGGATAATTTTGGATATGTAGGATGAGGTTGCATCCAATTTTTAACGGGAAGGGATTGGAAGATTTCGCAAGGATGCAAATTGCATTCTTAATCTTATAAAAAGGCTTTGGGTTAACAGTTCACAATACAGAATGCATTCACCAAAAACCCTTCATCTCTTTTAAGTCAGGAAAACTTAGCAACAGCTTAGTCACTCACCTGGACCACTGCGTTGCAGAAATCCAGGGAGTGCAGGAACATGCAGAGATCTGGCATGACCGTCCAGTCTTCCCGGGTCAGGCAGTGCCAGTGGTCCACCTTGATGTCCAGCTTGCGAGGCAGGCGCGAGTACAGCGCCCCAAGACCTGTCGCTAAAACCTAAGCAAAGGGGTAAAAAAATCAAATCCGTGGAATGTCGCAAGATGAAATAATGACAAAGAGCTCTCCAAATTATTCCCAGGGACTCTTTTGCTTTGGAAAATGTAAAAGCTGTCTACTTTCTTTTACCCGAAAAATGCATTGATGGGGATACATATGTCTCATGCACAGTCTTACTGCCGTCACAATTGCACTGTAGTTTTTTTAAGAATTCAAGGGTGAGCCTTCTGAACTAGTCACCTGATATCATGGGTCAAAAAAGCTTCCTATATTGTGGCATCTGAAAACAGGGTAGGATGGTTGGAACCTTAAATGTTTTTCCTCATCCCCTTATTTGAACTTATTTTTAACGATTCATCGCGCAGCTAAGTGTAGACTGATTAAAAATAATGACAGCATGGGGTGTCAGTGGCATTTCTAATGAAATGAACAATACTTGAAAGGGTACCGGTTGCATGCACAAACACATCAGTTGAACCTTTCTAAGCTACATTCAAATAAAAATATAAATATTTTTTTCTTCATGTCCAATTTAACATTCTCTCCATATTTCCCTCCAAAAAATGCACCGTCAAAATAGGGTGAGTAGAGAAACAGGAAGCATATATGTGACTAATTTTTTTTGGAGATGGGCTGGCTTTGTGTATGGCCTGACGATAATAATCTGACTGCATGATGTATATGTACTTGCACAGCTGTTATTATCAGGGGAACAGGATGCCTCAAAGTACCAGCTTCCTTTTAAGGGACAATGTACAGTATATTAAGATGTGCCTAGCTAATGACACTAATTTCAAATCATCACAATTGAAAAAACTCCTTGCTCTACTGAGCTAAAACTGTACAGGAAGTATTTTATTTTCTTGGCATTGATGAAAAGCCTTTACAAATAATATCAAACACGTCTGTTCTTGCACGGATTAAGTGGGGGGGATCTGCATAGCCCCCCAAGAGTTTGTAGAGTAACGTTTTGTGCATAATTTGCTCCTACCATTCTCGTGATGAGTGCATGATGCCAGAAAACCTTAAAACGGACGGTGCACAAAAGTGCCAATTTATGAATGGAGGTAAGAAATGCTAATGTTTCTAATTACATGATGTTTTCCATGATTGAGATGAAACTTTTTGTAGATGCATTGAAACCGAGGATGCGTCTAGGTTCGTGCTAAGTTTCAGTGAAATCCATCCCTGCATGACTGGAATCGAACAGGGGACAAGATGTGCTCTTCCCCCTGCTAGGAAAAAGTAAACAAAAAGGACGGTCTTTTTGAGAATTAGCTCTACTGATTTCTGAGCCCTTTGTTCAATGCATGGCCCGCTCGTCCCGGCAGACTTACCGGACAGAGATTGGTGCTCTCGGTGATGTACCGGGCGATGTTGTCCCCCTGGCTGGAGACAGAGATGCAGAGCAGGAGGGCGTCCCGGGCCGTCTGACCCACCTTGCCGTCCCGGTGAAGGAAGGGGATGAGGAGGGAGAAGAGCAGGAACTTGGCAGGCCCCTGGCTGGGGCTGGCATGGAACAGATACTCCAGAAGCATCGGGTCCTGACAACAAAATGGTATTCCGTATGTCACCATAGAGTCATGGAAAGTTTTTAACTGGTCCCTGGTAAGCCCTAAAGAGTGTATCAATTTTTTTCAATTGATTAATCATTCTCTTTTTCATTTCAATTTCGAAAAATTTAACTGCCAACTTTTCTTTCATAATTTGGACGTAAGATACTTGTTTGAAGTTACCACAAGAAGGAAGCGAGTGTTCCGTTGTAAGATTTTCAAAAACAAACTCTTTCTCTTGCTGACGCGTGCCATTGTTTCTCGGAGAAGCATGGAACCAGCGGCCAGGTTTTGCAATTGAAAAGCCAGGCTGCGCTCAGGCAAATCAGGGGTCTTTGGGCTTTTTAAAAGTCGCAATGTTTGTGTGTAGAATGAAGAGTGATACATGACGAAGATTCAGGAATAAGGAAGATTCAGCGAAAGTACTGTGGATTTTCTTTTACTGAACTAGCATCAGTGGTTCACAGCATTTCATGGGCAATTTTGAAGGGTTTTCCTTGTATATGGTTTGAAAAATTTGGAGACATTTCTGAATCTTGAACAAGATCACAATCCATTTCAAAACAGCTGGTTAGGGGCTTGCCCAAGCCTAAATGTATCTTGCAAAAGAATGAAACCTACCTTTGACAAGGAGACGCACAGCTGGTGCAGCAGCAGGACCAGATGCAGTTCCACCCGCTCCGAGCAGCGCTCCGAGCACTCCAGCAGCAGGCACAGTAGCGGGTTGAGCAGCTCGTTGTGCATCAGCACCGCCTGCTTGGCCTGGGCCAGCATCATCTCGTAGATGCGCAGCACTTCCCGCTTCATGTCCTCGGCGTGCTCGCCGCCGCAGGCCAGACCCCAGGCCACCAGCCGCTGCATGACCCGCTCGGCGATGGTCAGCTCCAGCATGGGCCCCATGGTGCCCTCGGCCGGCTGCGTCTCCTCCACCAGCAGGTACATCATCTGGGTGGCGTAGTTGGCCACCGCCTGGATGTCGTCGAAGGTGGCCTTGGAGCGGGGGAAACTGCTGGCATTCTGTTTGACGATTATTCCTAAGACAGAAACCAAGTCATTCATAAACAGTCAAACACAAATCCAATAGTAAGCAGGCATGCAACCTGGACTTTGAAAAAAATGAGAAAATTCCAATCTTCACAAGACTCTATATAATGTTTTTCAATTTTCAATGGCTCGAGGATAAAGCGAAAAACCAGGAAATCAGCTGATCCGAGGAAAAGTTGCTTGTCTCCATAAGCCATGTTTCCACTGGACTTTTTAAAACCACCACAGCAGATTGGAAGAATGACAAATTTAAGTCCAAGTGGGATGGAGGGGAAATTGATGTCCCCATTAGTTTGACAACCTACTCATGGTGTAAACTTAACAGGCTGAAGGGCTGCAGAAGCTTTCCAAGGAGTCATGGTCATTTTTGGTCCTGCTTAATCCAATGGGAATCAAATGTAAAAGTCCAAGTACGTGTAGAAACACATGTCCGTGAGTATCCCTGAGGGCGTGGAAGAAAAAGTTTAATTGGTAACCGGCCAAAACTCCATGTGATGTATATTGTTTTGGGATTGTATTTAGCTGTCTTTTGGTTAGAATGACAACAAGAGAGTTTGAGCTGCTAACCTGTTTTTAAGCAAGGTTTTTTCATGCTTAAGCAAAGTTTGTGCTTACGCAGCTCTATGAAATTGGCCACGCAGCAGTCTGTCTATAGACCCCTCCGAGAAGACTGCGGTGGCATCACACACATGCATGTTCTTAAGCTTGATGTGCATACCATTAGTCGAGGAAGCATTCAGCAGGAAAATTTTACTCGTCTAAAAGCACTGTGCCCCCGCACTTCTGACTTCTCAAGCTGGTTGTCAAATTACACAAGTGGGGAAAGAAAGATGCAAGATCGAGAAATTCACCTTTGATCTGGGCCCAGTGACTGCAGAAGACCTCCAGGCACGCTTGAGGGTCCGCGTCGGCAGGGACGTCCATGGGTCCGACCGATCCCACCACCCCAGGAAGACCATTTGAATGAGAGGCCGGGGTCCCGATGGAGGTGAGGGACGTGATGGAGGCATTGGAGAGTCGTCGGATCAGACGACTCATGCTATCAGCATCAAGAAAACTGTCCGCCGTGAAGTCAATCCGCTATACTCGTGAGGCATTTGTTGTCCAAGCGTAGATTATTTAACTTCCATTCTGTCCACAACTGAAGACTTTCAAATTGGCTTTTTTGTTGGCCCTGGTCACATCCTGTCACTCCTGTGGAGAAATGGGAACATTGGGGCAGAAAATAAGGCTTTTAAGTTTGCATAATGAACTAATTCAAACTGGACACTTTGTTGACAGACTTCATGAAAATTCTGACAAACCAACACGGATTCCTGAACCTGAATTATTGACTAAATCATCCTATCATTCAGACACTTACATCATTTTCATGATCATGAAATCATGTGCACTTGCTTTTTGTTTTCAACACTGTATTTGTAAGAAGTGTTCAATATTGTAAGATTGTAAAATGATTAAAAGCATACAATGGGGGAAGAATTCGGTATTGGAAACTCCAATTTTTGAATTGTCACAAACACCTGCATGAAGTCTCATGTACATGTATACAGGCATGCCACTTGGACTTTGATTAAAAAAAAACAGGAAAAGCAAATCTTTACAAGACTTTGCACATTTTTTTTTTGAATTTTCAATGGAATGAGTGTATATGAAAAAATAAGTAATCAGCTGATCCGAGGAAAAGTTGCATGCCTGTTACATGTAGTACGGCTCCAGGCACAATACAGTCGGAGATGAATTTAGCAATAAAACTGTGCCACAACACCAAGGCATTTTTTAAATAAGGTGCCAGTTACTTATCCAGGGATTTCACGAGCCAGGAAAGGAGGTTGAGTACGTTTGGGAAACAGGTTTTAAAAGTAGGGTAAACTTCTTGGAAATTGGGATAACCATGGAGCTACCTCCATGGGATGACAGTGATAACTGAAATGGAATTCTTTCTACAAAGGTTAGGCTTCAATTTCAAATAAAACCTGAAATCCAAACACTGTGCTATCACTTACATGTATTTATAATGTTATTGCCTCTGTCATGTCTGTTGGTTAAACATCCTAACATTTGGGCTAGGCCTGCAAGCATAAACTTTTACAAGTACTGACACATCTAGTCCAAGTAACTACACCATGCTACCACCCTACAGATTGCCTGTTTTAAACATTAGGACGTGATCTTGTCCAAATGGTAAAAAGGCAATGTGTGGTCTTACTTATTCGGATTATGAAAAGTGTCTGTCACTTGCATGACTTGTCAACTGTCTTTACAGTAATACTATAGTAACATGCCTAAGCAAGAGGTACCAAGCATGCCAAGCTAAATTGCATAAAAATGGTAGATAGCCTAAATAGAATTACCATACGATCATGATGAATAAGCTGAAGATTCCACATTTGGAATTACATGTAGGCCTAACGTAGTTGAGTGTGTTGAACTGGATGACGGTGTGATTGTACGGGCCAGCGTGAATACTAATGCCATGGAAATACATGTAGTCTCGGCAAAGAAAGTGGCTGTGGCTGTCTCGCCCCCAATTAGTAACACTAAACAGTATTACACTACATGAACAGTTTGTACAGGAGCAAGATCAACAACGCACAAGCGACCTTGAGCATGTCGAGTTCAATTTCACTCGACCATGTCACCCAAATTTGAACCGCAGATTACAGCAGGCTTCACATACCTGTACATTTCAGAGATCCTGTCGTGGAATCCTGATTCAATTAATAATCCGATTACGCGGCTGTACAGATCAACGACATCACACCTATCGCAGCTGCTGCCGATGGGCGTCCCTGTATTTCTAATATTTTATTTTATTTTTTTTCAACGTTCGATGGTTAACCGGCGTCCCGCACGGTCGACAAGTAATTTGCATTATTAAGTGGTTGTTTTGGAAGAGTACCAGTTGCCTATCATGTGATTGGCTACAAGCTGACAATAGAGGGCGCTTTCCAATTTTAATAGTGGGCATGCATTGCGCACTATTTGTGAAGTTGGCATTAGGTGTTGAGAAATAATTCTGCAAATGCCCCCACTCGTTAGCATTCCATGTCCCTAATGCAAATGGAAAATGGCATTTGTGCGAATTTTCTTCATTAAACGGTCGGAATTAGGTTCTGTTTGAAAAATTCTAAGGTTTACCCAGGGGGGTAACGAGTTATTATGTCCAGGGGCACCATTTTTTTCAAGGGGGCAGCACAAGACAATGAGTTGCAGCAGAGGTTGTTTATGAATTTCAAACGGGAGGGGGGGTAGGAGGCATTTTGCTGGGAGGCACGCCCTCCTCCCCGCTAGGCCACTGGGTTTACCAAGCCATTCACCTCACGAAAGGAGATCACAAGCCCGCCGTTGAAAAATGGAAAAACACAGTGAAACATGATTTGACAACAAAATGTGACCAAACCTATCACTAGTTCTGTGAGTAGTTTTATCGCATTCAAAGAGGATGTGTAAAGCTGCATACTCACAAAAAGGCATCCTACAAGTTAACAACTTAAAAAGCACTGTTGAAAACATTTCCGACACAGTGCACAATAGCAGACCTGCCAACATGCCCACTCCTTTCAGAGGTTGGGCAGTACCACACAGTAGATAGAACTGAAGGCTATTGTGTGGTAATGCCTGACCTCGGGAAGGAGTACGGCAGCAAGGTTGGCAGGTCTGCAGTAATCAACTATTAAAGCTTTTGTTGATGTGGAATGATCAGCAGTTTCAAAAAAAGAGCTTTATTTTGTTCCTGACAAAAGGAATACACATGGTCAATGGTGCATGTGACATGGCACTGAGACTGAAAGTATAATGTCAGCCTACCTCCAAACAGTCCTTTTTCCCCTATTTGTGACCTGCCCTGCAAAATAAGTCTTTGTTGAAATGGCCTTGGGTTAAGTTATATGAAATTACAGTTCACTTGTTATTACTGATCTGAAGTCATTTTTTGCACGGTTATTCATGCCGTATTTTGTCCATTTTTTTAAAATAAATTTCATTGGAGAAAAGAACTTTGAAAAAAGACATTGCACTGCAACAAAGCCAAGTCTTTTTTCAAGCAGTGCTTAAATTTCTTAAAACAAAGAACCACAACATATAAAAAGTAACAAATCTACACAAAAGAAAACTTTTCTTCCTATTCATATCTAGACGGTAATATCTTGACTTTGTGCAAAAATGTTTATTTCTTTTCTTAAAGTGGATAAGCTCTGAAAGTTTTCCATTACTTTGTGAATTGTTTTGTAATGTGAAACAACAGCTGGCACTGTCTCAAAAGCAGGAGATCCTATCAGACAATAGTGTGCTTGTCAAAAATGCCCTCGTCAGTCAGGCCTATTTGGCACTTTACACAATGATAGTCAAGTGATTGGCAAACTATGTACAAGTTAAAATCGAGCAAAGGAACCTCTCATGCTGATTTTTCCCTCTGTAAATTCCTAAGACCACCCCCAAAGCTGCAAGCACAAACTATTTACATGGAAATTCTCTCCTTTCTTTTAACCTCAGATCTTTTGAATCAGAATCCTAAAAAAAGGAGCTACCGAGCTCTGTTGCTTCAGTCAGTGGCTAACCAATCACTAGCGATACACACTGCATGCTACTTCTAGCTGGTAACCACTGAACAAATAATGTCTGAGTTAACTTTGGCTCTATGGGACTAGCTCCAGGTCATCAAAGAACTGATCAACTCTGCTTAAGTAAAATTTACTTTACATTCTAACCAAAAACTCAAACAGTAACACAATTTCCACCACTGCACCTTTCAATCTTATGTAGCCAATTTGTGATTAAAAACATGCAAGTTGTTACGTCCCTTGACGGGCAAACACTGTGAGACCAAAAATATCCTACAAGATTTTTTTAAAAAGGCTTAATCCAATTAACATAATCAAACAGGTTGAAAAGTCCATATACAATCGCGATGAGCAAAATTTGAACACAATTGTCAACCATCTTTACAGGGAAAACTTTTACCTCTATAAAAACTGAACTGAAATTCATAGAGTACCTAAATAGTTCTGTAAAACAAATGACAAAGTGTCTTGTGTGTCACTAGAAGCCAATCATTGAAATACAAAAGATCCACACCACCACACTGGACAGCTACAATACTTGGCTTGTCATTAACATTCAGATCTTGGGGGGAAAAAAAGAAGTCAGCACTACTTGAAAAGATTTCAAGAAAAAGACTCTGGTAACCACTTTCTGCTTGTCTTTAAGAGCGACATGCCAGGCCATGAAATACAACAACCCTGGGAAACAGCTGACTTTTTTGCGGAGCTCTAATCAAATCAATTTCAAATATGTGATACGCTAAGTGTCTGATCATCTGCACATCAGAGGTTGATTATGTTTGCCCTCTAGCTGTAAGTCTTTCACCCATTCAACAGAAATTGTGCATTTCTTTGTATATTGATACATCACTCAGTATTTACATCTCTCATTCAGCTACCCCTTCACCATAAATACGCATCCAAAAATACACATTCTAAACATTATTGGAAAAATGAAGGTGAAATGGCTCTGAAGTTCTTTAGTTTCATTGTCATCACGCAAGTGAATTCTTTCCTGTTCAAAATAATTCTATCAGCTGTAATATCTACAAACCAGATTTACATGATTTCAAACATAACTGACCTGAAAAGAAAAAAAAAAATTATGTGCAGAGGAATACGGCAGCAGGACATACAAATTACTTAAATGAAAGGTATCGAGCCAAAAATAAAGGAGAATACTTGATCGTTAGTTTACATTAGTTAACCACTCGGTGCTGGGGTTCCCGGTACCCGAAGACCTTGGGTTTGTACGCAGAGCCGGGGTGTCCGAAATCAGACAAAGCAGCTGAGCCTACTCGGAACCGAGCTGCTGGGAATTGCCCAAATATTTTCAGCACAGATCGCTGGCATTCTGGAGGTAATCTGTCATTGTTTTGAAACAGCATACCACTGTTTGCGGCATTCAGTGCCCGCGGATTATCAGTGCTCCAGCACTGCAACGATGAGCGATACAGCACTGCTGCATGCTAATCTGGCCGCATCTGTGAAGACACTGCTGCCATTCAGCAATGTACTGGGTCAATTTGGGGAACAAAGGAAATTATGCAACACTGCACAATGTGGGCTCTCTTTACTGGGCAGCAGGCCTGGCTGCAATACTTGGGCATAATGGAGATTGCCTGTCAGATTAGAGTAACCATCAGACAGTCATTCATGTGGGTGTAAACGTCCAGTAAATGAAGTTATGGATTTTTCAGGAATGTTGACGACTGACCCATGACCCACGACCAGACTTGCTCACGGGTCGTCACAAAGGTCTCAAAGCTCCCAACAGATTTTTTTTCGGAAAGTGGACTTTTTGTTCAGCTGCTTATTTTGCCTGATTTCCAATGCAAGAAGGAAACCTCTTCTCTTGGAGATGCTTGACGTTTAGGGGAGGTGTTGCGTGGCATCTTCATCGACAAAGAGAAAAGTTACTTTCCCAACCATTTGGCGATTGACCTCTGTGGATGATTGAAAAAAAAAAAGACCCATAAAATAAGAAGACGGCGAAATGTTAATTCCGGGGGGTTTCAGCAGTGCAATGGCACCGTCAGGGATCCTGCACCTAAAGGACAATTAAATTCCATGACTTTTTAATGAGTTTTCAATGACAAAATTATGATAATCCATGACCCAATAATTGCAATTTTTTTAACTCTTTGGACTTTTGAAGTTGCGAATAAAATCCCGCATTTTATGCACTTATTTCTGATAATAGAAATCACATGCAGTGTTAGAAAAATTCCATGACTTTTCCATGATTTCAATTATTTTTACAAAAGTCCATGACTTTCCACACCATGACTTTTCATGGAAAACGATTTTCCATGACTTTTTCATGACTTTTCCAGGCCGCAGGAAACCTGCACATTCTTTGTACTTGAAACTTTCAAAGGACATCGAGACCTATATAAAAATGCAGCATACAAGGCTCAACCATCTTCACTTGTGTAAATCCTTCCAAAAAAGCAAGCTGGAAAGTGTCTCCTTGAAAAGATGTCTCACTCAACGCATCTTTGGGAATGACAATCTGTAATCATTTTCAGCCGCCAAGAAAATTCAGATCACATGCAGTTTAGTGTGATCATCTTCTTTGAGCCGGCCCGATTCTTAACAATCACTTGGGTTGGTTATTTTGGGGATGGAAGCTCTGTACCAGAGAGCCATGGAATTGGGGTGCCACATTGTGCCCTTCAGATTAGAGCCATTGGCACACCTACCCTTTTGGATTTCTTGCTGGGGGTGATTGTTGGCAACGCGGCCTGCGCTTTGGGGCTGTTGGCCGCCTTCTTGGCCACTGTCGCCCGATTGGCTCGCCGCTTGAGCTGCGGCTTAGGTGAGAAGCCGATGCTGAATGCAATACTCTCCCGACGATTCTCGCTCTCCTATTGGGAATGACAGAAAATATTCACAAAATCATATATGATCCATCTGACAACCTTCCACGCTTCATTTTTGAAAAAATCTGACATTTTACCAAGTGGTTCCAAGTCACCACTTGATAGAAAGGGAAATTCTACTGAATGCTGTTGAGTCCATCACACGTCCTCTCATATCCATCAAATGTCCTAATATATCCTTCACAAGTCTCTACATGCCCATCATATGTCCTCATATCCCCAATCCCAAGAAAGTTCAAAAGATATTCACACTGGTTTTGTGAAAGGGCCCGTGGCTTACTTCAATATGGACTTGACAACAAAACGGACCGAACATAATGATTCAGCAGATCTCGGATTTACTTCTTTTTAAAACTTTAGTTCTGGTATCCCACGGCCAATCGCAGTTGGGCTGTGCCTACCTGAGGGGCCTTGCCTGTCCTGGCTGCTGGTTTCTGGCTCTTGTTTGACTTGGTGCTGGCTCGGAGAATTCCCGATCGCTGCAGTCGACTGCTGTTATTTGTGGTCTACAAAAAAAAAAAAGCGCACAATTAATTCTGTCAACGCCAAGAATTGACATTTCTGGTCAGAAAATTAACATGCACTTCCGGGAAAGTCCACTCGCTGGAAAATCATGCTCTAGGAAAACCCTTGCAATACCATGTAATGAAAAACCCAAAAAGGATTCCACCAAGGACTCCATCTAGGACCGAAACATTCATCACGAAGATCGTGCTTCGGCAACGATTCAACATACTCCCCCCGCGGCATTGCCTTGGAGTGCGAGAAACACCACTCAACACATCTGCGGCATATTGGTCTGACTGGTCGGCACTTGCAAAATCTGGCCGAGCTAATTCTAACACGGCCCCTCACCTTGGTCTGCTGGCTTTTTGATGCCTTCGTATTCTGCTCCGAAGCCGAATGCTTATCTTCCGGTGGGGGAGGTGGGGGCATGCTGTGCTGGGAGCTGGAAGGTTTCATCTGTTTGGAGGGTGTAAAGAAACAATGACATCGTGACAGTCGTACAGCAATTTGATTTGTTTAACTGGTAGAAGCAGTCTTTGCATATTTGGATCTGCCGTTTGCATACATAATTTATCATTCAATACATATTCAGTACTTTCAAAGATTTCTTTTTCACCATAACCTTTCAAGGAAAAGCTGCACATTACTCTAGCAGAAGGCAAAACAAAATTGAAATTAGCACCTCTTGGAAGTGATGATTCATTCAAACTGTGCAAATATAGTTATCCTTGAGGCAAAACTCGCCATGCTGAAATGTTGGACAATTCCAATTGTTCATGCTTCTACTAACTTTCAGTGTACATGACATTTTCGAGAGCTTGTATAGACACACAGGCCTCATTTCGTTGAGATGAGTCACCAATTTGAGAAGGGGGGTGTTGACTCATCACAAACCTTGGGCGGTGCACTTGGTTGAGGGAGATCTCCACTCTTCCGTTTCCGAGTCGTGCTACGCGTCACTGGTTTTTCTTCCCCGGTTCCCTCCCGCACAGTGGCGCCCAGCTTCAGTCCGTCCTCGGTGATCTCGGCTGGTGGGCGGGTCTGCGTCTCCACCGGGTAGGAGGTCTGGAGGTGAGGGCGGCAGAGCGTGTTGCGACGCTGGAGCTCAGCCAGCCGGTCCCAGTCGAAGGCCTCAGGCTCCTCCTCACAGGCTCCCACGAGGCAGAAGCCGGCACGGCCTGACAAAAAAGGAGGAGCAGAAACAGCCAGAATAGGGATGAGTCTAAACATGTCTCCAGCAAGCTTATTTCAGTGAGGCATGGCCTTTCAGGATAAGAGTTCTGTCGATGCACGCCAAACTTCCAGAAGGACGACTTACAGGGGGTTATTAACAGGTTTTTTAGGAACATCTCTGAAAATCTGATTGCCCCAACATATTGATGATCTCAAACAAGCTGAGGCATGCCTTATTTTGTGCATGTGAAATCAGCTGGAATAATGAATTGGTTCGTATTTTTTTATATAGATTTTGAGGCTGGCTAGCACACATCAGTTTCCATGACGTCCAATGTAAGGAACGTCACACTTGAATATCAATGCACGAGAATAAGTGTTAACTCATAAGTAGGTGCTGATGGCCCAATCAGTAATTGGGCCATTTCAAGCAGCATTACTACACATTGATAATTAGGCCACTACCCCAGATGCAACACCTCCCGATCCCCCCCTTACCTGTGGTCCGGCGACTGATCTTCGCCTGCCTCATGGAGGCCCGCAGCGAGCGAGCCTTGAAGGGGTCCGTGCTGAGTTCGTCGATGGTCTGCGAGACCTGGTCGGGGAGGTTGCTGTCCCCCACCGCACTGACCCTGGAGGCAGAGAGGGGCCCCAGGTGGCTCAAATTCAGGCTGTCCGACAGGTGGCTGGTCCTGGACAGGTGCAGTTGGTTGGAGGCCAGGGACTGCTGACTGGCCGCCAGGGACTGCCGGCTGGCCGTCAGGGACTGCTGCCTGGTGGTGGTCTGTTCTGTAGTGGTTATCTGGCTGGTGCTCAGGGAACTGTTACTGCGCGTGCTTAGGCGGCTGTGTATCTCGATGGTGTACGTGCCTGTAACAAAGCATCAGCATCATCAATAAGGGCATAAAATACATCGCTCTGCTTGCAGTGAGCAAAGCAATTCTGCTTAGTATAGCAGAAACCTCTGCGCTGATAGTTACCATATTTTATAAGTAAGCAAGAAATATTGGCTTACAACCATGCATTTTTGTGCTTTAATCACAAGGCTGAGACACAATTGTTTTGCCGGGTACTGCATTCACGGTAAGGGAATTCATAGAAAAAAATCTTTTGCTGGTGGAGACATGAATTTTTTTTTAATCATTTGTTAATCTTTTTAATTTTTAAAATTTTAAGATTTTAAATTCTATTCTTCTTTTGTTGTAACTTAAATTTATAAAAAAAAACTTTAAACCATTCTATGTTAATATTTGTTCTTCATCTGATACGATTGGAAAGCCCAACAAGAAGTTTTTCCTTTCAGATGATCCTTCGGAAGCTGATTAGATTCTTGCGGTCAGCGTGATGTCACTATGGACTTTTAACACACGGCAAAGGGGCCAATTTACCCTTCATGCTATTCAACAATGTACAGGATTTCTGTCCAAATCTTATTTGTTTTCTTGTGTGTGTAATGTTTTAACCTAGATATCCTGAGAAATGAAATAAATAAATAAAATAAATGGAGTATTTGGGCGTTGTGTCTGCAAGTCATCATTGCTCACAGAAACAAGCAGGCCTTAACCCCTGATCTCATCTACTGCTGTGGGACCTTGATTCATATACAATCTGAAATTTGCCATAAAGATCCATCGTCAAAGATACGGAGGGAAAATGTCGCCGGTTTCACCATGAAGTGACGTGTGGGATAGTTTTGGTGCACCGTAAGGCGACGTACCGTCCACAGACTTCGCACACACGATATGACAGTTCATTGTCAGCTCATGATGGAACAGATGATGCGGAATTACTTTAAGTAGAGACTGCAGAATCATTTTTACACATCTTCCAGCATGGAGTGGCTGAGCTACTGTTCCTGTTTGGATTGTTTTCCTTTGGATAAAAAAAAATCACTGCACTCACACTGAGATTTGTTGCTGCCCACGGACCGGCCGCTGGCAGCCGAGGCGTTGGAGGCCAGGCTGGCGTTGGAGGCCACGCTGGCCCTGGAGCCGGCCTCCAGCTCGGCCAGGCGGAGCTCCCCGTCGTCCAAGCTGTCCATGCTGGCGTCTGCCGGGAGCGGCTCTGCCATGAGTGGGGGAGGAGGGGCACTCGCCCGGCCAGCCTCCAAGAGGCGTTTGGTGTGATCCAGCTGGTAAAGGGAGGAAAGTTGAAACAATGGAAGACTATCATCAACCTTAACTTTGGGGACATAAAAATCACGTATTAAGGATGCACATTATATACTAATAAAACAAATATTTTTCAAATCTTGCAAAAAAACCATCAGTTGCTTGGCTGGGGGATGAATGAGTTTCCAACCAGGATTCTGATTGGTTGCCACCTACCTCCTCCAGCAGTATCTCTATCTCCTTCATCTTGCCGTCCATCTCAAATCCCATCCGAGCTTCCTGGGAGGCAAACTCTTCCGTCTGGCGCTCAACCTCCTTCTGGAATGCCTCTCTTTCCTCTTGGCGTAAGCTGCAGATATGGCACATTTCGGTACACTTTTTAAAGGTGAGTTGGCCCACAATGGCAACATGCAATCACCCCCCCTTTATGCTCAATCTGTCCAAGAGCTTGTCTGACAAACAAGTCGAATGCGGATAAAAATGACAATATGGACGCAGATTTTATGTAAAAAAACGGATGACGCAATTTGCCAGTAGCCGAAATGTATGCAAAGTGATAGTAAAATTGACATTTCTGTTCTGTTTGATTCTACGCTGAGTGCAAACTATTAAACCCGTCTTGAAGGATTGGTGCCGGAGTCAGGCTGGCATATGTACCGTTTCTGGTTATCCAGTTCTCGTTGAAGCACAGCAGTCGTCTTCTTGCTGGCTTCCTCTGCACTCCGAAGTTTTCCTTCCACGGATCTTTGATTCTCGATTGTCGTTTGTAGTTGGTCAACCCGATTCTGAAGGATGGATTTTTCTTCTTGATGTAACCTGGGTTGTGAATGTTTTAGAGCAGTTTGAATGAATTTGCCCTTTGAGGCAAAGTGAGTGTATGCTTAGTCTGTCAAAGAACTTGCTTAACAAACTATGCAAACTTTACGTTGGGTTTTTTTATATGTAGTTCGAAAATGAACACAACTCTAATCTAAACACGAATTTGACAACAAGAGGTTTCGTCTGCCAAAATTGCTGTAAGCTGAAATGTGACCAACTGAAGCGGGTTTGCAGTGCACAGTCAATTTCTTTACTTTCGCCTTCATGATTACTTTTTCTGCTAAGAATGAACTCTCCAACAAGCCTTGAGGACTAATTGGGGTATTCTGAGTCTTGCTGGTATATTTACCGTTTCTGGTTATCAAGTTCCAGCTGGAGCTGGGCGGCAATCGTCTTGCTGGCCTCCTCTGCGCTCTGAAGTCTTCCTTCTACGGATCTTTGCAGCTCGACTGTCACTTGTAGTTGGTCCACCTGCTTTCGGAGTAGGCATTTTTCTTCTTGATGTACCCTGTTGATGTGAACATTTCATTTTTTTTTACAACAGACCAGTCATTTGCAGCATAATGCTATGATCACTGTATGCTCAATGTCATTTTCAAGAACTTGGTCGACAAAATTTATGCGCTTCTTTAGGTGGAACTCAAAGGTTCTGGAAACCAAGAAAGAAAAAGTTACAATTTGTAGACTGTAAGGAAACATTTACAACCAAATTTGCCACTAGGCGAGATGTGTTAAACTTTTATAGATTTGCATGCACAATGACACAAATTTAAAATTTGCCTTGGATTTTTCCATGTAGCATAAACCAACTTTGAAAGCTAAGCTGGTTTCGAGAACCGGTTGTGAAGAGTTCTCAGTCAGAGCGGCATATTTACCGTTTCATGTTATCCAGTTCCAACCGCAGTTGGCGGGCAAGTTTCTTGCTGGCTTCTTCTTCACTTTGACGCCTATCTCCAGTGCATGTCAGATTCTCGATTGTCGCTCGTTCTTGGTCAATCTCCTTCAGGAGCAAAGTTTTTTCTTCTTGATGTAATCTGTTGGTATGACCATAGCAGAGCATTAAAAAAAATCCCTTCTCGGCATGACGCGTTAATCACTGTAAGCTTGGCCTGTCCCAGAACTTGGACAAAAGTTGCAAGTTTTAGGTTGGACTAAATGATTCTAAAGACTGAGGAAACAGGAACATCGCACGTACTTCAAATATGAACACCAATTCCCACCCATACATGATATTGATGCTTCATGTTGCCAAATTTGCCAAAGGTTGAAATGTGACCAACTTTGGCAGGTTTCCAGCACAGTGCCACACCTTTGACTTTGCACTATTTCACCAGCCTTGATGACTGAATGAAAAATTCTTTGTCAGGCTGGCGTATTATTTTACCGTTTCTGGTCATCCAGCTCCCGCTGAAGCTCAGCAGTGATCTTCTTGCTGGCCTCTCCTGCAGTCTGAAGTCTCTCTTCTACAGATCTTTGATTCTCAATCGTCATTTGTAGTTGGTCCACTTGGTCCACAAGTGTGGATTTCTCTTCTTGATGTAACCTAGCAGTATGAACATTTTGTGATTTTCAAAGAATTCGCCACTTACGGAAAATAACTACTGCATGCTCCAAGTCTGTTCAAGAGCATTTTTGACAAATTTGCGAGCTTTTTTTTAGGGGGAAACCCAAAGTTCACAGAAACTGAGGGAAAAAATTGATGTCTGCAATCAAGAAGCATTTGCAGCCGAGTTTACCAACATGTAAAATGGGTTCAATGTTTGTAGATTTGCGAGCGCAATGTCATAAATTCTCACTTGCACTGGATTGACTAATTGGATTGGATAACTAAACTGGTCTTCTCCATTAGACCAGCATTTTACCGTTTCTGGTCATCCAGTTCCAACTGCAGTTGGCAGGCAAGTTTCTTGCTGGCTTCTTCTTCACTTTGACGCCTTTCTCCAGTGGATGTCAGACTCTCGATTGCCGCTCGTTGTCGGTCAACCTGCTTCTCTAGCAAGGCCTTTTCTTCTTGATGTAATCTGTTGATATGAACATTTCCGAGAATTTCAACGAATCTGCCTTCATAGCATAGGGCAATAATCATGGCATGAAACATATTCACCATTTATATATTTTACCGTTTCTGGTTGTCTAGTTCTGTCTGGTGCTGGGCAGCCATCTTCTTGTTGGCCTCCTTTGCACTCTGAAGTCTTTCCTCTACGGATCTGTGCTGCTCGACTGTCATTTGTAGTTGGTCAACCTGCATTTGGAGTAGGCGATTTTCTTCTTGATGTAACCTGTTGATGTGAACATTTCAATTTTTACAAACGAATCAAAATTTCCACAACCAAGGGAAAAACTGAAAGTTTGAGCTCTGTCAAGAAGCATTTGTGGTCACATTTGCCACCTGGTGATGACATGTATTCAACATTTGTAGATTTGCCTGCACGATGTCACAACCCTGCAACTGAAGTGGATTTTTGCATGTACAGTAACCAGAAACCACACACATATGCCTGCCTGACAGAGAATTCGACATCAAACTTCCAAAGCCTGAATCGGCTTGAAGAGCTACACCAGCTTTGAAAACCGGATATGGAGTTCCCAATCAGAGCAGCATATTTACCGTTTCGTGTTTTCCAGTTCCAATTGCAGTTGGCAGGCAATCTTCTTGCTGGCTTCTTCTTCGCTTTGACGCCTTTCTTCAGTTGATGTCAAAGTTTCGATTGTTGCTTGTTGTTGCTCAACCTGCTTCTGAAGTAAGGCTTGTTCTTGATGTAATCTGTTGGTATGAACATATCAGAGCATTGAAAAAAAAATTTGCGTTTAATTCTATCCATTGAAAGTGAACTAAATAACCAGCCTTGAGGGCGGACCTGGGAAGATTTAGTCAGGCTGGCATGTTTACCGTTTGTGGCTATCTAGTTCCAACTGGAGCTGAGCTGCAATCGTCTTGCTGGCCTCCTCTGCACTCCGAAGTTTTTCTTCCACAGACCTTTGATTCTCAACTGTAGCTCGTAGTTGCTCAACCTGCTTCTGAAGCATGGACTTTTCTTCTTGATGTAACCTGTGATATGAACATTTTAGAACAGCTTTTAATGACTTTCGCTAAGAATGAACAATCAAACAAACCTTGAGGACTAAATGGTGAATTCTGAGTCTTGCTGGTATATTTACCGTTTCTGGTTATCAAGTTCCAGCTGGAGTTGGGCAGCAATAGTCTTGCTGGCCTCCTCTGCGCTCTGAAGTCTTCCTTCGACGGATCTTTGCTGCTCGACTGTCGCTTGCAGTTGGTCCACCTGCTTTTGGAGTAGGCATTTTTCTTCTTGGTGTAACCTGTTGATGTGAGCATTTCAGTGCAATTTTTTCATGAATTTGCCCCTCATAGCATAATGCAATCATCACTCTATGCTCATTCTGTCTAACGAATTGTTGGAAAAATTGGCAAGCTTAAGTTGGACTTTAAAAGTTTCTGAAAAACAAATTTAAAAAATGGGAAATCATGGGTAGGTCAATTACGAACAGAAATACTAACCTAAACATTATTTAGACGTTAAGAGGTGTTTACTCTCAATTTGCCAGAAATTTGAAATGTGACCAACTTTTGCAGCTTAGCTGTATAATGTCACTAATTCACAGCTGTGTTTAATTAATGTTTTCATCGTGATCTGTTTCAACAAGCGTTGAAGACTAAATGAGAAATTCACAGTCAGGCTGGTATGTTTACCGTTTCTGGTTATTCAGTTCCACACGGAGCCGAGTGGCAATCTTCTTGCCGGCCTCTTCTTCACTTTGATGCCTTTCGTCAGTTAATGTCAGATTCTCAATTGTCGCTTGTTGTTGGCCAATCTGCTTCTCTAGCAAGGCCTTTTCTTCTTGATGTAATCTGTTGATGAAAATATTTCAAAGCATTTTCAACAAATTTGCCCTTTACAGCATGATGCGACAATCATTCTACTCAACAGTTCCAGGAACTTGTTTTCAACAAATTTGCCCTTTGCAGCATAATGCAACAATCATTCTGCCCGACAGTTCCAAGAACTCACTGGACAATATTTGGAAGGTTTAGATTGGATTTAAAAGTTTGTATAGACTGCAGAAAAAAAATGAAACTTGCTATATGGATCGAATATGAACATGAATTCTAACCTGGACATAATTTGATGTTACGAGGGTTGTGCTGCCAACTTTGTTAAAATTGATATGTGACTAACTTTTAGGTTTGCAGTGCAATGTCATAATAATCACCTTTAGGTTTGATTTTTCGATCAAAATACTTTGAACAACTAAACTAGTTTTGAGGAATGAGTGAGGAAGGATTCTCAACCACGCTGGTATAGTTACCGTTTCTGGTTATCCAGTTCCTGCTGAAGTTTGGCAGCCATCTTTTTGCTGGCCCCCTCTGCACTCTGAAGTCTTTCTTCTATGGATCTTTGATTCTCAATTGCCACTTGTAGTTGGTCGACCTGCTTTTGAAGGAGGGATTTTTCTTCTTGATGCAACCTGTTGATATGAAAATTTGAGGGCATTTTTTGTTAAAGACCTTTATGCAACGTGATCAATGTATGGTCTGTATATTAACCCTAACACTCCTCAATCCTTCACCTGTTGGAGGACTGAGGAGTATTAGGGTTAACGAACTGGTTGAACAAACTTCGTGACCCCATTTAGGTAAGACTCGAGAACAGATGGAAAGCAGGCAAGCTGGTACTCCGTCGAGAAGCACTTGTAGCTTAATTTGTCAAAAAAGCTCATAATGTGTCCATTTGTTTGCACAGAGTGTAAACTATTGAACAGGCATGTGGAATTCTCAGTCAGGCTTGGCATGCTTACCGTTTGTGGTGATCCAGTTCCTGCTGAAGCTGGGCTGCAATCTTCTTGCTGGCCTCCTGTGCACTCTGAAGTCTTTCTTCGACAGATCTTTGATTCTCAATTGCCACTTGTAGTTGGTCGACCTGCTTTTGAAGGAGGGATTTTTCTTCTTGATGCAATCTGTTGATATGAAAATTTAAGTGCATTTTTTGGTTAATAATGACTTTTTACTTTATAACCATGCAATCAATGTATGGTCTCTCTATTAACGAACTTATTGAACAAACTTTGTGACCCCATTTAGGTAAGACTCGAGAACAAATGGGAAGCAAGCAAGCTGGTACTCCGTCGAGAGGCACTTGTAGCTGAATTTGCCAAACAGCCCATAATGTGTCCATTTGTTTGCACAGCGTATAAACTACTGAACAGGCATGTGGAATTCTCGGTCAGGCTGGTATATTTACTGTGTCTGGTGATCGCGTTCCCCCTGGTGCTGGGAAGCCATCTTCCTGTTGGCCTCCTCCGCACTCTGAAGTCTTTCTTCTACGGATCTTTGATGCTCGACTGTCGCTTGTAGTTGGTCAACCTGCTTCTGAAGTAGGGATCTATCTTCTTGATGCAACCTGTCGATGGAAACATGCCAGCGCATGAATTCTTTATTTTGCTCTTCAACGGCTTAATGGAAGAATCAATCCATGGTATGTCTGTTCTGTTCATGAACTTGTTGGCCAGCAATTTTGAGTTTGGTTAAATGATACTCGATTGTTCTGAAGAACAAAGGGGACAAATGTATTTAAAATGCATACTCTGTCAAGAAAGTTTCTGTAACCAAATTTGCCACAAGGTTAAAATGGTTCAATTTTTTTCGTGTCGCGTGTAAATTATTAAACCATCCGGGAGGAATGTAAAATTCTCATACAGGTTGGCACGTTTACCGTGTCTGGTTATCCATTTCCAGCTGTAGCTGGGCCATGGTCCTCTTGATGGCCTCTTCTTCGCGCTGACGCATTTCCTCTGTTGCCGTCAGACGTTTGATTGTGGCTTGTTGTTGGTCAACCTGCTTCTGCAGCATCTCTCCTTCCTCTTGATGTAAGCTGCGGACGTAAACATTTCAGTGCAGTTGAATGACTGCCTTTCACTGTATGATGCAATTATCGACGCATGCTTAGTCTTTCCGAGAGTTTGTGAGACTATATTTGCGAGCTTTTTGGTTTGACTTAAAATGCTCTAAAGACCAAAGAAAACAAGTGACAGAGCAAACTGCAACACAAATTCTACCCTGAACTTGATGTCAAGAATTATTTGAAGCGATATCTGCCAAAAGCCGAACCGTTTTCAACTTTTTCAGCTTTGCTGTGCTTTGTCACCAAACACGCATTTGCATTTCATTACTGCACCGACTGCCGACTTTTGAAATCCTGAAGACTGGATTTAGAATTCTTTGTCAGGCTGGCATACTTACCGTTTCTGGTGATCCAGTTCTCGGAGCTGGGCGGCGATCTTCTTGCTGGCCTCCTCTGCACTCTGGTACCTTTCTTCTGCGGACATGACCGCCGCTTGTAGTTGATCAACCTGTTTCTGGAGCACTGCTTTTTCTTCCCCAGCTTTCGAGACTTCCTGGGTCAGGCGTTTCTCGGTGTTAGTTAAGATGTTGACGCTCTGGCACAATCCTTCCATTTTACGTTCCGCAGCAGCCTTTTGTACCGCCTGACTGTTTAGTTCACCCAGAAGGGAGTTGATTTTTGAGGCAGCCGACTTCTCCAGTTGCTCATAGCGCTGAAGCATAAGAAAGAAAATTCATCAATTCAAGAAACGACAAAATGACCATACTCACATCAATGAATCTTAAACCATCTCAAGGATGCAGGCAAAATACTCAAAACTCTTCATCTAATTGAGGAATTGCAAAATTTATAAACAAAACTCATAACTCAGGAGTACCTTGTTCCCCTCTTCTCGCGCCGTGTCGATTTGAGCGGTCAGAGTTCGCTGGTCTGTATAGATATTTGATATGAAAGAAAAGTAGACCATTTGTCCTTTTTTTTTTCAAGCAAACAAGAAATGCTCCTAATCTTGAGGCAGCTGTTAAAGTTTGGAAGACTGTTGAAAGTCTGAGCTCTGTCAATGGCATATATTTTGAGAGTCTTATAGCTTGTTTCCAAATTTTCATACATGAAGCAGCCCTCTCGTAACAGCATTTAGACAGTATTCTCCATCAGTCAGTTGGAACTACATGACGCTGATATCACAAGATTCATGGTAAGCACCACGTGTACGTCATAGCAATGAACTTGTCTCCATGTACGAATCTGCCCAATTACAAATTAGAGTGCAGCAGGGCAACATCGCTTCACTTGAGACATTTCTGGGTGTGGATTTCTTCTAACAACATGCTGCTTTCAAAATAATCTCATGCTAAACATTCACCGGGAGCTTAGTGCTATTATCATATTTCAAGTAGGATTTTGGCTCAATAAATTTGGTCGGTTGATATTTTTGATAGCTGCAAACAGTCCATGCCCCATTTGACGCTGTTGATGTTTTGAGCCCCGAGTCACCAGTTTTCTACAAGCCCTTAGAAGCAAATACTGTACTTCAGGCATGGAGCTCATTCGGGCAAGAGGTTCCCATCGTTACAAATCAACCGAACACCTCCAAGATTTCTCAGATCCTCCCAAAATCCATCAGGTCTTTGGAGGATATTTCAAGATTGCCGAGGGCAGAGCCCGGCTGCCATTATTCTGGGGGGATTGATACAACTTGAAAGTTTACATCAAAAGACTGAGGCCATAATGACGTTACCGCACAGTTGTCGAAAACTGACTGTGACCTTGTGTTTTAAAAGCCAACATTTTTGGCTAAAATATTTCCAGTTCACTGATTGTGGCATTCCATCTGCAAATGGTTCAACAAAGACTTTGTATATTTAATATACATGAAGTAAACATCAACTCACATTCAATTTTTGATCGTTCGTACGATTCCGCCATCTGCTTCATCTGAAAAGAGAAAAGGTAAATATGAAAGAAAAGAGAGAATAGAGTCAATTGGAAAAATGTGTGTTTCCATAGGATATCAGGCCGCACTGGAATTCTGGGTCAAGAGACCTACATGTAGGTGCAGGCTTTTACACAACAGAGTTACATGTAGGTAGGCATACGCAGACAGTGCGTGAAGCTGTGGCTACATGTATGGGAGCCCATTTCCAGCACCAGCTTATTTGCCACAGCAATCCAACCTCAGACAAAACTGGAACCACGACTTCTTAAACCTATATTTCTCCAAACTCTACAATCTCTTTTATCAACTTTACAGTACAAACTATTACGACGACTGCAGCCTCATTCACCATGCAAAGGTCAAGGTGCATTCGCAGGGCCTATGCAAGCCCGGAACTGCATGCGATACCGATAAAAAACGAGAAAAGTAGGATCAAAGTTTTCGATACAACGGCACAAAAGCAAGACTTCTGGAGGACAAAATAAACTGGACCTTTTTTTCCCAGGCCTGTCAATATCGGCTGTCCATAAGACAGTGTCGACAGCAAAAGTAGGGAGAGCCTCAAAGTAGCGATGGGAAGAAAACAGGAGGAAAAATAGGAAGAAAGGTGAAAACTAGGAAAGAGTGTGACCCGTAGGAGGACTATAACCCTGCTGTTGACCCACCTCTTCCCTTGCTTGATTCAGCTGGTCTACCACCTCTCCAAGGCGACGCTCTGGGATGATATCCAATGTTTCGCCTCTGTCGCTGCTTGCTGCAAATGAAAAATGTTGGAACAATGTCACTGCAATTCAAACAATACAAAGTTCAGAGCAATTCAAACGGTTCACATCTTTATGATGAGATTTGGAAAATCAGATCGCATTAAATCATGATATCCAGTTGGTTCCCTTCAACCACCTATTTCCGTCCATCTGCCCTTACCAATGGACATGACCGCATGCATTGTTGGTAGCACACGGCAGAGTTCTCTGTCTACTGCATTGGACTTTGGAACTGGTTAATAAACAGGCATGCAGTTTGGACTTCGACCAAAATCAAGGAAATTCTTATCTTAACAAGGCAGTGTTTTTCAATTTCCATTGGCAGGAGTGTGAAGTGAAAACGAAGAAATCAGCTGATCCGAGGAAAAGTTGCATGCCTGAAAATACACGCTTTTGCATGAAGACCGTGGCTACGGGAATCAACAATGAGATTTTCTCTCACCGAGCTCTTGCTCTTCCAGCTCTGAAATCCTGTCCTTTTGCTCAGTGACCAGCTGGCGCTGTTGGTCCAGCATGGAGCGGATCTCTGCATTGGCGCTGTTCAACGACTGCAGCTCTGCTGACTGAACGGCCTTCGCATTCTGTAGCTCAGCCACGTGTCGCTCGGCTTCCTTCAAGCTTGCTTTCAGGTGGTCTCTGTCTTGTTTCAAGGAATGGTACATGCACACCTATTGCAAGAGACAATAATTTTTTCCATGTGATGAAAAACCCAAAATGAAGACAAGTCACACCAGCGGAATTTTCCCAGACATGACACAGGAAACCTTAAGTTTTACAGATCTGTTTAACTTGTTCCAATATTGTCTAGAGTGACAGTTTTGAGCCAATGAAGTCGGATCTCCAAGTCATGTGCAAGCCAAATCATGAATCAGTGTCTGGTAAAAACATTAAAAATATCAGTTCAAAAGCTGATAATAATCCAAATGACAAGTCAGAGATCAGTAAATCACAAGTCGATTCGCAACTCACATCAAAAGTTAATGCCAAGTCAAATGATAACTTGAAGTATGAGTCAACTTACAAGATGCACGACTAAGGAAATTATGAATCCATTGGCAAGTGAAATCAGTCAAATCAGCCAAATCACAAGTCCATCACAAGCTGGGCCACAAGTAACAGCAGACAAAAAGTGACGAGACGACGCCCGTAACAGACATAGGATTTGACCATGCAGCATAAGCGCGTGCAGCTTAGCCCCGGGTGAGCTATATCCAGTGATGGGTTTCCAACTGTATGGGTTTCACAATCAGATTCAGTGACACCAACTAAAGCTACAGACTTACTTTTGTCTCAAGCCCTCTGTTCTCGTCCAACAAATGTTGAACCTGATTCTCAAGATGAGTGTTCTCTGCTCGCATGGACTCTAGTTCTGATAACCTCCTCTCCAGTCTGCATCAGCACATGTTAAAGTCACGGACAGTATCGATACAAAATACACATGTAAAAACTGATTGTCTTTTGCATTACTCCGAAACACAAGTGCTTCGTATCAGGGAAAGTACTGTAGTCGAGACCCTTTCACCATCAAGACCAACACAAGACCTCTATTCTGAATTCAAGTCACAAGCTATTCAAATAAACTTCAACGAAAGCATTGCTTTGTTATTGCTCAACCTGTTCCTTGTGATTGGCTTTTGTGACGGGTCCCATGTCTTGTCTTGCATTGGTCTTGATTATGTAAGTCAAGATATAATAAAAAACAAAAATAGTTAACAGATACATTTCTAGAAACCTCAAATGTGAATGCAACACCAAAACATCACGAAAACAGCGAATCAAAGTATCAAAAGAGGGTGCACTTCAGTTAGACAAGAGAGGGCGCTATATAATACATGGCAACGAAACGCTCGGCAGTTAATTTTGCTATACCGAACAACCGCTGTACCGAACATTTAGCGTGGACCCAGTTGTGTTCATTATAGTGGCATTTCACTATATTTAAGACCTGGCACATTACACGTACAAAATGTTCCTTCAGACCAACTCTGCGTGACCTCAAACTTGACGCAAAAAAATTTGGCTTGCGGGGCTACCTGGCTGGGCTTTGATTTAAAAATTGTTGTTTTAGTTTTTTTCGCTGGAGAAAAAATTACAATTACGTATAATTTGGGGACGAACAACTGGAAACACAGGTTGTTTTTGTTTGGACTTGATTGTACGAGCCTAACTCTGAAAAACTGAATGGTTTGGTTGAGAGCAGAATGGATGGAATACGTACCTCTCCACATGCGCTTGACTTAGCTGGAGTTGTTCATGTGCCGAGCGCATGCTGTCGGCATCAGCACATCGCCTTTTCAAGTTGGTTATTTGCTGCTTAAAATCGGCCAGTTTGGCCTCTGTTGGAGAAACGAACAATTGGAAATGAGTGAGTTTACAAGGGACCAGAACAAACTAAAAACCAAAAAAAATTAACTTAAAACATGTCTTGCATAAACTTCACTAGCGAGGACAACATAATATAGCTTAGGTTAAAATAACATTCCACGCCATGGAGGGGTGTTGCAGCAAATATTGCGTCGGGGTGTCAAAAGTGACAACGCTGTACAAAATGCCACCATCTCACTAAAAGACTACCAAGGGTAAAAGTCCAACTTTGTCAACATGGTATCTTGTCCTTGGTCATTGTGCTCCCTTGTCGTTATAAAAGATTTGGTGTTTTGAACCTACAATGACACTGTGCCTGGGGTAGGTTCGGCATGAATTGATAATGACCGTCACATGCTAAAACTTGTTTTGAATATATCATTGCAGATTTGCCAGTAAGGAAGTAGCATAAACCTCAAAGCACTTGCACTTTGGAGAATCACCTTTATCGCCGATGACCTTATCTTTCTCAACAATCTCTAGTTCACGGTCGGCCCGCATGGCCTTCTCGTTGGCAATCTCGGTTTCTAACTTCCTGATCTTTTCATACAGCACTCTCCTGTCTCTCATCTGAAATGAGAAGAAAACTTTTTTGCAAATTGCTAAAAGAAAGGAGTAGCTAACCCCTCGAAGAGCAATGAAAAGATTGTTTGTTTCTGAGTCTACTGAACAAAATGGTATGGCAGCTGTGTTGTCCAAACAATAAGCCTTTTGCGAGTTAACTTTGACTCAAATCTGGTACACTTAGTTCTTTAAATTCACGTGAACATAACAATATACCTCGTGATTCGGCAAGCTTTTGCTTAGTTACATAAGAGACGCCTTGCAACAATACACTGTTTTCAATGGATAAGAAGGGCACAGAGGAACCAGTCCATTCCAGAGATGGTGGTCGCAATGCAAAAGCTTGCCCTGAATCACAAGGTGTAGCAACAGTGTCTTTAGTCTGGGGAATTCAAATTGTTATGTTTATATGCAATCAGATAACTCAGTGTACCAGATTTTATTCAAATTTAACTCGCAAATGGCTTATTAATTGTACACGTAGTTAAGTTTTCTGGTAACGAGTAATTGAGGTATAAACTGTGTAAAATAGTGATGTAGCGCACAATTTAAATAACACTCCACAGGCTTTAAATAGTTGTACGCACCTTCTAGAATAATGTCTAGGGCTTTTTGTAAACGTCTTTGAGCATGTCACATTTCTGAAGACGTGGGACACTTGATTCCTAGGAGTGGAGCCACTACTACAAAAGCAAGGTCCTGATAGGTTCAGGTTTTTAAATGCTGCTGCTTATTGCCTGCTGCCCAACTTGTCTGCTCTCAGTTTAAACAATCCCATTAGATTCAAGATTTATTTCATTTTCTACAGCATTATAATCACACACGATAATAAAACTTTTAATAAATACATAAATATGACTGAATGATACTACAATACACTTTAGAAAGGATGCTGTAGAGGGGTACCCAATGAAAGCAATGCTTGTAGATTTGGGCCCCGTTTGTAACATTACTTATTAAATTACGAACACACCCACCCACACACACAAAACACACAAAGACAGACAAGACAAGTAAACATGTAGTTGTAAGTTGGTGTATTAGAGAAACGTGCACACTGACGCAAGCACCTGTCAAGTTCCAGACTCTTCCATCTGTCTTCAATCTATGGGGAGTTATTTGCTTACCTTGTTGACCATACCGGGGGTGTTGAATAGCGCCTTGACGGGTGAGTAGCCAAAGGCGTTGGGTGTTTTGCAGTTGGGCACCAGCGGAGTGCACGGCTCAACAGGGGAGGACGTGCACACTTCTTCGTTCACTGAAAAGTGATGACACGAAATGAATGAAATTATACTATTTATTAAGCAAAGTTAGGACTTGAAACTGTTTTAGATAAAGCTGTATCTTTGATCACATTTCCTGCGTACAAAATTGAGTTTAACACTGTGTATCAGAGGCTGCATGCAATGTTTATTTATTTATTTATTTATTTATTTATTTTCATTTCTCGGGAAATACAGGTAAACAAAACAGACAGTAAAACATAAATGTACATGATGGAACAAACCCAACCAGTCCACCCTGGATTGCCTGAAAGAAAAAGATTCCTATCGAGGGGAGATATTGCATCTAGGGCTAGGTCTAGCTTTGTAACAGCTTCCAATGCACGGAATTTGACTACAGACATAGCCACAGTTCTGATAGCCCCCTTCAGACACTGAGCCAATTCTGTGACAAACAATGCACAAAGAATGCACAAAATGTCCCAGGCCATTTGGGACAGTAAACCTTTGAGCATGGCCTGATGCTTTTAAACACGATCACACACAAAATGTGTTTGAGTTGGTATGATGTCTAGTCTTTTATCCCAAATGGCATTGCTTCATGAAAGTACCAAAGTTGCTTAACCTCTGGGTGTAGGAGCAAAAGATGATGTGTTTTACTTAGCAACAACTTCCCTTTAGTGGATGTTACTAAGGCCACTCCCAGCTTGTGCGACCAAAAAAATCTCTAGTCTCTTTCTGTCTTCTTCACCACTGAGGGAATACTACGAAAGGAGGACTGGCCTTACGCTTCTTGTACAGGACGCTGGCAAAGTTGGACTGCAGGCTACCGTCACTGCCGTGGGCCACGATGGCCTCGATAATCTCCTTGAGGTGCGTCTGCACCACCATGTCCAGCTTGGTGATCATGTCCACGAAGAAGTCCACCTTGGGGCCCTGCACAGCTGCGCAGAGCAGCAGGGCGGTCACCTTGGCCAGCTCACCCACGTCCCCTTGCTGGATGATCTGAGTGTGGTCAAGGTGATGCTGGAGGGAGATGCCATAAAAATCTGTAGGGAAGAAGGAGAAATGCCATAGAAATCCATGGAGAGAAAGGAGGAATGCCATTATAGGATGGAGAAATGCTATAGAAATCCATGGGGAGAAAGGAGGAATGCCATTATAGGACGGAGAAATGCCATAGAAATCCATGGGGAGAAAGGAGGAATGCCACTATAGGAAGGAGAAATGCTATAGAAATCCATGGGGAGAAAGGAGGAATGCCATTATAGGACGGAGAAATGCCATAGAAATCCATGGGGAGAAAGGAGGAATGCCACTATAGGAAGGAGAAATGCTATGGAATCCATGGGCAGGAACACCAGCAGATCCAGAACTAAATTTTTTGAGGGAAGGGGGATGGGACAAAATGGTTTAGGGGGCCAAAAAATTTGGAAAATGTCTTTAAGTAACCTTTTACAGCCTTTCCAATTAGCGATTTTTTTTTTTAAGGAAATAGGGCGAGAACTTCAACCCAAATTGCTTTTAAGTCATTATATCCCACCCCCAAAAAACAACTGGCTTCTCTTTGGGGTCGATGACCCCCAATGACACCCCCCAAGATCTGTCAGCAGGAAGAAAGGAGGGGTCAATGGGAGCCAGGTTGCAGAATGTGAAAAAAAAATGGGCTGTGGCGCATGTGCCCCTAGAGCAAGTTGGGCAGAGCACTTGGGGAGGACGTTTCTATATTTCTGAGGTCTTCCAAGTGTCGTACAGACTGGTCATGTGAAGGAGAAGTTCTGGAGGGGGGAGGAGACGCAGAATTCTCTCCCCCACAGCTGGAGGAAGTCCTGAAAAACAGCTCTTTTGGGGTCAACTCAGACCAATTTACATTACATTACAAACGCATGAGCTGCTGGATTTGTATCAGCAGCTGCCATCTTACCCTCGAGGAAAGAACAGATGAGCCGGAAGCGTTGCATCGGCAGCTCACAAAACTGCGTCCCCCTGTCACCGTTGCTGTCAGCGAGAGGATGGCGGGAGGAAAACAAACCAGAAATTAAACCAAACCTCAGGGTTGCATTAAGCACATCAAGTGCGGAATATGAGGTGTCCACTACATGTACATGTAGTTGGACGGTTTGACAGTCTGAACGAGATTTTGAGTAATGTTGTAACTGGACATGGAGGGTAAGTTACACCAGGTCCATCACAAGTCATGCAGAGAAAGATTCAACCACAAGCTAGTCAGACAAACTGTGACAACCGAGATTCATTTGTTAAGCCTCAGTCGCATGTACAGGTGACCTTAAAGTGGCTTCACAATTCACATTATACAGATGCTGAGTGCGACAATTGATATGTTCAACAATTGTAACTGGGGCACTTGCTATTACCCAAGTGAGTTCATTTTGTTTGCACTAAAGTTGACATTAAGCACGAACTTGCTTCAGCGCATGCCTCAGCTTCATTGCTGCCATTCAATGGTAAGCTTGATTCAACATACTAGTCATTTAAACTTCAAAGCAGTTTTTCTCAGAAACAAACAAGCATAGAGGTAATTGAAAAAGGGTCCTATGGGCTTACACAGATTTCCGTAATGACACTTTTCTACAACAAGCAGAATCCTATTTCATCTTCTAAACTTGACAATATAAAATAACTCTCCGACAGTCACCAAAGTTAAACAAAAATTAGCACAGCCAGATCAAAAATTGGAGCATTTGTAATGACTTCTTCACATAAAGAAACTGCTAACAAATAATGCAAAAACTTTTCAGAATGTTACTGGATAACTTTAAGACTACTTTTCACGAGGGGAAAACCCCTGCTGAATCTTTTTTAAATCCAAATATTACAAATTTTAAAAAGCTTACATGATTTTGATGATGCCAATGAAATGCGTTCCTTCGCGAAGCTGTTGTAGGGACTCTACACAGGAGCCCACTCCTACAGAGTTCACCTGAGGGGAAATCAAGCGTGGCTCAACTTTCCACAACTAGAAGCTACATTACATGTATAAACGTGATCATGAATTTCTTTGTAAAGCTGGACTTGGTTTCCTTTAAGATGCAAGAAGTGCACAGTGACAAGATACATGTACCTTTGACAAAAACAAACCCCAAACTGTGTTTGTTGTAACGGTCACTGCTGGTCAAAGCCAAATATATATATTTATACAGGTAAACCCCCTTCAGAAAATGGTTGGTCCGAGAAGCAACAGATTTACCATGTACCATTTACTGCTTTTTGATTCACATGGAGATGAACGGCAAGACAAAAATTGGTTGTCGGTGAGTAAAAAGTTGTTTATTGCTGGAAAAGCTGTTGCTCAAAATTCCATACAAGACAGAGCCTGAAGACCACAGACATACACTGAATGTGGATACGTAAAACTAAAAGTCCACATTTGGGTGAAATATTGGTCTAGACAGCAGACAGACAGCAGAGATAAATCCAGTTGCAAGGATGGTATGGTGCCACAAACCATGGTGGGTATTAGAAATCAGAAGTAAACAGTGGAGTTCAAGAAGTAACTTGTGATGTCCCTACTGGCTACAGAAACCTGAAAATCCTACTCACCCACTGGAGCAAACTCTTCAACTTGCCCACGTCCATTTGGCGTATCTAATTTTGTTCTGTGTGAAAGAAATCATACTTTTTAATGATAATCTAAAATTGAGAAAAAAAACTAGTATTATTTGAAAAATGATGTCACTGTGCCAAAGGCAATGTTGCCAAAAACAGCAAAGTAGCTGACTAACAAAACCAAATTCTTGTTAACATAGACTGCTTATTTAATAAGCCACATGAGCAAACTCCACGGCACGAGTTACAAAGGTATGACTCGGCAAATGTATGAGTTGGTACAATCACAGAGCAAGAGTTGATGTCATGCTGGTATGAGTTGTCCATGGGGATGTTGGACATTAACTTGACCGTCTGCCAACTCAACTGTTTAGACAACTCGACCGGTGAGACAACTTGACCGTTTGCCAAGTCATCTGTTAAGACAACTCAACCCTGTCAACCGTGTAAGATAACAAATATTTATGGCCTGGTCAACAGGGATGCAAGTACTTTTAACCGTTCTCTGTGTTTCTATGGATCAGTTTAGCCAGTTCCGGATCGCGACAAAAACTTCTTCATGGATAAAAAGTAACCATGCGAGAAATCCATTCCGCACAGCCAGAACAATATAAGAAGCTGATTTTCTAATGAAGAATTTCTTACTTTTTAGTGAAAATTAGTTCAGCATAGTTGACGAACCCATTACATCACAATCACATACATTTCTGCTACTTAAGTGTAGTTGAGTTCACAACGTAATTTGAAATCAATCTGAACGCATTTGAACGCAATCTGAAACTGGGAAAAATATATGCGTTCACTTTTCTGCCAACGTTTTAAAAAAAGGAATTCTAAGTCATTTTGATTAAACAGACATTAGATACAAAACTTTAGGCCTATATAACAGTTGCGTATGAATTTTTGTCGATTTTTTTGGCTCCTGTGATTTGTACCGCTTTACAGTTACATGTACTTCGTCCCATTTCCACGTCACCCCTAACCAATCACCCCATCACCACTTCACCCCAACGCCACTTTGCTCCATTTCTACTTTGCCCAGTTGGTGCAAAAGTGGTGAGCTCGATCGAAAAGGGGTTCCCGAAAGGGCATGGAGTTAAATACATGTAGAAAACTTGATTGCATCCACTCACTGTTGGCTATGTTGGTGAAACGAATAGTTGGAAAAGTTGCATTGGGTTTATCTCTCATCCTCTACGGTATTTGCAAAGCTACACCAAATTACGTGAAGCTGCGAATTTACATGAAGTTGAGCACAACTCATATTAGGGTACATATACCATTGTTGATGGTGTTTTCCTACCACCATGGTTGGATTAACAAATGATACAAAAATGAACGTTTCCCCAAGTCTCCCTCCTTCTATTCTATTTAAAAGCTTTCATTTGAGATCTTTCAGTGTTTGAATTACTCTAGCATGACAATCTGGTACCTCTCAGAAACAGAACCAGGTATTAAAAACAAGAACAGAAACCATACGATGTGTGCTTCATCACTGGCCATCATTTGATTTTGGTGAATGATACATGCAAACTGGGATCAAAAACAGGCCATGTACATGTACACTGACCATTTGCCTGTACAAGTTGTCTGAAAGAGAACCTCTGACTTGGCTAGGCACTCAAACTGTCAACATTTTTATTTGTTGCATCTGCCTCTGTTAAACTAAAAGAAAAAAAATGAACGATTTCAGTGGGGCGAAATTGAAATGAGGCAAAGCTGAAATGGGGCGATGTGGACATGGGGCGAAGTGGCTAAGGCATGTAAGTGGAAACAGGGACAAGTGATGGGCACCCTTCATGCCCTTTATGACCAGATGGCAGATGACAAGCCGTTCACCATGTTCACAAATATTGAAGTACATGTATGAATCAGAAATCTGGCCAAAATTTCTTTTCTACAGTGTTCTAGAAATTTTCTAAGAACAAATTTTGTACAACCTGACAACATGAAGTTTAAATTTTACCCCTCAAGCAGAACTTGTCTAAGCCCCTAATGTAGAACTGAGTGAAGAACAACACAAAAGAGGCAGGTTATTATTTCAAGCGATCCGGAACTGAGAAAACGACTGTAGAGCCTCAGGGGCCTTCTACTACTAGTAGTACATGTACCTGTACTACTACAGCCACAGTAGCAGTGACAATGTTACCGTGGTCTTATTTTTTTACCCCCAGACATGTCAGAACTGTGGGGTTCGACGTCCGCCTCGCACCCCACAGTTCTGCCAGTTCTGGGGAGCCGGGTAACTGTCTGACTGTATAGAGGGGAGTGCCTAAAAGTTTTCGTACTTACTGTAGCCAAACAGAATTTTGCCGATCAGGCAAGGGAACTTCCACTGAAGGCGCAACGAACTTAGGTTGACATAGAAATCTCCTAAACCATGCAAAAACACGGAACACGAAAACCAACAACAGCATGAAAAGCGACTCATTTATCTGCGTATGATGGCATGATGATCGGGAAATCAAAACCAGCGCTGTTGGAATTGTTCTCCTCCTCCCCAGGATACATCACAAGCGGCCCTTCGATTTGGCGGGCCTAATACAAATGACGTACATTCATATAGAAACGAGGTTGGCAATTGTTCAACGACGGTTAACGCAAGCCCTTGGTTTAGTCTTATTTCCAGCCGGTATACGATATTAGCTTCCAAATCTTCTCATAATGACTGCTTTAAGACCTTATAAAAGACCATAAAGAATTTGTAAGAAAATTTTTTTGACAAAGGGTGTTTTTGGGTAGTAAATAACCTACAATGTAGTAAAAGCGGTAAATTGATAAAGTTGGATTTTGCTTTCAGCGGCTGAAATCAAATGCCAGCATAAAGATGTCCTAAGTACAGTAATCATTTTCGAAAAAAAAAGTTGTCTAGTTTTGGACTTTCGGGTGATTGTAAAACTCCAAACATTAATATATCAATTCAATTACATCGAACCCACCTTTTTTTGTTTTTTGGCAAAATTCCTCCGAATTATGTTGTCTTAATCTTTAGCAGGCACAGTAAATTCCATGGAGGACTTAAAACAAGTTTACTACTTTTGCCCGAAAGTTCGTTACCCCGAACAACCAAGATGGCGCTCTAAACATCGCCGTGATCTTGCCGGCTGTCGTCGAAAATAAAGGAATTTAATGATGGGTTTCCTCTTCACCCGTCGACAATACGAGTGTTGAACAATAAAATCTCTTATAAGGATCTGAAAGGATCAGTCTGAAGTACAGGTAAAGTGTACCTTGGGAGGAGAGGTTAATTGATCATCTTCGGAAAGTTCCTCGGCAAAAAGTACTTGTTAGGCTACTGCGTACTGGTACTTAGGCCCCCCAGGCCCTAAGTTACGCCCATCCACTACAGTGGACGTGAGAGAGCGCTCTGCTTATACCTTTTTTTTAACACGCTAAAGATAAACTTTAATCACTTTATTGTATAACTGCCAAACATTTGGTACCAAAAGGTTGGTCAGCAATCTAAAAAAAAAAAAGCTCCCAAGTCCCAGATGCTTCAGGCCTAGGCCTAAATAAATAGGCCCTAGGCCGCTAGCATGAATAAAATACTAACATAAGTAAAATGAATTATCTCTGAAAACTTTGATTTAGGCCTAAGATGTGTTATGTAACTTTCTGGTTCTGTTCGAATTTCATGTTTAATATGCATTCATTGCATGCCCTCCCTTAAAGCTACAATTTATAGGCCTACAATAAGTTTGCTTCATGTAATAAATGGATAAAGTTCATTTAGGCTACTTCGGACAAACACATCATTATTCACACATGCTACACTAAACTTGCTCTGGTCAAATCATGATCAAATCTTGGTTACTTTGTGCAAGATTCGTGGCTTCAACAGTGACAGGTTATGTAATATGTATATTTAAAGGTAGGAATCCAAACAATAATTGCCTTCAATTTCTCTTTGTGTTTGGATAAGGTTTGACAACAACACAATGCCAAAAGGGTTGAGTCCCCGAGGTGGCATCGATGCCAAAAATGACAGCTGCGATCAGGCCATTCTGGACTTCTCATTCAAAGACATACTGCTAACTGATGGTAAGTACGGTAACTTTCTGATTGAATACCCTCTGTTATAACATTTGGCTCATGTAAAACACTAGTTGACACAGAAAATTTTAAGAAAAAATGGTGCCGTGAAACAACAGTATGTATATACAAGAAATACCAAGCAAAACCTTTTTTTGTATTTTTGAAGACATCTTGGATGTAGAGCCACGGGTGGCCAAGAACTCCAAACTGGAGAAGACCGCCGAGGGATTGGTCAGGACCCAGACGGTGAAGCTGAACAACAACGGTATGACAGAGATGGCAGGTTTGGACGTCACCCTGGAGAAGGTTGTGGAAAGTCCAGAGGAGCTGACCTGGCTGGATCTGTCCTTCAATGACATCGCCAAGATCGACCCGGTGAGCTGGATTGCCTCTGTTGTGTCATGTTGTAAGAAGTAATCACAGTTTTATTGCAGTAACATATTCACAGTTTTCAGTGACTCTGTGTTCCTCCGTGTCAGTTTCAGGTACATGTCAATTTTTTTTATGCCGAGTAATTTTATGACCAGAGCATGACCTCTTGCACAGACACAGACAGACACATACATTGTTCATCCCTAGAAGCTTGTGATTGAATTGAGACTTGACTTTGAGAGTGTCTAGTGATTTGACTTGTGTGGATTGACTTGTGATTTTGACTCAATTGAGATTCCACTGATGATTTCATCTGCCATTGACTCATGATTGGCTCAGTCTCAACCATGCTGTTTCTGTGGACGTTCTTGCTCACAGCTGCTCCTGAAGTACACCAAGCTGAAGGTCCTGTACCTCCACGGCAACAACATCACCAGCATCAACGAGGTGGACAAGCTGGCTGGCCTGCCCAGCCTGATCAGCCTGACCCTCCACGGCAACCCCGTGGAGGACCAGAAGGGCTACCGGCAGAGCCTGGTGGCCAAGCTGCCCCGGCTGAAGAAGGTTGACTTCAGCTGCATCACCAAGTCGGACCGAGAGAACGCCGCTACCTGGGAGCGGGACTATGGCAAGCGAAGACCGCCCAAGAAACCCAAGGAGGATGAGTAGCCTTAGAGAAGGGAGGGGCAGAGGAGGGGAATAAAATGAACAGGAATGATTCACAACAGAGCACACCAATTCACATCCATCCATGAAGAGGTCACTTTCCACTAACCAAGGTTGACCTTCTGCCATGGGTGGGTGGGGGGGATATGTCATCTCTCCATTCTGGCAACACTCATGCTCCCTACAAATATGGACTTGCAGTTCATCGCCCACAAGAGAGTGTCTTAGAAATTGGGAACATTGCGTGTTTCCCAATTGGGAATTTGCATTATTCCCGTCAGGAAGATGCTGCTCCGGAATTAGGCCGTGTCTGAAATGGGCTTCCAGAGCTATGGCTAGGTCTGTTGTCTACGCGTCCGCATGCATTTCCAATTGAGCGAAGACCTAGACCTGGCTCTAGACAAGAGATTCGGATCCAGCCTTAGCCAGTACACAGTCTTACACACACATATTGGTATTGGTTTTTCCAATTGGAAAAAGTAATGTTCTCACTTGAATTTTCCTCATTCTTTGAGATGCTTTCTACAAGCCTACAATGATGGTCATCATTCATACGAATCCCAGCTGACATTTTCAAGTTACATACCCCTCCTTGAAAAAAAATCCTGAAAAAAGCAGAGCCCTTTGGTCCATATTCCGAGTCTGTTTGTGGTGATCAAAGACGTTAAAACATAAATACTAGGCAGCACAGAGAATAAGAAACTAAGTGAATTCCCACAATACATCCCTTTCGTTCCCTCTATCCCACACCTCTTTTACTGCCCCCCCCATTAGGCAGTGCCTACAAACAGCTGTTGACTTTTTCCATAATGTGCCGCAGGCAAAGCAGAAATGTCTTTGCTCTCAGCATTTCTCTTACGTGAATCGTTCCTTTTGCCAGCCTTTTCGTCATGTCCTTGTGCCACTTGAGAGAGCTCAGGTCCCACCTTACAACTACTTAGATAAACCAGCGAAAAGCAATACATGCACGTACTTCCAAACAGTATTAGTTTAGAACGGATATTTCTCTCAGACTGATTTTCCCTTTGAGTTATGGACTTTCTCAACTAGATACCAGTTTACTGTAGACTTTGGCTCAAATCATTCCATATGGATGGCATACGTTTCTGCCAGTGTCTGCAGACTGAACTATTGCCATCCTTGTGTTAATAAGGTTAATTATTCATTTGCTAGGTTTTGCATATTTATAGAAAACGTAATCTCTTTTCCTGTTCAAATGCTTGGAGATTCTGGTGTAAATGGGTGATCAATCTCTCAGGAACAACCCTTCATTTGTTGGTATCCACCAAATTTTTGAGAGTTGACATCAGCAAAGGCTAAAACAGTTCGGGTGTAACCAACCCAAAGTAATGTCTACAAGTGCAGCTATGAAGCTACATGCTCAATTCTAAAACTCTCATTTGAAAGGGAGTTACACCATTTCTGAATGCTTGTGTTGTGGGTACAAGTTAAAAATCCATTTGTAGAAACATTCTTTTACATTTTTAATTAGTAGTATTAGGTCATTGTCAAATTATAAAATTAAGATGCTACAGGAATAGCTAGTAGTTTACAGAATTTGAGAGTGGCATATGGTGCGTTTATGTAATCACAGTGCCCATGTTGTACTTCAATTCCACTTTTATCAGTTCAATCCGTCCAGTTTCCAATTAGTAAGTAGATAAATCCATACCCAGATTCATGACTGTTTAATGAGACCATTTTACTGTGTTCCAATTGATGAATGATTTGTGTATATAGATATGAATGGCAGTGACTGCACGGTAGCAGCTCTGATATTTTTGTATTCACCGAATTGTCAATGTATATATTAGCTGCACCGAATATAGCGCGTGGTTGGGGATGATATATTTATAGTGTATATATATCCATTGGTATTTTAATTCAGAGGCGTATTTTGTGATCAGATTAAATATGATGGATAATCTGACGTTCTTTGAATGAGATGAACTTATTTCCTTGTTGAAATGTTTTTCTTTAAAACAAGCAAGTGACTTGAGGTCTTTAGATGATATCTGCTTGTAGTTTTTTCCAAATTATTTTGTTAAATTTTTTACACTTACAATACATGCATAACGGCGCTACAATTGCCTTAAATTGCCTCTACACGTACATGTTAGCCATTAGGAGAAAGCAATAAAATGGATTATCCCTAATTTTTATGTTTTTGTCATTGGAATCATCGATCTGCATCGAAGCCTATCACGGACAATAGATTCAAATTCAAACAGAAACAACAGTATTTCAAGGCATGCTCTTTCCTTTCTAAATAAACAAGGACGGTAGGTTTGGTTGGGGGTTTCCCAAACGTGACATGCATGCACCCCTATATTGGAGCCTAGAAATATTCTTAAACGTAATAACTATTCAAACTCTCACGGCCGGTCTTTTCCATACTCCGGTTAATGCACTCGATCAGTCAAAGATGGCCTCGCATCTGCGAACAGCACTAAAGTAATTTTCGGCCGGGAAGGGGCGCCTTTGCATTTCACCTTAACTGTGAAGAAAGCAATTTCAGTCATTTCAATTAATAATTATCAAGGGGGGCTATACGACTTCTGGGTTTAAGCTACAACACAGCAATTTCCATGCAAGGAATAAGTATCTTCGTGTATAAGTGTGCGTGTAGCAGAGTGAAACTGGACATGTACATGCGTGCAACTTTAACAAAAAAATAGTTCCCTTTAGTCAAATTAGCTATCTAGTCTATGTCACCACTTTTTGCAGTACATGAAGCATGCCCCTGTTTGTTTCTTAAAAACCAAACTTCCCTCTACAAGTTTCATCATACAGCTGGGAACGAACCCTTTGCATTTCACTGTGCTGGTGTGACCAGAAAGCATGTGATGACCAGGGCATGCATCCAATTGCTGGCCACGGCACAATATTTTGCACGGGAGAATTCAAAATTATGCGTATTATGGTTAGACTTCCTCTTCTCTTTGTTTATTTTCAGCCCAAACTTCCCCAAGCACACGTCCAAAGAAAAGGTTTAACACACGCATTGGTTTCTTTTAGTCAGAAGACTACTGCAGTAAAGTGAGAGCAGTTCCTCTTCCATTGTTCAGTGTGGCGCGTCTTACTTTAATCCCGTCAACCGTGCAGTCTTTGGTAAGCTTTTCTTTCATTTCTTTTGTGTGTATGTTGTTTAATTTTTTGGTGCTTAACTTTTCTCTGTTGTATTAGTTTAGGTCCTTTAATTCAGTTTTTGTTCAAGCAGTCTGTTTGGTTTCTAGTTGAATAAAATAGAAGAAGTTGAAGTATTACACGCACTATGTTTCTTTTCACCCTTATTATCAACTCAAGACGCTGCATTGATTTGTTTTTCGTAAGTGGTTATTTATTCTAGCCCTTTTCCGAGGAAGGCTTAAATTTTTACAGTTTGATCTGTTATCTAGTTCTTTTGAGAAAAGTCTCTTAACTTGGTGTTACTCATAGATAGGCTATGCCTTATTCTATGTGAATCACATTTTTGGTTCTTTGTATTTTGCTTTTAAACATTTTCGTTAAAAACCATACGAGACAAGTGAGGTTCATGCCAACGTTGGGCGAGTTGCGCGCTCTTGTGTATTACATATCCTTCATAATGTTAATTGTTGACGTATATTACAATTTGATTGCCAAAGCCCAAAAACCCAACCGCGTTAAAAATGCAAAGGGACATCAGATTTTTAAAAAGGGTAAAAAAAAAAACAAACAAACACGTACATGACTCGCGACCACTGAGAGCAGATGAGCACATTTTGGATATTTACCATCAACAATTTGATAAATAATGCAAATACCAAATTTGGCTGTAGCCTAAAAGGATGTAGCTGCAGTGTTGTAGCTAGGATTTTACTACGATGGGAGGGCACGAGGGAGGAACCTGAGGGGGGGACCAGCTTTCAGTGGTGTGGTTTTTTGAGGCAATCTTTTGTTAGCCGTGTTCAATATCCATTGATCCGTTTTTTTAGGGGGGGCACCTCATGGGAGGCACCGGGAATGGGGGAGGGGGCACGTGCCCCAGACCTCTCCCCGTGGCTACGCCACTGTGTAGCTGCAATCGATTTGTTTTAATGCACACCTTGTAAATGCACCTTTGTGTCTCAGTTAACCTTATTTTCAACTTTGGCTTTACTATTTAAAAGGTATTCTGCCTTTTTTATTTTATGCTAATGATATTTCCATCATATTCATGGCATAACTGCAATGTCTTCTCAGGAATAAGCCTCAATATTACATTGGTTTGTGCACAAAAATTCCTGCATTTTTTAAGATTTTGTTGGACTTAGTTTTTTTTCTTCTTTGCCTCTTCCTTGTTGTTTATGTGCATATGAATAAGTACGCATCAGTCCCTTTCTCAAACATGTTTTCTGTAAGTAAATTTTGGGTTCACGATTTGAACAGAAAAGCCTGTGCACTGAACTATGTCTTCCTTACATGACTTCACAGCAACAGCGCCCTCATTTGTCCGAGAAAGCACTTATAATTTCATTGTTAAAAACGGCACTTTTCAATGACTTTAATCACGTAGGGATGTAAAGAGTTTTCATAAATAAAAGTTGAGGAAAAATCGTGTTTCAGAAAAATTCATCACAGCCACACTTTATTGGTGGACTCATCCTTCTCCTACAAGAACAGAGTGTCAGCAAGTCAATCACTTTGACCGTCTCCCGTGATACAGCGCATTTTCTTTTCCGCTCATCAAGTTAACGACTGGGAATGATGAGGCCTATTGCAGTGCTGGTGTGTACGGCGTTTCTGTGCTGTGTCTCCTTGGAAACGACCGAAGACCACCCACCAACCCGTGAATCCAACACCGCCGACGCAGGCAGTCGCACAGCCGAATGGGACGAGACCGCTCCCTCGGTCTGGAAAGAGGATCAAACAGGGGAAGTCTGGGACAAGGGACACTTATTGTCCTGGCTGTATGGAGCTCAGTCACAAGTGAACACCCGTAAGCTACGCCTACATCTTATTTCTACAATTGGTAATCAAATTACCCAGCACAGGAAATAAGCCATACGGATAAAAAAGAGAGAATGTTGGAAACAGCTCAACCTCTCATTGCTAAAGATGTCGACGAGTCCTTAATTGGCACGGAGCGTTAATCATTTCATGTATATGGCTTTAATTAACTTTATTGTTTGGTTACTTTGTTTTTATTATTTAACTTTTTTCCTCACTCAGCTGTGATTGCCAAGCGTGAGGGGAGCAGCTGCTCTTGTTCCACTGAGACTCGAGACTGCAGGTGTTGTTTCAAGTTCACGATCCTCGGGAAAAAATTCAGTGGTAACCGCTTGTCTCATCTTTTCCCTTTGAAATTTATTTTACGTGAGTGGCTGAACTCCATTCATAAAAATCATTAAATCTAAATCTCGTTACTGTGCACACCTTCTGTTCCTTTGCCACGGTTACTTTCCCCATCTTCACAGTCTTTCAAAGAATTAACTTCAACCGGAAAAGGAGAAAGCAAATGTAAGAAAAAAGTGGCGTGTTTTTGCACTCTGGTTGTAAATCAGATGAGAAAAGATACCAATTTTCATAGGTCTTTCGCATCCACACTTGCATGTTTTCTAAGCTGCTTAATCTTTCGGTTTTTTATTTATTCGTTTGATTTCAGCCTGTTTGGTGGGTTATTACCATCAAAATGATGGAATCGGTGTTGTAGTGGAGATTAATTCCCAAACCATAATCAACAGAAACGTCAGGGGTAAGGCATGAGCACTTGAGTTCTGTAAATGCCAGCTTTTTGTCAATCTTGTCTTGGATGTTCAACATAACAAAGGTTAGGCAGAGGCTTTGGGTGGTTGGCTAAGAAACAGACGCAGCGACCAAAAAATGCCGTATGTTCGAAAGTATTCCAATGCCAGCCTGGGCAGTTTATCTATCGGTCGTCACAAGCGCTCGGTTGGTCAAGTCAGTCGGTCGGTCCAACAAGTCAGTCAAATCACTTTGGTTAAAACCTGTTCAAATTTTGGCTTGATTCTCTATTATTTATATGAAGTTATACTCCTTGTCCAGCCGATGGAAATAGGCTCTTTCTATTCGTCCAGACTGTCGAACACCTATCCCGTTCACTTCTTTTCAGTGACGGACCGTGAAGTGTCGCTCTGCAAGACTTTCCTCACCAGGGGCGTCTGCGTGGGGCTGAATGACATCAGACTGGAGTCGAACTCTATCTCGGCTCACGCCAAGTTCGAGATTCAGGGGATCATTGACAAGAATTTTGGGGAAATTGTCATCCCTATCGGTGCACCCAGCGGCGGCAGGGGGCCATCAATTTCCCCCCTGCTTGGGCACATGCTGCCATCTTTTTTATTAATTCTTTTATAGTTTCACTTTGACCTTAACGGGCGTTTAGACTTGGTTTATTGTCAGTGGAAATTTGGAGGTAATTGTCATAACTTTTTCGTTGCTTCCATAAAGAAAGTATCTGAGCAACTTATGGTATAATATAGGCAAGATTTGACTCACCTCATTTTTTTTTCATTTTTCAATCGTATTAACATTAGAGAGGGATTGAAATCGATTAAGAATGGAGCAGGCATGTTAAAACGTCAGCTTTTCCGATTTTGACTTTTTCCCCCTCTTGTTTTGTTTTCAAACATCGTTCTTAACCATTTTGACATGCTTCCACAAACATAACATCATTAAGGTCTAAATGACATTAATGTTGTTAAGGGCAGGCATCTCGATTACTGCAATTTGCGTTTTCACGAAGAGATTCGGATAGGCCTACCTGCGCCTCAAACAAGTACAAAAAGTCGTGCCTGGAAAGTCGTAAAAATACGTCAGCTGCGAAGGGACACGCGCCGTTGCAAAATTCACATCTGCGCGCGTAAAAACACATTGAAAATAAGGGCGTCAAAGTAATGCAGGGAAACGTGTTTTCATGAAGAGAAGCGCTTTTTTACTGGTAAATGTTAAGGTATCTAACCATTGTGTTTTTTCTAAGTATCGGGTTCACGTAAAGGTTTAGGGCCTACCTCTCAATCAATGGCCAATCACAATGCGCGAAATCTGTCGACCCAATGCGCATTTGGAAATGGTCCCTTTCTGAAAATGGTGACATACCATTTGAGTTGAAGTTGATTTTTAGATGTGCACTGTATATCAACTTTCGGGTGTCACATGACTGGAGATCCCAAAAGAGGAGAATACAGGCCACGTTAGCCACGTCATAGGCTGCTGTCCGTGGATATGGCTTTTGCTCTCGTACGTGGAGCACCCCGCAGCTACGTACGATCCGTATAAATAAGCACTACCGTCCTGTGTTACGGTGTTTTTCCAGTTTTCTGAGTAATTGAAGGTGCTAACTCGCCAGAAACGGCATTTAAACCTTCCTTTTGGCAAAGGAGATTCATGCATTTAAAATTTTTTTAAAATCCAAAATTTGCCCTTCCCCCAACTCAAAACCTGGGTATGCCACTAGACTAGTGCACTAAATATAAAACTAAATATCGCTATAGATTCAATTTCGTTTGAGGAAGCGACTTTCTTTGCAGTCGTGTTTATGACTTCATCGAGGTGACACTATATTTAACATTGTTTATTTCATAAAAATTATGCATCCTTTCGTCGTGGGTCATGAAATTATGCAATCTTTCTCTGCTTGTGCCACCAACAAAGAAATCGAAACAGCTGTCATAACCTGTCTGTCACAACCGATACCTCGGAATCGGTAAACAACTGTGACGTGAAAGAGGGCGCTACAAAAGTCATTAGGCGCGGTGCGAAGTTATAGATGGCGCTCTGCCTAGTAACAGGGGCAAACGTTCGGTGCGCAGCGCATAGCTAGCTGTGTGTTAAGCGAGCGCGGCGCATAGGCTCCGCCTTGTGCGTAGTGCGATAGGGCAGCGAAAGTCACTGCTTGGTCACGTGAGCGCGGGCGTGGTCAAAGCAGCACGGAGGCTATAAAATGCGCGCGCAGGCAAGTACTATATCTAGTCGATGGCTTAGGGGCTAATCCTGAGGTAAGAGCAGCGCTTCCACTTTCAAGGAAATTTCGTTATTTTAATTAAGGAAATTTTTGCTTTCGAAGGAAATGAAAAATCTAAGGAAATTTTGAGGAAATGCCTAGAATCTAAAGTAATTCTAAGGAAACTATTAAATTCTGAGCAAATTCTATAAATATTCTCAAAATTAGCAGCAAAATCTACATTTCAAACTCTACAGTAATATTCTGTCAGATTCAGGATGACTGAAAACAAGACTATTAGAATAAACTTTCTGCGCGTGCACACAAGTTTGTCTGATGTCATCCTGATTTTTTTGTTCAAGACCGTGAGTTTGAGCATTATACTGACCTCTGCTTATCTTGGTACTTGGTTTCCTCCTGAAAAACATGCTGTAGGGATGTAGCAAACAAGCTCAGTAGTTTCGGTAGTATATTAGGCTTTTTGGTGGTTAACTAAAAAATAAGGAAATCGGGAGGAAAATATGGAAATTTGGCTCTGGGGATAGAGAAATTTTCATTTTGACTGTGGAAGCACTGGGTAAGGGTCAAGAATCCTGTGCAAGGGTTAAAGTCACCTTGCCTAGTGTGACTGTGCCTAATTCCCGAGTGGTGCGTGTGTCGTTGAGGGGCTCGGTAGGTTGAGGGGTTAATTGGTTGTGCAGTATAGTTCCTGATAGGACCTTCAGTCGATGTAAGGGAGGATTGCTATCTCGTGACGTGAGTTGCGTGTAGTGCAGCCCTGACAATAAGCCCTGTAGACTTGCTAAAGTCCCTTATTCAGCACTGGATCCCCACAATTAATTGTGGTGTTCGCTGCTCTGGGCGACGTCCAGTCACGTTTAATTCACGGACGTGTATAATACAATCTGAACTCGCAATGCCCTTAATCAGCTTATAGAGACATGGAATCCACTCGCGGCCATTTTACCCAGCCAAATACAAAGCTTTCCAGGCAATGCCCGCCATTGTTCTTCCTGAGGTCAATAGAAGGGAGCCAACCCACGCTTTTGTAATCGACTCGGTAAAATGGCGCTGGTTGGCTTCTTTTTCATACAAAGGCGTTGCAAGTCCAGGTTTTTTTATATACGTCTGCGGTTTTAATCACACAGTCTCCCCGTCAATAGCGCCCTCTACTGGTGTATTGGTTAAGTGTGACCGCGATTGAAGGAGTGTTAATGAATAAATCAGCCACTTTGATTGCTCTATATAAGTCAGGTGCCCAGGCGAAGTTTATTTCAAGTCAGGTCTGTCCAAAGTGCGTCTCTAAGTTTTGACCAATCAGATTAGGCGTCATCTCAGCGAAGACCAGAGATCATTGAACTTTCTTGGGGGACGGTATACTTCGGTCCCAACGGCCTCGTCCCCAGCCGCTCAGGGACTCTCCGGTATGTGACGTCCGACGCGTCGCGCCTCGAGGAGGAGGGCGCCCTCGCCTTCGTCCGAGGGGCGCGGCACCACACAACACACAGGGCAAAGTTTACACTTAGAACTTCTTCGTTCACATAACTAGTGTATTTCGCACCAACAACCGAAAGCATCCTTTGCAGTTTGCCGGAAGTACAAGACCTACACCTCTAACACGATCAAAAATTAATGTACAACCTGAAATCGTAATGGCAACTGAATATGGATGTTGTTTGGCACTGGGGAAAACACAACATGATTTATTTCTGATGGATAGTATGGAGTGATGGAAAAACATTATTTCGTCACTTGTGCACCAAAGTTCCTGCTTGTATATCCGTGGCCAAAGGCCAAGGGAAAAAGAACCCTCTTGGCTTTTTGTCTTGTATTTCTGAACTTTCAAGCGGACTCGAGGCGTAGTCTTATTGTTGTATAATTAATGGAATGGAATCGACTTTAATGGAATCGATTATTCGATATCACTTTAATGGAATCGATTATTCGATATCACTTTAATGGAATCGATTATTATGATTATCAATGATTGATTATAGGATGTTATTTCTACAATAAGTACCTATACTTTTAATGTAGATTACTTGTTAAACGCTTTTGAATATGAATTATTATGGAAAATACATATTAGAATAAATAATTAGATCATGGTTCATTGTTATTTAAAAACAGTTTCATTCGTTATGATTTATTGCCAAGTTTATGGGAACGAGTGCGAGAATCTGTTTTTTGAGGTTCGTGAATCGTCACCCCACTGGCAAATCTTTAATGGTCACATTGGCGGGCTTTCGGTCGAACGTGCTTCAGTTTGTTCAGTGCAAAGAGCAATACAAATTTACTTGCAAAATTGCGTGGAAGTGCACAGGGCAATCTAAACCTTTCCAGTGGCAATAATGCGAACATTGATGTCCTGGTCGGTATTTCTTGAAGGTGACCAAAAGGTCTTGTAAACCTGTGCACCATCGTCACGTCATCACACCCCCGTCGGTGGGGTTGGGAAGCTGAACAGTACACTGCACTGCAACCTCTTTAGGGGGTGGGGTCTGGTTTACGCTCATTTGATTTTCATATTCGTGAGCAGTCTCATATAAAGTTGAAACCAATATGCAAATAAGGAACATTAAAATTGGAAACAGTATTACTCCAACAGACCAATCAATTACATGTAATTAAACTAAACGTTCAAGTTTACGCACACAACATATCTGACTGATTGGAGAGAACACATTTTGGCATCGTCAATTCAAAGAGGATAAAAACAAGCTTTAAATACGAAAAAAAATCTAGGAAATTCACGCAAAATTACCTTTTCTCAATGATAAGTAGATAATATCATCTCTGCAATTTCCAGTATTACACTTTATAATGTTAAATCAAAATGGAAGCGGGGAGAACTTGTTTTAAAGCGAAAGGAAACCGAACATTTCAAAGCAAACGTGAAAGCATAAAGGCCGAATACAAGTTGGAAAATCCATAGAAAGTTTCTACACTGCTGTATCAAAGCAGGAAACTTTCTTCCTGATGATAAGCATTGAGTACGCTGAGTTTGATTAACGACGGAGTTACCAGGAAGCTACACGGTTGGAAAATCCCCCATTTGTTTCATTACGCTTCCCTTGAATTCAATAAGAAGAGACTGCCTTGTGGAAATCAAACACACCGACTCGCGATCTACAGCCGTCGACCGTCTCCCTCCAGTTCATCGAGCTGTTAAGATGAAACTCTTTGCTTTCGTGTGCGTAACTCTCGCGTGTGTCGCTGCGGAAGCGAACGAAGACCGCGCACCGACCGTCGGATCGTTTGACTTCGGCAACGAGTGGGACGATCAGACAGTCGAAGGTTGGGACGAGGAACACAAACAGGCCTGGAAGACTGGAAATTCGCTGCTGGTACCTAACGCAGGTAAGCATCCTAATCATACATCCAATTACGTGTACATAGTCACTTTTACATATCTATCATCTCTTCATGTAGATTTTCGTTTTTAATCAAAGATCAGGCCGATTATCCATCGTCCGCACAAGGGCGGATCTAGAATTTTTTTTAGAGGGGGAGGAGATTAGGTTTTACGGAGGAAAGCCATTTGTTAAAAAACATTCTTTAAGCAACCTTTCGAACTGTTCCAAAGGGTGATAAGTTAGGGATGATGTGTTGCACGCTTTGGGAACGAAGGGAATTAAGGGTCTCTAACTTTCGCTCATATTTTACAAGACACAAACTTGTCCTCTTTTTGGAGGAGGGAAAATAGCCCTGTCCTCCCAAGCTGAACATTTGCACCATGTGCACGCGCACAGGGCGAAGGATTGGTCTAGCTGCGTGCAAGATAACCGAAGTAAAAGTACATTTCGAACAAGTAAAAAAAATCTCAAGATCAATTTACTTTTAGTTTTAGTTTTCATTCTGTGTGTTTTGAAAAGGATTTTCTGGTATATATTTATGGGCATTTGTATATCCTAGCTGGATGCAACATTTATGAACTTGTCAAGGACACATTTTTATTTCACCTTTTCACAAGTGCCATACCATATCCGTGTTTCGTCATTTTAAATTTTTCTATGAAACTATTCCTTTTTTAGAAATAGTTCAGAAACGACATTTTTATTGCATTCGGTCCATCTGTGTATTCACGGTCGTTTAAAGTTCAAGTTTCTTTCTATTTGTACCGCATAGAAGCATGCAGGGGCAGATCCAGGAATTTTTTTTCCGGGGGGGGGGGTCAGGCCGGGCATTCTTTTTTTAACGTCTCATTTTCGTGGACAAGCGGAAACGATAATGAAGCATTATATTACATAATTATTGTTTACAATGGTATTGGTGGACTAACTTTAATACTTATTTTTTTAAAATTATTTTTCCCCATTGTTTTAAACCTTGTTTTGTGGTCTCAGAGCAGGGGGGGGGTTGACTGCCGTATGAATTCGTTATGAAGAGGATTTATGTGTGTATAATTGTAAATATATCCGCTGCATTTCACACCCTCGGTTTTGTCCCTTAACTTCCAATCGCAGTCAGGGGCGGATCAAGGATTTTCCAAAGGGGGGGTTGACCTAAAGCAACACTGGTATAATGCCTGGCGTAGCGCGAAGCCCTTACGGCGTGGGGTCTGCGGCCCGCTTAAGGGCTCCGGGAAAGTTTGGATTCTAGGCGGTGTGCGGAGCAATTTTCAGGCCAAAACGAGCAACAACATCATTTTTTTTTTTTACTTTTTGTAAACTTGCCGATAAAAAAATTCAGGGTCGCGGCCGTAAAATTACTGGGTCCCTCCCTCTTTTGTTTTTCTTCCCCCTCGCTATTTTTCTTTTCTTTTTACTTTTTTGGGGTTTTTGGTGAAAAAGGGAGTGTGCGCCCCCCCCCATCTGCCCCTGGCAATCATACGCCATTGAAATTGAAATGTACGTGCAATATCGGTGCAAAAATAGCGCCGAACAAAAAAATGAACTTTGCAGTCTTGGAGATTGCAGAGTGTTCTGCGAGCGACACTGTGTATAGCTCGGGCAACCAGTGCAGCAGTGTGTGACGTCAATGAAAATACCCTATGGCTACCTTTGCCTTTCATAACTGTTGTTAACGGAATTTCTGTCACGGAAGTCATACTTATTTTGATGGGATGTGTTTGCTGAAAGTAACTTTCACTTTCGATAGACATTTCGGGGACCACTAAAAAAAGATATAGGGCTTATTGTACGGTACAACGTGCGTTCATTGCCATCGGGAACTCAGCGAATTATTCCTTCAAAAATAATAACAATAATCTTTTTTTCTGACAGATCCTATGTCCTCTATCTATGTGACCTGAACCAGATTGAAAGGTCTTTTCCGTTTGGTCATGCGTATCATGAGACGCGGCGAAGCAAGTTTGTGTTTTACTTCCGCGACATCGCGGCGGTCCCTCAGTATTAGGTAACAGGTAACCGGACATGCGCTGTGTACTGGACCATAATCACCAAGGCTGTACCACTCTGTAAAAAACTAATGCCCGGTTCATTCGCTTTATACTACAAAATACCGGCAGCAAAATCCATCGCAGCTTTATTAATGCCCGACACGCAGCGTAAAGTATCATTGGAATTTCAACATGTTACTTTCATCACTTAATACATGCATGAAGTTTGATGATTTCATTCTTTCCCCAATAGCTCTTCGTAGCCAGGCGTTTAGCTGCTCTTGTGAAAGTGGCGAATGCCAGTGCTGTTTGGAGTTCACCCTGGTCGGGAAAACATTCAGGGGTAATTATACCGCCGTATTTTAACCATTGAGCTTTCGGTAAGGGGGTGGGGCAAAGTTACGCCCCCCCCCACTTATTTCACGCACACTAAGGTCAAGCCGACACTTCATAGCCTAGTCCCACACACAAAATTATCAGCTCCTATCTTATCACATTAAGTATACTGCCATTCCCTTGCCCTTGGAAAGTTTCCCTCATTTAATTTGCGAAATGTTACATTTCAAACACGCGTAAACACTAAAAGTCAGCAAATCTAAAAAAAAATAGTGACGCGCTTTTGCATTCTTATTGTATATCTGACTAGACATATGTCTTTCCTGTCAACGCGTTTTTCTTTCGTAACCTTTTCTAAACTCACATTTTTCATGTTCTATAAATCATTTGGTGACAGCCTGTCTGGTGGCGTATTTCAACGATGATGGGATCGGTATTGCAGTGGTGATCAACTCCTTTACTATATTTCGCCATTCCTTCAGCGGTAAGATTCTGAAGCTCATGGGAAGCTAAGCTTTGTTTCACTTTCGGTAATTAACAAACACGACAATAATTAGAAACTCTATTAAGAGTTGTTGAACAGTTTGAGGTTCGGGGAAACCGCAAGGGTTAGAACGTGTTGCACAGCCAGTCCTGTTGGTCGGTCGGTGTAATCGATCCGCCAACCAAATTTATCAGACACCTGTTCATATTTCGGCTTCATTCGGAGATACAGAAATTCTACAGGGCAAAGACAGTAGATCATATCAAAAACACTTTAGTTTTTACTCCCGTCCTCTGATTCGTGAATCGCATATCATCATGTGACAAGAATCTTGCGGACTAATGCATGGCGCTCGAAAACAACAAGCAAACCAAAACCACCTGTGCAGCAGAGCCGTACGTCAGTTAAGCCCATCAAAACCGCGTAAAGGCGCCTTTCCAAATGAACGTTTTTGGAGTGCGTTGCGTATACGACGCGTTTATGCGTTTCACCTTCACGGACACAAAAATCGACTCCATTAATACAACACACGTGTGCGTTGTGTGCGGCCGTCGCAATCGCTCCGAGAGCCATTCTGACGGATATGCAACGCTTGGAGCAAGTGTTGATGCGCATATGCGTGGAAAGGCGCCTTAATCCAGCTATTCACATTTTATGGCACACGGCTAACGACAAACGCAAAGCAGCACTCCTTCTCGATGAAGGCCTCCTGATCACATGAAGAAAGTTCTGAACTCGTTCGTGATACTAGAGTTTCTGATATAGAAACATATAAGATATGCTGGCAAAGGATAAAAGCAATTTGCAAGACACAACACCACGAAAAGCACGGCATGACGTACGATGACGCGACGTGACGCACGACGCAACGGGCGACGCTAAGACAACCGCGTGACGACGAAAGACAAACAGTAGTCCATTATATACACGGCATGTTAACCTGTGCCAGCTTTTAACGGGTGTTATGTGTTGGGTAGATTGTTTTCTTGTCACAGGGAGAACCGGAGAAGGAATCCCGAACCCTAACTTTGTTTGATAGGCCTACTTGTGTTTACCTATGTACAGAGACGAAAAACGAACTGACGTACTGCGGGACACTCCTGGGGAGAGAAGTCTGCGCCGGGCTGACCGACATCAGTCTGGAGACCAACTCTGTCTCAGCTCGCGGCACAGTCCGAATTGGCGAAATCGTCAATGCCCAGTCCGAGCCATTTACCCTTCCCTTCAGTGACTCATTCAACGGGGTGCAAGGGGGAGGACACGCCCCTGCGCATGTTGCCTTTTTGGGGTTCTTTTGTGCTTTTTTGTTTTTCTAGATTAATGAAGTATTACAAACAGGATAGTTTGACACTGAACAGCCACTGGATCACTGATATAACCTCCGATGCTTTTAGATAATCAGTGCTATCAGAAAGTGGAACATTACAATAGCCTACAATAGCACTTGAGCTCTTTACGGCTGTAGACCTTTATCATGATGCCGCCATTTTTGTCTTGTTCCCTGTGAACCCACTGTCAATAGTAAGACAACTTCACATACTGATAAAGGTGTAACAGTTACCTGAGTTCCACCTAAATGGAAGTCACGAGATCAGTTTTACACAGTCACTTCAATATTCATTCACCGTTGTAGACGCTCACGCAATGTGTAATGCTCGCGTCTAAATTTGAAGTTACTTTTAAAAGAACCAGCTGATTTTTGTGTCAACAGCCGATTAGTTCGCAATGACAATACTTTAGTCGAGCCCATCAGTTTAGCCTGATAGCAGAGGGCACAGGGCCGTGTTCATGAATCAATTAACACAAATTAATGAACAATTAATAATCAATATGCCCCCACACGCGAACTATTCATGGCCGCTGGAGAAACAAAGCCCCCCTATCCTCCCCACGCTGGCCCGAGTTAACATGGTGCAATCCGTTCCGCTGCACAGGCAACTGAATTTGCAGCATAGCTCAATGAACACAATTTCTCCATTATCTGTGCTATTAGCCCTTTGCATTTTTATGGAATGAAGTGTAATCTGTATGATCAAAAAAGCCAGAGGCATTAGTGGNAATATAGTTTAATTTTCGTTTTTGCCGTAAATATGACGTAGTTATACACATGTATTATCACAGGTTTCAATCATTAAAGTTCAGAACCCCCGTTCCTTATAATTGCATTATATATTGCTTGTCTCAATTACTTGGCTAGTCTTTCGGCTGATTATATTTCTCCCTTTTTATTAAAAAACAGACTTGAAATATCCAGCCATGCTTCTTCTCTTTTTGGGTATTAAAACAACGGTACTTTTGACATAACGAAAGTATCAAAACGACGTTATTTATACGCAAACAGTTACGATCAAGCCAAAACGCTCGTGCTGAAACCATGGGGAATCAAAAGTTGACTATTTGCTCTTCAAGGTTTAAGGTCCGTTAACGCACTGACACATCTTAAAAATCCAGTCTCTGACATGTGTGCGGAATTTTCGTTCAAACCCCCCCCCAGTCGCCAGGATAACATTCCATTAGACTTTACTACACTTCAAAGTTCAGCGCACCACCAACAATAAATAAAAACATTCTCTCCAGTTTATTCAGGTGTCTATAGATGATACAAAACGACATTCATGGAAGTATAACCAGAAGAATAAGTGTAGAACTTTTTTGTACTTACAGCACTTTGAATAGCTAACTTCGGCATTTCCCGGCCGTGGCCTCAAAGTCTTCGTGCGCAATCGTCACGTAATCGCCAGATTTCTGCGTGCTAGGGGGCGCTGTTCATGGTACAGCTGGATCATGCTCGACTTTGCGATTTTGAGCTGAAACAGCTGGAACCATGCTTGAAACTTCACTTCTCTATTTCTGCAGATGAAAAGGTTTCTACCCACCCAAGTGGGGTGGCAGTGCGGTAGCATCCCCATTCTGAGATTCGGAAGCTCATGCTGGCGTGTGTTACCCCTGCTCCTACGCCGTTAGATTCGGCGGCAAAATTCAGAGTGAACCCAGTCATGTGGCACCGGTGTGTTTGCCGCCACCAAGTGTCTCATCATGCACAGCCTCTGTCTCATTTTCTTTCGCTCTGTATAATCCACCTCAACGGGGGGGGGGGGGGGGGNTATATAGTTTAATTTTCGTTTTTGCCGTAAATATGACGTAGTTATACACATGTATTATCACAGGTTTCAATCATTAAAGTTCGGAACCCCCGTTCCTTATAATTGCATTATATATTGCTTGTCTCAATTACTTGGCTAGTCTTTCGGCTGATTATATTTCTCCCTTTTTATTAAAAAACAGACTTGAAATATCCAGCCATGCTTCTTCTCTTTTTGGGTATTAAAACAACGGTACTTTTGACATAACGAAAGTATCAAAACGACGTCATAATTTATACGCAAACAGTTACGATCAAGCCAAAACGCTCGTGCTGAAACCCTGGGGAATTAAAATTTGCTCTTCAAGGTTTAAGGTCCTGACACATCTTAAAAATCCAGTCTCTGACATGTGAGCGGAATTTTCGTTCACCCCCCCTGTCGCCAGGAGAACATTCCATTAGACTTTACATTTCAAAGTTCAGCGCACCACCAAATTTAAATAAATAAAACCTTCTCTCCGGTTTCTTCAGGTGTCTATAGATGATACAAACCGACATGCATGGAAGTATATCCAGAAGAATAAGCGTAGAACTTTTGTATACTTACAGCACTTTGAATAGCTAACTTCGGCATTTCCCGGCCGTGGCCTCAAAGTCGGTTCGCAATCGTCACGTCATTGCCAGATTTCCCGTGGTAGGGGGCGCTGTTCATGGTACAGCTGGATCGATGCTCGACTTTGCGATTTCGAGCTGAAAGAGCTGAAACAGCTGGAACCATGCTTGAAACTTCATCAAAACGGTGCAGTTCAAGTTTCGGCAGCATTCACTCCTCTATTTCTGTAGATGAAAAGGTTTCTAACCGCCCAAGTGCGGTGGCAGTGCGGCAGTATCCTCATTCTGAGATTCGGAAGCTCATTCTGACGTGTGTTAACCCTGCTCCTAGCCGGCCTGTTAGATTCAGCGGCAAAATTAACTGAGTGAACCGAACCCAGCCAGTCATGTGGCACCGCTGTGTTTGCCGCCACCAAGTGTCTCATCATGCACAGCCGCTCGTCTCATTTTCAAGAGGCCATACATGTCGAACGGGGAGGGGAAGTGAACACCCGGGTCCAATTTCATTTTTCTTGTTTTGAATGCCACCCTCTAAACACCTTACATTCCATTTTACACTTCTTTCGCTCTGTATAGTCCACCTCAACTGGGGGGGGGGGGGCTTCTAGTTTACCCTGATGCAAGTTTCATAATCATGAGTAGTCTCAGATTCAGTTGAAGAGCCACACACCACCGCCAAAGAGACTAGCGTTTCCCCAATATTTGGCCACGGCACCTGATACCGTGCACGACATGGGGCCAATGAGTCCCCCCATGTCCAATCTCTATACACACTATTGTTACCTAACACATCCCCCTAGAAGTCTGTAAAGAATTCCTGAGATTACGATCAAACAATGACCAACACAAAGGCGGGGGAGTTCTCTCCGCCCCATATCTTGCATCATCGAAACCGCTGAAAAAGTAGAGCGCTCAAAAAACCACACCAAATATACAAAAAATGACTCGGGAATGGTTACTCTGACACAAAAATCTTTTTTTTTTTTTGGATGTAAAAAAGCTTTTACCCTTAAAGATGTACAGAGAAGATGAACAAACAAAATACTAGCAATCACTTAAAGATAGCCCCAAAATCCTATAGTCCAGTGACCTCACCCCATGAATCTACCATTCAGAGCTCATAAATGTACTCTGCACAAAACTGCCCAATTGAGACCAAAGTGAGGCTGCACTTGCATGACAAAGCATAAACTGCCGCCTCTCAACACAACCACATAAATGGCCAGTGCTGTATGCATTGAAGTATTAATTACTAACTCATAAAACATTTAACTGAAGAAACGGGTAGAATGAAGTTTACAGTTTATGTTTATGAATATGGGATAATGCATATCCAAAATGATACAAGGTGAGGGCCCAATTCCATGGAGTCTCATTTGACAAATACTTTTGATAAGCCAAGAAAAGCTAGCTAAGAAACGGTCACAAGCAGCATGCACCATGAGGCATTTTGATTCCTTGCTGAAAGGCAGAACGGTGCCTGTGCTAAGCAAATAACTGAATGGGTAACAACTCCATGGAATCAGTCCCAAGGTCTACTAGCTAATAAACGACCTCCAAAAAGGCCCTGTCCCAATCAGAGTGGCTGTGGCAGGGAGCAACACATAAGTATATGAGAGATGTCAGCAGCCAGTGCAACATGTGTCATATTTTAGCCACAGCCAGGTAACTCCAACATGGCTAAAGACATGCTGTGCTCATCCGTACCTGCTCAGGTTTCCACACAGACAACAGATGTAGGCAGTTATTTCTGTATTCCGTAAATCATGTAAAGCCACTGCACAGCTTGTGTAATTGGGGTTCAGTTACAACCCACGACAGACTGGTATAACATACATTTTATAGAAAAACGTACCAATTAACATATTGCTTCAAGCTGACGAAAAAAAAAAGTTTGCACAAAAACGCATTGAGGGCTTGTGCTCCCACATCATATGCATTCTCATTTTTGACCCATCATTCCAAATCCAGACTGAAGTAGGTAATTCCGATATCAAGTAACGGCTCTCCCTCACTGTTTTTTACAATACACTTCAAAGTAATCCAAACTCTAAACTCTTTCTGCAGAAAGCTTTGGTAATTATGAGCAACGAAAACTGTGGAAATTCCGCGAACAGTGGAAGTCCCACTACGTCATCGGATACGAAGTCAGCTCCTTCGGCCTGGTTTTAGAAGGATGGGTCACATTTATCTCAGCAGGTTGTTTTTGCAACTGAGCAATGCTTCAGTATGAGGGTAACATTACCTGTGCAATCCCAGGAATGCCAAGGGCAAACGTTGCCCCTTTCTACACCACAACCCTCACTCCTTGACAATATGCAGTTTATTCGCACCCCTGCACGGTATCAACGGTGCTGGTTTGGGTTCAATTTCCCCAAGAACCCTTGACAACGTATCCTTGATCTTTCATTGGATGAAATTCGTTTGAGCAGTGACGCGGGTCAACACGTCCATCTGCCTGTGGCATGCACGCAAGGGGAATTGCCTGTGGACTGATTTTGACAGGAAGCTGTCCAAAAGTGCTTCACCGGTGCTTCCTTCAGTTCACTTGGACTGAGAGGTGCTGGATATGAGCAAAAGTAATGCACGGGACGTCGGCACTTTAAAAGGTGCCTGTAATGTATATGACGCGAGACACAGTACAGTGGAGCAGTAAAGTTACTGTGTCATTCAGAGATTTCCTGATGGTTCCACATACAAGTATTTGCCACACTCTGAGCACTCCATTACCCTGTTCTTCAGGTGCATTCTCACAAACGCTGTAACTGGATCAGAACCACAGAGTGATTTCTCTCTTTAAATATGTCCATTTTAATGTCAAGCCTGACAGGTAGATTAGATTTGGTCCCTATATGCCCTTTTGACTGAAAAAAAAAGGCATTATTTTCTCTGTAAGAACATGCAGTGCTCTGTTGTGAAATATTCTGGTGTGCTGAAACACTTGAAGCAAGTTTTGACAATGGGTGGAAAACACAGCTAAAATGCATCTGGCCCACTTCACTGTGTTGTGCGTCATGCGTCTTTACATCAGTATTGTAGTTGAAACCTCTTAAGACTATCACGAGTCTCAGTCCAAGTTACCTGACTATTCCAATGAACAGCAACAAAAGCACTCCTTTGTCACCGCTCACCCTGTTACTGGTTACTGGGGCATGTTTTGGCGACCTGAACCATGAACATGTTTCAGCTCTGGTTAAATGTTTTTGTGACTTTTGGTTATGCCTCCGTGACATCATCGTTCTGACGGAACGCGGTTGGTGCTGGTTCGGCACCACCTCAAAATGGCGGAAAGTAAACAGACAACTTTGGTCGCCCCTTAAAGAAGTGAATTATACATTTCAAAAGCTGTTGCTACATGCGGCAAATCAAAGAGATACTTTCTTCTAAAACGTACGTGAAAAGAGAGAGCAGCACCAGGAGCACTAGTGAAATCGTCTGCCTCCTTGTGCTTGCCTCTGTCAGAAGATGTAACCATTTCTGTCTTGTTGTTTCTGTGGGCCACCCTTAACATATTCCCTGTTATTGCTTTGACATCACGGACGAGTTTCTGGTTAGGGGCCGGCAAAACATGTCCCTGGTTTTGTGAATAGTCTTATGATGGTTTCTAGTACAACACTGTTTTATATATACATGTAATCATTTTTCGGGGGTCATTTGATTGACGATTATGTGAGTGGGAACTGCACCACTAAGTCCTCCTTGTGCTTGACCTTCACGCCACTGACGGCCTTGGAGGCGTTCTCGGCAGCAACTGCAATCTGGAGAGGAAGATTTGGAAGTTAAAAATGAAACCATTAAGACCAGCGAGCAAATGTGTGTAAACTTGTGTTGTGGATGAGGCAGTGCATACGATGTAGTCTGCAAAAATCCTTGAAGTGGAGAAAATTCCAGATCGTCTCCTTTATCATGAAGAAGCAAATTTCTCACCGGAGAGTAAAACCTAGGTTCGAGAAAATCGTACTTGAAGTTGGTCTCTTTTTCCTACTGTTATTTTTCCAGTATTTAGCCCTTCTTTAACTTAAACCAATGCTACTTCATGAAGAGGGAATCTTAAAGGACACAAAACTGCCAAATAATACTTATAGAAGTCAATTAACATTGTTTATTTTGTAAACAAACAAATTTGCCTCTTTGTGAAAACGTAAAAATTCATGCGACTTTTATCTATTGGTGAAAGTGCGTGCTATTTTGCTATAGAGCGGGCAAGGTGTAAAATTGTTACATTCTTAAACATTTCCAGCATCAAATTTACCTCTTCGTGAAAACGGCAAAATGAGTTTTCCCACAATTTGCCCTTTATTGCTAACGCTATATCTATGGAAGACAAATTCACCTCTTCGTAAAAATGCAAAATTTGCCAAGGGAGATCTTCCTGATTTGGCCTATTTCATTAAAAATGATTACGCCAAGTTATAGGCATCAAAGAACCTATTTAATTTTGACCAAAAAAACCAGAAATTTGACAAAACATACCAAGTTGATATCTGCTAGAGAGACTGGTTCGTCTGCCAGCACTGTGTAGGGCACAGACACGCCTTGTGGCAAGACTAATAAACTGGAGGGTGACTTCTTGGTTCCCGTAACAACTACTGCTACTCGCGAGCTGTCAAAACCACACAAACAAACAAACTACTAGTGGCACTGGTTCAAGCCTAAGTCTATTTGTTACTGGTGGGGGGTGGGGAAATTGTGTCCGGAAAGGGTCCAACAAGATGATCCATTAGATGAAATTCTTGTAAAGACATTCACCTCACAAGGAACAAATTTCAACCAAAACACACCGAGTCCTTGAGTATCTTTGTATTTACTCAGCCGTAGCTAGTTAAGAGCCGGGGGTGGTTAGTTAAGATGTGGGTCGTTTGGTGACTACTACTATGTGTTTTTGAATACAGTTTTTGCAACAGTGATCCAGTAATGCAATTAAATTCCACTTTTTTAATCAAAGTTTCCCCTGAGAGCATACTCAGCCATAGCTAGTTAAGAGCCAGGGGTGGTTAGTTAAGATGTGGGTCGTTTGGTGACTGCCTGAGGCACCCCTGTACGCCCGAGGGCCTCCACACTGATCGGAGTTTAACCTCATTAAAAGATAAGAAATATACACCAAAGAGCTGTGCAACTGACCTGTACGTTCGAGCCCTGTCAAGGTACTCGTGCTGCTCCATTGTATGTGAGTCTATGGCCGATACATCTATCACATCACTGGAGAATGGTTCAAAGGGGAGAAACAAAAACGGAATTAAAATTGGATTTCAAGGTCAGGATCATCACTGCGTCGAAAATTTTATGTGAACGGTGCAAACAGTAAAAAGGTTTTCACCATACACCTCAAGTGGCATAAACCAAATCTGGATATTATAGAGGTTTTGCTTGTAACGTTACATGATGGGCAAAGGTATTACAAGAAGTGTATCACGTCTGTGGAGGCGTGTGCATTTTCAAATCTAGGTATTTCTATTGGCAGTTTCTTGTACGCCAGAATGTTGAGAGACTTCAAAGGCCCCCCCCTTATCGCGCACATCTGGGTAGCTTGAATGCTGACCATCAAAAATCACAAGACTGAAAATCCTCTACATCCAAACATCTAAAGTAATACGTGATTCTTTGGTTTAGAGGTTAAGCTGTACTTTACGAAGAAGCTCTGTGACATCTGACCTTGAATAAATCCCAGTCATCTGACTGATGTATATGGAGAGAAAAATTACATTATCAATGTTCTGGACAAATAGGAAAGTCTGTTGAAGTAAGTGTAACCGATTCAGAAAGGCGCAGACGACTTCTTCTTGTGATTTTATGTCATGGTGTCAAAGGGCAAACGGCCGGTTTGTATGTCAGCAATCAGATGAGGATTTATGTGGGCACTGTCCAAAACAAGGAATAGTTCACATTAGTGCAGTGGAAAGAACAAAATCATTCAGTGGTGGAAGGAATGTTCCCTTCAACGAGGCCCATTGGAATGGAACGTTCCACCTGTCACCTCATGGAATCAATCCTGCACTCACACTGCACTAATAAACCCGGTATCTCCATACTGTTTGGTGAATGGCTGCACATTGGAAGGGTCACCCCTAGCAGAACTTACTTGGCTGCTTTGTGGAGGATTCGGTTTAACTCCGACTGCTCGTCGCCCTTCTTCAAGGACGAGGGACTCTGGCCGCCATATTCACTGAAATTAAGACAAACAAAACACATCAATGCCTAACATAACATTGCTATGCCACTGACAAACAGGTGGAATGGTCTAACGCAGCATGACACAAAATAGTCACATAAAGTGGTAACATTTTGGACAGGGGTGCAGGTTGTAGGGCTCAGATGCCTGATGAACCACCCATCTCCAAGCAAACAGAAGTACCGGTATGAGTCCTGTGCTGGACCAAGAGAGGGCGCCATTTTCTGAGCAAAGGAGGCTCCTTTGGTTGAAACTGAACTGCTCTGGTTCACGAACCACTGTGAAATGCTTGAGTTACGGTCGCATCGCAACCAACAGAATGAACACTCCTCATTAAAATGGCTCTTTTCAACCAATGAGGGGATACTTTTACTCGAGGCGGATACGGGAACAGCCGGGAAAACCGACAGAGTGGTTTTTCCAGCAACATGTTTAGTTTGCAGAAGATAATGCATTGCAAACATAGAGGATTAATCTGGTCACTACTAGACTAGGAACAAACATTCCAATATCAGAGAGACCATCGGGAGGAACTGAGTGAGTCAACTTTTAATTTGTACTGCAAAGGTTACTTCATGATTTGCACTATGCGTACATGCTGCGAACTTCCCACACCATCTGCACAAGTCTGCAGACAGTTCGTGGTACAAGCAAATTTGTGGCTGTCAACTTTATCACCACGGTGCTGACACTGACAAGGTCACAGACCATCCTGGCCGATTAGTCAGCAGAGTTCAGTAATACAGTAATATATTGTTGAAAGTTTAAATCCACACTGGGTCATGATTAACCTTGAATAATTAAGTCTTTGACCTGAGGGATGTTTCCTTGCCTGTTTATGGGCCGACTGGATTGGTGTCTGGCAGGGTCCGTAAGAAGACGACTTCTCTCATCAGGGGATTCAACCTAGAAACCACAATCAGAAGCTATTTGTACAATTATGCCTTTGTAAATCATATAACATGTTTGAAAGTAAAAAAAAATATGATAAGGCAAATTTAACTCTTGCAATGCTAAGTGCAGCAAGAATCTATGCGATTGACTCAGCACTAACACCCAACTTCTACTGCTAAGTGCACAATTTCACGCTAACGGATACTTCGCATATTTCACGAAGACTGTAAGCAGTAAGCAGGCAAAAGGCACACTTACCACAGAGGAAAAACCTTGCAGTAGAGACAAAACAAGAGAAAAACTCTAGATGTGTGCACGCACAACAGTGAGCCCAACCATGCAAAGCAATGCCATAAAACAGTGCTTAGGTTTAGCAAAATATTCTGCTGTAGCAAGCACGACTTTCCTGATAACTGTTGACCAATTTGCGCCGGGCCCATTTAAACATGGTGATTCTGCTGGGCCATGTGATTTTTCATTTGTTTCTGTTTTCAAAATTCTTCAAAAATTCATAACTTCATTTAATAGACGTTTACACCCACATGAATGACTGTCTGGTGGCTACTCTAATCTAACAGACAACATCTAATGACACCAGAGTATTTCAGCCAGGCCTGCAGCCTTGTAAAAAGAGCCCAGATTGTATGGTGTTATATAATTTTCTTTTGTTCCTGAAACCGACACGGTGAGCTGCTGACGTCATTTCAATAGGGGCCAGATTAGCATGCAGCGGTATTGTATCGCTCATCGCTGGAGCGCTCCAGAGCACTTTTGTCCCCGGTGGTAATCCACTCAGCTGAATGCCATAAACAGTGGTATCATCTTTCAAAACAATGACGGATTCCTCCCCTAATGACAACTGAAAAAAAGTTGGAAATTCCCAGCAGCTCGGTCTTTTAATCTGAGTACGGTTTTTAGTTACAAGGTCCAGCTCTTTTGTCCAGTTTCGGGTAGCCCGGCATTAAGTATAAACAAAACGATTCCGAAACTAGGCTCCCTGGTGCGAAGTGGTTAGACAGCTCTATGAAATGGGGCCCTGGAGAATTAGAGTTACTAAGAAAGTGATCCCACAGCAGTATGAGTTTCAACGCTCAACCCATTGAATCCTGTACACCCCATTCAAACACGTAAATACCTCAGACAATCACCCATTTCTAATAATTGTAGCCCACGAACAGGGTGGTTTCAAGTGACTGATACATGTTAATGTATTTAAACATGACCGATTGGTCTAGTCTGACTGTTGACTCCTACAATCATTTTATTGACTCCTGACACTCGCACTCGGCAATCCCTGACCCAATCCATATGTAAAAAAACGCAATACAACAAGGAGTTCTCATTTCAAGGAG